CCGTTCACGTTCGCGTGGTTCAATGGGCGGAGGATAGTTGGCACCGCTGCCGCCGCTTCCGGCCAAGACGGAGCTGCGGCCGGGGCTTGAGCTGAGGATTGTGCGGCCAGAAGCTGCGTCGCTGGAGCGACTGCCTCCACCGCCCGGCCCTCGCAGCGACTCCCGCACCATGTCGACTGCCCGACTTTGGCCGACTTCGTGGCCGTCCGCGCGGACCCGGGCCGAGTCGGGTGTGGGAGCATCGTCTGGCTCCCTGTCGGTTTGGGACGTACTGCTGCCAGCCACCGCCGACGGCAGTAGGTGTGCCGCCCGCGACGCCACCTCGTCGCTCCGCTGCGCCATTGTCTCGGTCCGCCACTGGCCGGGGAGACATGCATGGCCGCACCCGTCGAGCGGGCAGCAGCCGTCTGAAAACTCGGCACCCGTGCCGGCGTCGGGGAACGGTGGGAACGACCCGAGACGGGGGCTACCGACCGGTGCATCCTGCGCGTGCCACTCTTCGAGACACGACAAGTGACCGCCGTGGCTGCAGCCGACACAGTACCACCACGTAGAAAGCGCGCCGCCGGAGGACGTCCTGCTCTTGTCGCCGCTGCTGTTGTCGCGCCTGAGGTTGTCCACTGCCGCCACGTCGCGGTGGCCGCACACCGCACAGGGCGCCATGACGGTCTTGCAGCGGTCGCACCGCCACAGCGACTCGGTTCCGCTGCCGCTGCCGGGGCTGTTGTGGTCGACTTCGCGGGGCTTCTTGCAGGTGACGCAAATGTACGAGGCCGAGACATTCTTTTTGGCGGGGGCCACGATCGACGCAAAGTCGGCATGGACGCCCCATTTGGACAGCTCAATGTTGTTCGTCGGAGCACCCGTCGCTGACGGCCAGCCTTGAACGCATAGGTTGCGCAGCAGGGCGGCCTCCAAAAAGAGCTTCATGCCCATGAGCCGGGTGTGGTGCTGGTGCAGAATGGCACGCGCCTGCAGGGGATCGATGACGTCGTCGGGCACGAGCGGCCCGAGCAGCAAGACCATGGCGGACGCGTGCAGCGGAGACGTGCGCACTTCAAAGGCCAGCGCGCGCTCGACAATGACGTAGGGGTTGAGCGCAGCGTTGCGATCAAAACCACTGGCCTTGCCGTCCTTGGTGGGGAAGGGGAACGGAGGGTCGTGCGGCCAGGGGAGGTAGTCGCGGTCGGTGAGGCGGTCGGTGTCAACATCAATATCCCCTTTATCCTCATCGCTCTCGCCGTCCTCACCGTCCCCACCGTGCTCGCCTGCGTATGCCATGGGGAGAAGTTCGGACGTGGCGACGCTCATATTGTCTTGCCGCGACGAGGCGCTGCGCCGCAGGGTCGGCCGCTTGCTGGTGAACGAATTTGTCGGCTGTTTCGGGTGAACCTGTGGGACCAGGAGCGAGTTGCTGCTGCTCTCCGTATCTTGCGAATTGGTGCGGTAGTATGTATCTCGCGTGACACCGGGCGTGGAGAGCGTCGGGTTGGACCCGCTGCCGCCAAACTCCATCGACAGCAGCGCCCTGTTCAGTCGCAACAGTCGCGATGACGAGGCAGCCGACGACGCCAGCACGTCCTTGTCTTTGTCGTGTCTCGGCTTCTCGGCGTGTCGGCCGCGGGAACGGCTCAACGACTCGTCGGCCAGCGCGTTGCCATCGCTACGTCCGCTGCGTACACTGCGTTCACTGCCGTTCTGTTGGTCATGGCCACTAGCACTAGGACCACTGCGGCCACGGGCCTCAGAGGCGGTGGTGGTCGTCGTGGCCAGACTGCTGCCGCCAGCACCCATGAGGTCCCTCTCGTCGAGTGCCGGCCCCGAAGCCTGCGAAATCTCAAAGATGCGGCCGCCTGCACTGTCGGTCGAGTCTTGTCGGTGAAAGTCGGGCAGCCGCACGGGTGAGCGCTCTGTCAGCGACATGATGGATGGGCGACTCGTGGGCGGCGGCCGCGCCGTGGCGCCGGGTACGTCGATGGCGCTGGTCATGGCCTCTGTATCGTAGAAATCGTAGCCCTCCATGCTCGATATGTGTGACACTTCGCTGTCGTGGCTGGTCTCCGAGACGGGCATGGAGTCTAGGTGTCGCCGGCGTGGCTGGTTGGTGAGGTAGTCCTGGTAGCGCGCGGGCGGTAGATTGAAGCTCTCAATGTCGGATGGCAGCCCGTTGCTCGCACTGTCGTAGCTGCTGGCGCCGTTGCCGTCGGCAGCGGATGCGGATTCCGATCGATGGTCGGTGCCTGGCTGATAGAGATTGCCGCCACCCCGGTACGCCTGGCCGGACACTGGCCGCGCCAAGGGCGTCGGCATGTTGGAGGTGCTCTCAATCTCTTCGGCGAGAAGCGAGCGGACAGGCAGAGTGCGGCTGTTGCTGGCCGTCGGCACGAGCGTCGACGTGCCATGGTCGTCGGAGGACGAGAGGGACTCGAGTGTGCTGCCAGAAGGGTCACCCGAGGGGAGCCGCTCGCCACGAACCTTGGTTTTGTCCGTGTTGTCACTGCTGTTGTGGTGGTGGTGGTGGTGTTGACGGTGCGTTTCTGACGACCTAGTCGTGTGGTAAGTGGCTCCCTCGAGCCGCCGCTCTTTGTGGTACTGCGCGCGTTTCCGGAAGAGCAGGTCCATGGCAAACGCAATGATGCGCCAGACCTGCGCCAGGCGGAAGTGGCTAACGTTCTCGGCAGCGCGCGCGTATGTGTCGAGAATGGACGCTACGCGGTCGGGCAGTGGGACAACCGTGCCATGACGCACGTAGGCGGGCAGTCGCTCTTCCAGCGTCTCCAAGTAGATTTTGGCGAGGTAGCCGTAGGCGTCCTTGCGCGCGGCCGAGGGGATGTGGCCAATGGCCATAATCTGCTGCGGCCGGAACGCACCAGTGGCACGCAGCGAGTCTTCGAGTGAGACGGTCAGGCTGTTGTTGCCGGTGCTTGTTTTGCTGTTATTATTGCTGTTGCTGCCGCTGCTACCCTCTCGACCGCTGTTGTGGCTATTGTTGCTGTTGGCGGACCCAGGGTGACCCGACGACGGCGGAGTCGAGCCCAGATGGTGGACGGAGCTGGCACGCCGCTTGCGGCCCAGGTTGCGGCGGCGGGGCATGAGGAAACCACGCACGACATCGTCCTCGGAGTCGCTGCGGCTGATGCTGAGAGCAGGTGCGGGCGAGGTCGGGTCGGAGCCGTGCGAGGACGACACAGCCGCCGCCGCCGCCGCCGCAGCCGTGGCCGACGGCAAGTCCTTGTGCACCGACGCGAGCACGCGCGGTCGCGACGGCAGCGGTCGCTCATCGAGAAACGTCAGCACGTCGCCGGTGGACGAGAACGCGAGCGTAGAGACGGCCGTGCGGTCGATGACGCGCGGCGCAAAGGCCATGTCGTTCTGGCAAAACAGGCCGTCCTCGCCGGCGGTCCACAGGAACTCCTGGTCCTTCCACAGCAAGGCCGACGGCGAGCACTCGAAGCGCTCGACAGTCTTGTAGGGAATGGTCGGACGGGCCAGGTCCCAGACGTGCGCGGCATTGATGCCCGGCCGTTTGGGGCCGCTGACATTGTAGGACACGGCGACCTGGGCGGCCCGCAGCCCCTGGCACGTAGCCGACCACTGGCCGGGACGCCACGCAGCAGCAGCAACAGATGCCGGGGTATGCAGCGTCCATTTGGGCTTCTGCCGCTTGTCGGCCGCGTTGGAAAAGTCCCAGACATGGCACGCCTTGTCGACGCCGCCGGTCAGCAGATGCTCGCCGTCCGGGTGCCACGACAGCGACGAGCAGGCCTTTTCGTGCGCGGTGATGCGCAGGACGGGCGCCGTTGGCTTGCGAATGTCCCACTTCATGACGGCGCCCTGCTCGGTGCAGCAGGCGAAGTAGAAGCCTTGCTTGGGCGACCACTGCACGGCGCGCACATCGGCGTTGCACTTGAAGGCCTGCATGGGACGAAACGTGGGGCCGAGACGGGACGCCACAATGGCCCGCGTGTCGAAGCAGCGCACCATGCCGTCCTGGCTGCCGGACAGCAGGTATGCGTCCTTGTAGGGGTTGATGTCGAGGGCGTTGATCTGCCGCGAGTCCTCTTGCGTCTGGACAAAGGAAATGCTGCCGCCGGCGTTTGCGCTGCTGCCCCCCAGCTGCGACAGATCGTACTGGAAGATCTTTCCGCGCAGACAGGCGGTGAAGATGTGCGTGTCGTTGCGGCCCGTGCCCCATTTGACATCGCGGATGGACAGCTGCTCGGCAACCGACGCCGTCGCATTGGCCCGCGGGGACGCCTGCGCCGTGATCAGCGTGCGCAGATCAAACGATTCGCGGATGGAGATGTTGCTGTCGATGCCGTCGCCGCGCTCGATGCGCACCGTCTTCAGAACATGGCGGCCGGCCAGCACGGCGGCACGGCCGTCAGGTGATTTGTCCAGCGCCGCAATCGGCACGCCTACCTGGAACGCGGCCTCCTGGGGCCCGCTGGGGCGATAGAGCAGCGGCACGGGTGATGTCAACGGTCGGTCACGAAGGTGGCTGTGCTGGTTATGTTGCGATCGCATGTGCTCGTCATCGTGGTGTGCCGCATTCGACGTTAGGTTCGAGTTCGAGTTCGAGTTTGAATTCGAGTTCGCAGTGCCGTCATGGTGCTGCTGCGACAGGCCCGCCGGCTTGCTGAGGAGCTTGCGCATAGTCGCGGCGTCGGTCGGTGTACTGCAGTGGCCACGAGGGGACCATGGCGTGCGCTATGTGTCGGCCATACGTAGCGGCGGTAATGGTGGATGGTAGATGGTTGAAATAGAGGTGATGACCAATTGGTGTCGCGATAGCTGCGAGGCTGCGAAGCTTACCTTTAGTGAATCAGTCGCCAGTTAGCGCGGTTCTGAGCACTGTTTGATTACTGTGCATTTAGTGCGCTTAGTTGCATATCGATTTTCGGAGCCCAAATTTACAGCATCAACAGCCCTTCAGCGCTTGCAGCTCTCATGACTCTCCAACACACACAACTCACGACTCTCGGCGGGGCTGCCAAACGATGCCCGCCGTGCTCCTCTTGCTGCTGGGCCTATTCATTGTCGTCGCCGCTTCGTCTATGCGCCGGCTTGTGACCGGAGCCCTCGCCAGCATTCCCGGGCCCCGATTTGCTGCCCTTTCTCGCGTCTGGTACGCATACCAAGTGCGCAACGGCCGGTTGCTGCAGCTGGCGAAGACGCTGCACAAGAAATATGGCCCGGTCGTGCGCGTGGCCCCGAACGAGGTGTGGTTCGACTCGCAAGAGGCTTTTCGGGTGATATACAGTGAGTTCCCTAAAGTATGCAATATTGTTGAACGACCGCTAAAATAAATAGACCCTAGCCATGGCTTTGACAAGTCTGACTTTTACCGTACGTGCGACACCCTGTCCGGCCCTTTTAGAACGCAAACTGACTTGCCCAGTATCTACCGTCTTATTCCACCCCGAGATGGACTGGCGGAAGCCGTCCGAGCTCAACTTTCCCGACACCTTGGACCTGCTGTCGGAGCGCGACATGAAGCGCTACCGCCAGCAACGACGCCTCATCGGCCCTGTCTATCACGAGACCAACGTGGCCAAGTTTGGCTCGGCCGTGGACGCCGTGCTGGACAGAGCAGTTGCCGAGCTACGGTCGTTGAACGGCGCCGAAGTCGACCTCAAAGAGTGGATGCACATTGTGGCCGTCGAATGCTTGGGCGCCGTTGTCCTGGGCTGGTCGCCCAAGTTCCTGCAAGCACACTCAGACTTTGGGTCGAGCAGTGCTAGCTACTATAACTGGCGCCGCAAGAGCGTGTTTGGCCTGTTCCCTGGATTCGTTGTCGCCGAGTTTCTGTGTGGCGGCCGCGGCTGGGTGATTCGGCCGTTTGCAGCCGTCTGGCGCCTGGGCTATGAGACGCGGGCCGGGTTCCGCAACTTCTTCACGGGCCTAGGCCAGCGTGTTGCCGCAAGGGTGCGGAAAGCAAAGCGAGCCGCGGCGGAGGCGGCAGAGAAGGCGGAAAAGGCGGAAAAGGAGGGAAAGGTGGCCGGTCAGTCTTCTCCGACACCCAAAGCAGCTAACCGCGACCTTATGGCCGACCTCATCGACCTGCACCGCACGAAGCCCGATTTCAACGACACTTACCTCCGCCGCATGGCCATTACAAACTTTGGCGCGGGCCACGAGACCATGTGCTCGGCATTGACCGCGGCCGTGGCCATGATTGGCTCGCACCCGGACGCGTTCCAGACCGTGGCCGACGAGGTGCGCGCGCTCAAGGGGAACAATAAGACTGTCTGTTCTGCGCGCGATGCCATGGCCAAAGTGCCCTTTACTGCAGCCAGCATCAAAGAGGCACAGCGGCTCCATCCGGCAATTGGCATGTCGCTGTCGCGCGTGGTCCCCGACGGTCCGCCGGTCGAGCTGCACGGGCATGTCTTGCCGCCGGGTACCATTGTGGGATGCAGCCCTCCTGCACTGCACCGCAACCGCGAGGTCTTTGGACAGGATGCCGACGAGTTTCGGCCTGGTCGATGGCTTGACGCGCAAAGGAAGGAAGAATTGGATCCCTTGCAACGACGGCTGATGGAGCGCATAAACTTGACATGGGGCGGCGGTGCACGCACGTGTCCAGGGCGCTACCTGGCCGAGCTGGTCGTATACAAGGCCGTCGTGGCTCTCGTGCGGAACTTTGACATTGAAGCGACAATGCCGGCAGACGAGGATATCCGGTACTACTTTTTGGCCATGCTGAATGGTGCGAGGGCACGATTCCATGTCAGGGAAGCGGGGACCAGGCGAAGAAAAGACAGCTCGAATACCGCGTAAATCAAACAAAAATAATAACCCAGAAATAAGTAGCAGTCACTTTTTTCGACAGAGTCGTGGTATCCTTGTCCAAGGGGAGCACAACTGACGATGTAGATGGCAGTAGTCGGCTCTTGTCGCTTATCTCTGTCTCGCTCGGGCCCACAGCGCCGTCTGCAGCGCCGATTACACTAAGACTAAGACGGGCCTCTCCATAACAGTCACAGCCTCAACTTCAACGCGATCCTTTTTCTTATTCTCTCGACGTCAACATAAACATTATCCACACACCCACCCTTCAGCATGTCCACGAATCCTCCACCGAACCCCCGCGTCGGCGTTGCGGCCATTGTCAAGAACCGCAACGGCCAATTTGTCCTCGGTCGTCGCAAGGGTGCACACGGCGCCGGAAAATGGCAGTTCCCAGGCGGCCACCTCGAGTTTGGCGAGGATCCATCCGCCTGTGCCCAGCGCGAAGCTCTGGAGGAGACTGGGCTGGCGGTGACACCACTTGGCATCCTGTCCGTGACCAACGACATCTTTACTGCCGACATCAAGCACTACATTACAATTTTCGTGCTGTGTCTACGAGTTGACGACTCAAAGGAGCCGGAGGTGAGCCAGGCTTCTCCATGTACTATTCCCACTGCTGAACGTCCCGCTGACGGTACAGAACCTCGAACCGCACAAATGTGAGGGCTGGTACTGGAAGGACTGGTCGTTTGTGGCGGAGCTGGCGCAAAGAGGCCCGGACGCGCCCGACGGTGTCTTCTTACCCATTGTCAACATGGTCAAGCAGCTGGGCAATCCGCCGTGGGTTTCGCTGGATGCAAATGAGTCGTGCAGGTAAAACAACGAACCGGTTAAACGAAGAAACGCTGTGTCTATGTATATGTAGTGCTGGATATCATAAAAATGCCTAACGACCTGAAATACAATAATAGAATCTACAATTCCCTTGTCGCTGTCCGCTGCCTACTTCCTGTAGTAAATCTTCTTGAACTGAAAGTGCAGCTGCAAAATGCCCTTCTCAAACACGCTCCGGAAGCCGCGCTCCCGCTTGGCGCTGTAGTCCCATTCCCGGTCGACGATGCGGAACGCAATGTCCTCGTATGGCGGGCCCGCCGAGAACCGGATCAGACACGTGTCCTCCTCTCCCGCGGGCGCAAAGGACTCGCCCTTGCGCCGCCCGCCTTCGCGCGTAATGTGGTACGTCGGTGCCTTGGTCTTGTCGATGAGCTCCGGGTAGAAAATGTTGAACTTGTAGCCCTGCACGACCTTGGGCGGCGGGTTGTCGTGGTCGTAGTGCGTCTGGTTGTACTTGTTCCACTCGTAGCCCATCTGCACGCGGTTGAAGTAGCGCGGCTTGCGCGGCCGGTACTTGTCCGACCACTTGGGTGCCGACGCCGTGGGCACGACCTCTTCGGCCGCAAAGATCTCCTCGTTCTCGCTGACGCCGCGTGCGACCTCGCGCTCGTACAGGGCCCGCGTGGCCTGTGAGAAGTCTTCGCTGGCGACCGCCGAGAAGCGTTCGGTGCCGGGAGGCGGGGCGTCCCCACCAGAAGCGGCGGTTGTCGTCTTGGTCACGGCAGTGGACGGCTCGCCGTCGTCGCTGTCCTTCTCTTCGATTCCGGCCTTGTCGTCGTCTGCGCCACCCCCCGCCGCTGCCCGTGCTGCTGCCGCCTCTTTCCGCAGCGCCAGCCGCTTCGCCCGCGACGCATCGTTGACCACCGCCAACTCGGCCTTGGCCTTCCACACGTGCAGCCGCTTCAGCATCTGCTCCCAGTGGTCCGTCTCCAGCGTCTCGTCCGACCGCAGCTTCGCCTCAATCTTCTTCTCCATCTCTTCGAGCTGCGCCAGCGTCTTGGTGTGCAGAATCTTGTCCACGTCCGTCAGCACGACGTCGGACGCCTGCCGCTGCAGTTGCTGCGCGCCGTGTCGCCGCTCCCGCCGCTCGTCGCGCGCCGCCCGCACCAGCACCAGCACCGCCTGCCAGTACCGGCGGTTCGCCCGCCGCTTTTCGAGCGTGCGGAACGACTTGACGTCCGCCTCCAGCTCGTCGAGGGCGGCGTCGTCGGCCGATGCAATCACGGCGTCAGGCAGCGGATACTCAATGTCGGCGTCCGTGTCCTTGTCGTCAAACGTGTCGTGGTCCTCGTCGACGAAGCGCAGGTTGAACGCCAGCAGGTCGATTGGCTTGGCCCGCCGCTCGCGCACGCGAATGTCGGCCTTGCTCTTGGACTGCTTGAGCACAAACGAGTCTTCTTGCGCGACGAAGCGCTCCGAGAGCTGCTCTTCCGTCATGTACTGTCCGCCGCCACGCGCGTCGCTAGGACCGCTGCCGTTGTTTCGAGATTCACTCGGTCGAGACCGTGAATCGCGCGAGTTGCCGTGATACGGCTGTCTCGAGTTGGAGCCGGAGCTGTAGCCTGAGCCTGAATGCGACGGGCCAGGGGCGTAAGGCTTCACGATGCGAGTGCGGTTGTCGCGTCGGGGACCCGTGGGGTCGCGTCGTTCGGGAGACCGCCGGCTTCTACCGCCGGCAATCATTGCTGCCCGCCCAGGATCCATTGTCGTCCGCCGTAATAATGTTGTCGAGATGTTCTTTAGTGGTATTGACAAAAGAGAATGGCAAAATGGTGGCCATGACTGCAGGCCACAGCCGATAACATACAGCGCTTGTTTAGCGCCTGAGAAGAATTTGGAGGTCATAATCGGCTAACTGCATGGATTACGTCAGCAGTAGCAAAAGACCTGTTGTGTTGCACGTTTTCATGGTGCTTTAAGTACAATATTGGTAATTTTAAGAGAAGAAATCTAGTATGTTGTGGTTTGTTTCTTTCTTCTTGTTTTTCTTCGCTTTTGGTCTATATGTATGTCACATTTTGCGTTTACAATGTCAAGCCGAAGATAATATACGTCGTGCTAGAACGATTTAATAGATCTCAGTGTAGGGAATCGAACACATCACGTAAAGCTTCAATTTGAAAATAAACAGATAAGACGTCGAGATTTTGAGATATATCCCAGACTACGAGTGTATATGTTCTATATCTTTACGCTTCATCAACCTCGACCTTGCTAGAGCTAATAGCTCACAATCACGTCCGTCGCATTGCTTCGTCGGGGGTTTTCACCTCGCGTAAAACAATCTTCCTTTGGCTTCGGCATTTAAAGCTTAACTCCCTTAATAACGGCGCTTATTTGCAACGTCGTCTCCTCTAATGACTCGTCTCGATATTCTTTTGTTATTTGGTGTATATTTCTGCGCACTAACCTTGCCAGTTTCTGGTTTGATAGCACTTTCGACACCTCCAATGCCTTGTCGACCGACATCTGTGCTTTTTTTGCGCGCTCTTTTGCGGCACGTGTGACTTGGCTTGACTGACGTGACAAGCTCCCCGCCCACATACCGCAAGTAATGGCTCCGAAACGGCACGCGAATTAGCCGAGCGACACCTTCGAGCGGGCGTGCCCCGCACGGGCATGCATGCTTTGGACAAGCGGCTTGCCAGATGATACCAGAATGTAACTGAAAACGGGGGTACCATACAAAATACCTATGTGCGGATGACAAATGTGCCGTTCTCGGACCTTGATCCTGTATAAAGGTTAAGGCTCCCATGTTTAGTCGAGCTGAAAGTCCTTTTGTTTGCTTAAATTTTGGAACTCCGGCTTCATTTGTGTCTTGTCGTTTTCTGAGCACACGTTCCAACAACCTATTAACCTACTGAACAATCTCCATCATGTCGACCGCTGTCGAGAAGCTGACTGCCTCAGTCGAGGCCACCAAGGTCGACTATAAGGTGAGCATGCTTTTGCAATAACAAACCATCATAGTTCCACGAACACAGATCAGAGACTGACCGAGTTCCTTTCCCTCTCGTAGCGCCTCGGAAAGAGCGGTCTCCGCATTTCGGTGCCGGTCCTCGGCGCCATGTCGATTGGCACTCCCGACTGGGCACCGTGGGTGCTCGGCGAAGAGGATTCGCTGCCCATTTTGAAGGCGGCATACGACCGCGGCCTCAACACGTGGGACACGGCCAACGTGTACAGCAACGGCGAGTCGGAGCGTGTGATTGCCAAAGCATTGAAGACGTACGACATTCCCCGGCGCAAGGTGCTCCTCTTCACCAAGCTCCACGGCACGGTCGCCGAGGACGTCGGGATTCGCACCGTGTTCCACGGCGACGCGATCAAGAAGAGCAAGGACTATGTGAACCAGGGCGGCCTGTCGCGGGCCGCCATCTTCCACCAGGTCGAGGCGTCGCTCAAGCGGCTGGAGACGGACTACATCGACCTGCTGCAGATCCACCGCTTCGACCCCAACACGCCCGGCGAGGAGACCATGGAGGCGCTGCACGATCTGGTGAAGAGCGGCAAAGTGCGGTACATTGGCGCGTCGTCGATGTGGACGTACCAGTTCGCGGGCCTGCAGCACATTGCCGAGTTGCACGGCTGGACCAAGTTCGTGTCCATGCAGAACCACTACTCGCTGCTGTACCGCGAGGAGGAGCGCGAGATGAACCGGTACTGCACCGAGACGGGGGTCGGCCTGATTCCCTGGGCGCCCCTGGCGCGCGGCCACTTGGCACGGCCTCTCGCGCAGTACGGCCAGACGACGCGGTCGAACGGCGAGGCGGCCACTCGGGACGGCCTGAGCGACGCCGAGAAAGCCATTGTGACGCGCGTGCAGGAAATTGCCGACAAGCGCGGGTGGACCATGTCACAGGTGGCACTTGCGTGGATCAACAAGCGCGTGTCGAGCCCCATTGTGGGCCTGAGCAGCATCGCACGGCTGGAGGAGGCCACGCAGCTGCAGGGCAAGGAGCTGATCGAGGAGGAAGAAAAGTATCTTGAGGAGCCCTACAAGCCGGTGGCCATCCAGGGGCATTCCTAGATGACGGAAACAAGCAGCTAGCGAGACTGAAGCGATGGTTAAATTTTATAAAGAAATTTGGCGCCTATATCTTTATACATAACTCCAAACGTGACGCGGCACACAATGCGGTCAAGGAATGGGTGTAAGGGTGATGTCTTTCAAGATACCATGTTGTGTCGACGATACAACTGGGTTGGTTGCGAGAAGATAAAATTTGTTCTCGGCAAAGCTTAACGAAATAGACAAGCGTCCATGGAAAGGCAGCATGACTTAACGATGTTGATGTTGACGGACCATTGGCCATTTGATGACGATAAGATGGCTTGTAAGAGAGAGGGCCGGACTTTTGCAACAACTGAAAAGTCCGGGCGAATTGTCCGTTCGAGCAATTTGATGATTGGCTGAGAGGGTACCATTGCCGCCCCACTGGACCTCGCTGGACTCCGCTGGAGATTACGGAATTTAGTGATGTTGTCATTCGGCCGACTGTGCCTAGTGTTGGCTGTATTGAGTAAATTGGACAGCTGTGGCGGACATGTCCAGGGGTCCTTCGGCTTCTAACCGGCGCTGTCATCCAAGTCGAGAAAGCCGTCAGGCTACAGCGGTTCGAGAAGATAGGCTTTTGACAAGGGCGCGTCACGACCTGGCGGCGATTTCATGATTCACTCTTCCAAGTCACCGTTGTGTCGTCGTCGACTTGCCTCTGAATCCCCGTGGACGGCATGTATAAAAGCGTCAGAGTCTGTCTTTGATCCCAAGCAAGAGAACAACAGACAGACTCACCTTCATCACCTCTCTAGTCTTGTCTCTTCACTCTCCTAGCCCCGCTTTCCTTGTCAGCCTCGTTCTGACAGGTACACACATACACACACTTCGTCTCACGCACGGGTGCACCGCCTGCAGCCTTGCTTACAACCGCATTTCGCGCCATTGGCCGTCACTTCTCAGCCTCGTGCCGTGCTTACAGCCACATCCACCATGACTGTCTCCCAAACTATCCGTGTCGGTGTCATCTCTGGCTCCACGCGTGTCGTCCGTGCCGGCCCTCAGATCGCTGCCTGGGTTCGCCAAATCATCGAAACAGACCTCAAACAAACACCTGCGCCGGGCGGCGTCGCCCTGGAGTTTGAGACCATTGATCTCGGCGCCATGGGCCTCCCGCTTCTGGACGAGCCGGGTATCCCCGCCCATATCGGCACCGCCGACGGCTACACCCACGAGCACACCCGCGCCTGGTCGCGCCAGGTCGCAGCCTTGGACGGCTTTGTTTTTGTCACGGCGCAGCACAACTGGGGCATCCCCGCGGGCCTCAAGAATGCGATTGACTATCTGTACAACGAGTGGCGGGGGAAGCCGTTTATGGTGGTGACGTACGGCGGCCACGGCGGCGTCCATGCGGCGGCGGCGCTGCAGCTGGTGCTCGGCGGCGGCCTCAAGATGCTGGCCCTGAAGGAAACCGTGAACCTGACGTACCCGGGCAAGGACGTGTTTGATAAGTGCACCCGGGGCCAGCCGCTGGGCCTTCCGCCGGCCGGCACGGCAACGATCTGGCAGGATCGACAGGAGGACATTGCCAAGACATGGCGCGAGTTGGCAGCCACGTTGGCGAAAAAGGCCGAGAAGGCTACGTGAAGGACGGACGGGTGCTCATTCTCTCATATTGTCAGCGATTCGGGAGCAGCTTGTATCCGTGGATAATAGAAGAATAACAGGAGCAGGCGAGAGCGATCAGACAAGATAGTAATATGTACCACTATATGCTTCTACCATCAGATATAATCAGAATCGTCAATGCTAGTAGGATGGCCGTCCAATTCGTCTGATCGGCCGTCGGGCGGACCAACTTGGAGAAATCTTATTGGCCAACATTTACGGGTAGACCGAAATGTTAGTAATATTTGACGAGACATAGAGTTGGAGTGGGTGTAGGTGGTTTGTAATTTTTGTGCTGACTGGTGGCGGCTTTTCCGCCGCTACGGCGGCGGAAGTTGAGTGAGGGCTTTGCCAGCCGTTTCACTACAGCCCTTGGCTTGTCCGCACTCGTCCGCACTTACATCCGTTGACAAGAGAATGTCTTTATGATTCTGGCTCGTTTTGACATTGTTTATCCTTTGCTTTGTGATTTATAATTCTTGGCGTTTTCGTTCGCTCGATTTATTGTAGAGGAATCTGTATGGAAACAGGTAGAGGATGCAGCTCAATTCGCTTGGAAATCAATGTACATATCATGAGAGACGTAGCAGAAGAATGGCAGAAAATGACTGTGCAACAGGACGAAAGGACGAATCGTCCGAGCCACTGCATATATAAGACGGAGATGTCGTCGTCGTCCAGCAGGTTCTAGTCATATCAGCAACAAGCACAAACTGAATGCGAAGACACACCTCAGAAAACTCAACTCGAAAACAAAACAACTCACATTTTATCACCATGCCTCGCCTTAATGGAAAGACCGCTGTCATCACGGGCGGTGCCACCGGCATCGGGTTTGCCACCGCCCAACGCTTCGTCGAAGAGGGTGCCTTTGTCTACATCTTTAGTCGCCGCCAGGATGTGCTCGACAAGGCCGTCAGCGCGCTGGGGTCTCAGGCGCGTGGTGTTCAGGGCTCCGTCGCCAAACTGGACGACCTCGACCGCCTCTACGCCACCATCAAGAAGGAGCGCGGCAAGCTCGACATCGTCGTGGCCAACGCCGGCACCGGCGGTCCACTCAAGCTGGGCGAGATCACCGTCGAGCACTGCGACGACACACTGGAGACGAACATCAAGGGCACTCTGTTCACTGTCCAGAAGGCCCTGCCGCTCCTGGGCAAGGGCAGTTCCATCATTCTGACCGGATCCAGCGCGGGCACCACCGGATCGCCCAACTTCAGTCTCTACTCCGCCAGCAAGGCTGCCGTGCGCAATTTTGCGCGGACCTGGGCCGAGGATCTGATCGGCACGGGCATCCGCGTCAACGTGGTGTCGCCCGGACCCACGGCCACCGATCTGGCCAAGGCTGCTCTGGGCGAGGGGGGCCAAAAGGTCTTTGCGGACCAGAATCCACTGCGGCGCATGGCCGAGACGTCCGAGATTGCCGCCGCGGTGGCCTTTTTGGCGTCGGACGACAGCAGTTTCATGACGGCCAGTGAGGTGGCCGTGGACGGTGGACTGGCGCAGATTTAAATTGGGCGTTGGCGAATTGGTGGACCTGGGGATACATGTTGGACCGCAGAGTAGAGCCTGTGTTGTGAGGTGTGGTGATACGGTTGGGAACATGTAGCTCAGTCAAGATGATCATAAATACACGACCGGGAGAAATGTGTCATCTGCACAAAATTAGACGCTTCATTTCAGTCCATAAATGCTTATTTCCCACCGACGCCACACTCAAAATGATGACGTCGACCGGCGCACTCTACCTGCTGTGTCTTCAAATCCTCACATGTCTTCATATTGGGCACATTCGAAACCCTTCCCTCTAATCGAAATGCACATAGGCCCGTATCCTACTCCTTAGCAGCGGGCGCCTTCCAGGCCTCTTCAAACTGCGCAGCGCCCTCGACCACCGGCACCCAGCCAGGCTTGCGCGACGTAAACGTCTCGCTGGCCGGCTGGAACTCGGCAAAGGCATTGTCGTCCATGACGCCCGCCTTGACCACGACAACACCGGCAAACGAGGCCGACTCGGTCCACAGCGTCGAGCTGCACTTGTTGCAGAACTTGCGCTCGACCGGGTTGCCGCTGCCGCCGGTGGCAATGTACGTCGTGGGCTCGCCGGCGACAACCTTGAAGTTGGTCCGGGGCACGACCCAATTGAGGCTGTAAGTCGACGACGTGGTCTTGTGGCAATTGCGGCAGTGGCAAAGGGCCTGAAGGGATGGAAGAAGGAGGGGGAGAGGGGAAATAAATCAGTTCATGTCCTGCAACACTACGACCGCCTACCCCAACTCACCACATGCGCAGGACCGCCCTGCACCTCGATTTGGATCGCGCCGCAGGAGCAGCTGCCCTTGTAAGTCTTGTCGGCCATTGAGATGTTGTCGGTGGAAAAAAGTGCAGAAACGCAAAGTGAATCAGCGTTTGTCGTGAAGTGCGGCCAGCGAGACACTTATGCACGGCCGGAAACGAAAGTTGGTCCTCTTATCGCCGCTGCTTACTGGCAAAGCGGGACAAAACGGGCCGACCGACGCAGGAGAGGGGAACCCACGTGGATCCAGACAGCCCCGGAATAGGATGCCGTAGCGGGTGTGGGCAGAATACCACGGATGACAACCATAACACGCAGAACGGGCGCCGGTAGAGTAGAGCGTCGGGGACATCCGATCTGGAGTCTGCTCTGTGGATCCAACAACAAGGCGCAGCGGTGATTATGAAAATGCTGTTCCTTGCTGTGGCAGAAAATACGCAACATGAATGTGAAGTCCATAAGCCAAAAGGTGTAATTGAAATCGTTTTCCAAATACTGTCGTCGTCTCACGTTCCTGTGCGCAGATTTGTCACACAGGCTTTGATTTACTTGCTTGATTATCTCGTGAGCCGGACCAAAGGCCGTCCCACAACGTTGCGCCATCTGTCGTCGCCATCGTTCTGCAACGTCAAAACCCTCCCGTTTGTAGCCAGATAGGAAGCTCGATCTTGTTTTGATTTTGTAGTAGATAAGACCAAATCTTAAGTAAGATCCTCGGTGGCGAGGGTGTATTGTCAGTCCCGCGTTGCGCTTCGTATTGGTGAGAACTTGCCTTCTCGGTGCAACTGCGACCGATCTTCTGTCTCCCAGAATTCCAAGTACGAGCTGTACCAACTGGAGTAGTCTGAAATCAGGCTCTTGGCCCGGCGCTCGACTTTCTCCGGCGGACAGGGCTCGGCGAATTCCAGGTCTAAAAAGACGAGCCGCCCACCGCGCTGGTCGCTGCTGCCCTCGTTTTGTACGACGAGATTGTTTGGTTGTAAGTCGTCGTAGGAGACGCCCTGGTGGAGCATTTCGGCGTGTGCAGCACCTAGACGCCGCTTAAACTCGTCTAGGGAGATGGGCATTGTTTGGCGATCGGCTACCTCACCCTCGACGACGGATAAGACAATGGCCCGTTTCTGTTGTCCGTCGTCCTCGCGGAACGATGCCTCGCCGTAGAATCGGGGTATAGTGCGCCCCTGGATGGCCTGCAGCTGTTTGTACATGGCGATCTCGTTGTCAAAGAGCTCTGTGCGGCACAGGGTCGGGCGGGATAGCTTTTTTAAGACGACGCGCGGCGGCAGAAACGCGCCTGGCCAGCAGCGCTTCACGAGAGCCTGAAGGGGTGCGGGCAGCCAGGCCGCACAGCGCCTCACAAGGCCGTTCCAAGCACGCGGTCGAATCGTGAGGCGGAGGACGTGTGGATACAAGTCGTGGAATAAGTTCGCATCGGCGTGGATCCAGCTGCGGCCGAGCCGGAACTTGTGGCGTGTTAGTACTCTGCCGAGAAAAGTGGCGAGACTAGGGTGTGTCGCGTCGCGTACCTGGACTATGCGTGGATACTCGAGCGGCTCTTCTTGGTCAGAGTCGCGGTGCCTCCGATCGTACCCCATTTTGGATGCGGCAACAATGTCTAGGGCATTGAATAGTTGTCGTAATTGAGGTTGGTCTCGTTGAGGCCTGTGCATTGCGCCGTCCGCAGAAAAACAAGGATCGAGTCGAGACAAACACGTGACTTTAGGCATCAACGTGAGGCTTACCTACAAGTTCTATCTGCTTTACGTTTAATAATTCCATTGTTAGGCAGAGAGACAATTGCTTACACGGCTTATTCTGGAATCTTGACAACAATTCGCCCCGTGACGTTGTCCGTGCGGAGCTGCTCAATGATGGCCGGCGTTTCGGCAAAGTCCCGGACCTCGATCGCGGGTGTGACTTTGCCACTGGCCGCCAGCTCGAGAAGCTCCTCCATCCGCTGCTCTGTGTCCACAGCAACACCCGTGACCGTCAACGACCGTGCCGAACACAGGGACGCCGACACGGGAAGGGTAAAGTCGTTGTGTGGCAGGCCGATGCTGACAATGATGCCCATGTTGCGGACCAGCCGCGGAGCTGTGCGGAACGCGTCTTCGGAGCCCGAGACGACCAGGACAGCGTGGGCGCCCTCGCCGCCGGTGATGTCATGGACGGCCTTCTCGATGTCGTCGTCAGGCTGCTTGTAGTCGAGGAAGTGGTGTGCGCCCGAGTCCAGACTCAGCGTGCGTTTAGCATTGCCACTGTCGATGGCAATGACATTGTACCTTCCGGCGCGTTTTGATGACGCGAGCTGCACGCCGAGATGGCCCAGACCGCCACCCGCACCCGAAATGACGACCCAGATACCGCCTTTGTCGTCCTCTCCGCCGCTGGTCGACGCCACGTGGGTGTCCACTTTGGCGAGGCCGCCCATCATGGTGAGACCGGCACACAGGAGCGGCGAGACAACCTCACTGGCAAGACCGGCGGGGATGCGCGTGGTGACATACCGCGCATCGGCAACGACGTACTGCTGGAGCGTGCCGGGGACGTGCTTGCCGGTGTTGCGTTGCCGCGGGCAGTTGTTGGGGAACCCGCGGCGGCAGACCGAGCAGGGCCGCTGCGGTGGGTTGCCGCAGGCGCTGTAGAGCCATTTGACGCCGACGCGTCTGCCAAGGAGGGACTTTCCGCAGTCGTCGCCGGCCTTGACAACAGTGCCGATCCCCTCGTGGCCGACGATGGAGTTGTAGACGCCCCAGGCGAGTAGGGCACGGACTTCCGAGCGGCTGTTGGGAGTTAGGAGTCTTGCCAAGATACGATTTCTGTTTGCTTGCGTATACACCTACCACAGACCGGAATACTCGAGCTTCACGAGAATCTCGTCTGGGCCGGGCTCGGAAACGGGAACGTCGTCTTTGATGACGATAATGCCCTTGGGACCCGGGTTCTCAATCACGGCCGCCTGTTGTGTTTTGGGTATCTGGAAGGCCATGGTGGAAGTTGGATCCTCTCAGAAGATGGGGTTTCTCGATCGTTGGTACAATAAAAGGGTGACAAAACACATGAGGTCGATGTGTTGAGAATGAGAAAGACGTGCACATCATTAGAAATCTAGCGTGTTAGTCGTGCGGGGAGTGGGGCCATTGTCTCCGACTCCGAAGAGCGGACGCAGTGGACGAAGCGCCGGAACGGAATCGCGGCAACTGCACCAAGCCTAGTCTACGCGCAACTCGAGCAAAACATACTTTCGAGCAACCGTTGGTTTATTTGCCCATTTTATCTCATGCTTCTGTGTTTGGCAGAGAAGCACGCGGTGTAGCGTGCGAGCGGTCGGTGAACGGAATGAGTACAACAGCGGCCAAAGACATTCCGTCAGACACCGGCCCCGACCAGCCACGTGTCCCACTGGTTCCAGTCCACACTGACTGTCGAATCGATGTCCATGGCGACCAAGGGGTCAAGGTTGCCTATCTCGACGTCACCAGTCGGCGCATTGCCTCCTGCTGCCGTCGTTCGGTCGTCGACCATGCTACTACTCTTGTCTGTCTGCACCGTCTGTTGTGCCTTTGATTCCCGTGCTTTAGCCAGCCTTGCCGCCGTTTCCCTCGACTTTCTCAGCTGCACGACATAGGTCGGCGCCGTGGAGCCAACTGCCGCAACAGCTTCGTGCTGAGCAAACGCTTTCAGGCAGAGGTTGCCAACGGCGACGTGGATGGGTCTGTTGCTCTGCCCCGACAGCATCTCCGGGTTGTTTGTGTACGTCTTCTCGACAAGATTCCAAGCCCTGGCAGCCTGCTCGATGTCAGGCTCGGCCCTCAAGGTGTCCAGCACGTGGATGATGGCGTGCCACTGCTGAAAAAAGGGCGCATGCCAGGCAAAGTTGCGCAGGTGAGGATTGGACTGGAGCATGTGCTGCTGGTCCAGAATGGCCAGACAGAGACGCCATACGACGGCGCGTTCTTCCTTGCTTGGTGCATCGCCCGCAGCACCACGGTCTGTCCACCGTCATGGATGGCGTGTCATGAAGCGCAGGATGTTGATGGCACAGCGGGCCATGAGGGTAGCCATGAGATGCAGCGGCTTGGACGGGTCGCAGTAGCGGAGGTAGCGCGTCTCGAGGCGGGCTTCAATGTCGGCAAAGTCGTTGTCGAGGGCGCTGGTGGTGTACAGACGCCAGGGGTTCGTACTTGGACCCGGGATCTGCTGCCGGCGCAGGGCACTCAGCCGTGCGGCCGTGAACCGCAGCAGCTCGCACTTGACGGCGACAAATACGGCGTCCGTGGCCGACGATGCCTCGCCCAACGGCGGGAGGGGGCTTCCCGCCATGGCCGGGCCGAGGGCAGCGTCATCGACATTGGCCGGCCACTGTGTCGCCAGAGCGGCCGTGGATCCTGCTGTCAGGGTACTGTCCACGTCCAAATCCTGGAACTTGGGCCGGCCACAGAGCTCGGCAGTGCGAAAGTCGTGCACCCGCAGCTGCCACCACAGCCGGCGGCGCATCTCAACATCAAAGGGCGGCAGGGGCGGCGACTCTCGCAAGCCGTCACGATCCAGCCCCATGCCCTCAGCCAGGCGTATGGCCACGCCGGTCAGCGTCCACACGGCACGTGGCTCGTGCAGATCGCGCACGGCGAGGAGGTAGAGGAGGAGTGCCTGCAGGACAATGATATCGGTGGTGCCGAGCACATTGGCTCGCATGAGGGCCGTCTCAGTGGCAGCAAGGTAACGGGGGAGCAGGACGGATCGCGGCTCGCCCAGTGTCTTGGAGCAGTCGTCCTCTCGCAGGGACATTACGGCCGCCGCGTAGACGGCAAAAAGGAGAGCCTCGAAAGCACGTGGAACCGCGGGCGTGTCTCGGAAGGCGTTCTCCATGGCATGCTTGACGGTGGGCATATGCAGTACCTTGGTCAGAGGGTCGACGTTCTCGCAGTAGACCTGCCACAGTCGACGAGACATATCGAGAGGAGGATGCTCGGGGCGATACCCATGCGGTGACGGACGATTTGCAAAAATGAATGATGGGCCGACGCCGGTGTTGCCGGGCGTGCCCTTCAAGCGAACCTCCACTTCATCGTCGCTGGAGCCATCATGGGTGATGTTTAGGTCGTCTTGGGGATCAAACTAAATGAAAAGTCAGTTGGTGATCAAGAACGGCTGGACGGACACTGCTCGTTGCTGACCTCTTCAATGACTCGAGTCCACAGCACACTGTTGTTGTCAGCAACGCGAGACAGAATTGTGAAGACAGGAACGACGACACACTTGCTGGCAAGCCTAAGACGGCCTGGGCTGGCTCCAGACGGTGTCGATTGTATCGACTGCGCTGACTGTGTCGACTGTGCCGTGTGGAGTGGCTCCTTTTCAGACGGTTCGCTCTCACGTTGTCGCGGAATATTGACGGGCAAAGACTCTGGATCGATGCCTCTCTCGCGAAACCAGGCTTCATACTCGCGCAGCTGTCCAGCGAGGGCCTGGATCTGGACGTTTGCATTGTTTGGGCGTCTCCGCCGGTTGCGTGGCGGCAGAGGCAGAAAATCACAGTCCAGGTCGAGTCGGACACATGCTTCACAGGGACGTTTCCGGTCACATCTACGTCGTGCGGTCAGTCAGTCAAGCTGTAACAAGACGCGCGAAATGGACAGTGGAATGGCCTTGTCTCTTACTTGACTTTCCGCTCAGAACATCGTGCACAAGCGTGGTTGTGCCGAGCAGTCTCCATGGAAGCTGTTGTATTTACCTTCGTTCTCACATGTTGCGCTTCCTCAATGTTCTGAGACGTTGTCGTCAACTCACTGTCGAGTGAGATGTCAGTGCTGAGCGACGCCCGAGGGCAGCCTCTGATTGGCGGGTTTCGTCGGGCCCGACTAACGGCCGACACTAACACCAAAGGTGATCCATGCCAGCGTTATCTCGCAGGAGTTCTACTGGCACTTTACAGCGCTTACCAGTCGGGCGTGTGTGCCCCCGAGGAGGCAACAACCGACAGAGACCGACGTGAGGCTCCGATGATGATATTATGGAGGAAGAGTAAACGTTAAATTTCTAAAATGTCGAATGGGTATATAAGTTCAAGCTGGCCAGTCTGTCTCAAACGACAATCCGTTCGATCCTCATCTCTTCCCCAAGATCATCAGTCCTCTTACACAACTCGTCACCACATCACCACATCCCCCACATCACCATATTCTCTTACACATTGCACATCTCTTCCATGCCTCCTCCACGGATTGCCATTGTCGGCGGCGGGCCGGCTGGGCTCACTCTCGGCGTGCTTCTCCACCGACAAAACATCCCCTTCACCATCTTCGAGCTACGCAAGCAGCCCACCGAGGCCGACCTGGCCCGCCCATCGGGCATGCTCGATCTGCACCCCGGATCCGGCCTGGATGCCATTGAGGCGTGTGGTCTGACGGCCGAGTTTGGTCCGCTAACGGGCGAGTGCAGCCAGCAGTTTCTGATTGCCAACCGGGCGGGTGAGGTGCTGATGGCAGCCGACGGCGGCGGCAAGCGGCCCGAGATTTCCCGCAACAACCTGTCAAAGCTGCTGTCGACGCATGTGCCGCCAGAAAGCATTCGCTGGGGACATCGGCTGGCGGCGGCCAGCAAGACGGCCGCTGGCACGACGGCCCTCGACTTTGGCGACAACGGCTCGCACACCTTCGACCTGGTGGTGGGCGCCGACGGCGCGTGGTCCAGGGTGCGGGCGCTGCTCAGCGACACGCGGCCGCACTTTACCGGCATGCACTGCGTGACCGTGACCGTGACGCACCTGACATCCCGCTTCCCGCACCTGGCCGCGCTCGTCGGCTCCGGCTCCTACTGCGTCCTCGGCCGCCGCCACGCCGTCGTCTCCCAGCGCGGGCCCCTCGACTCGGCCCGGCTGTACTTGTGGCTGACGGTCGCCGACGAGGCCTTTGCCGCCACGCGGGGTCTGGCCGGGAAGCCAGCGCGCGCCGCCAAGCAGGTCCTGCTGGGAGACGAGGACCTCCTAGCCACATTCGGCCCGCGCGTCCGGGACCTCGTGACCACCGCCTGCGACGAAGACGTGGCCACCGACAGGACGGACGGCACGCTGGACATCCGGCCCTTTTACACGCTGCCGTACGGCTGGTCGTGGCCGTCGCAGCCGGGCGTCACGCTGGTCGGCGATGCCGCGCACCTGATGCTGCCCAACGGCGAGGGCGTCAACCAGGCCATGCTGGATGCGCTGCTGCTGTCCAAGGCGGTTGCCGAGGCGTATCGGGCACGTGGCGAGACGGGCGACTTCATCACAACTCTGAGTCCCCTCCTTCAGTCATTCGAAAAGGACATGCTGGCTCGCGCCGTCAAGGAAGGCGAGGAGACGGACCAGCGCATTGGGCTCATGTTTGGCTCCGATGATGCTGCTTGTGATTTTGTGGCAGCCATGAAGGGCATGGTAGGGGGTGACGCGAAGGAGGGAACGGAGGAATAGGAGGAAGAGCAATAAAAGGAGACAAGGAGACAATCTTGGCGTGTTGGAATAGACGAGCTTTTTTTTCTTCAGATAGATGATTATTTGATATATTGTTGATTTATGACAAGAATAAAAAGGATGTAATAATTAATATGTGTCTTTTTTTGTCAAAACAAAATGCGAACATCCAATCCGTATCAAGCTCAAATAGCCTCAACCAGGAAACAATTTGCATGAACCGTACAATCTGCTCGTCATGTCAGTTGGTACTGTGTCAAATTCCGTTGGTACAGAATACTGCCATGTTCGATGCGACTAGGAAGTCCAGACCAGATAAAATAAGAATAAGAATAAGGATAAGCATCTGACAGTTCCAAGCACTAAAAGTCCGCTAATTGCACGTGTCGGAGGAGTGGAAGAATGTGTCTACGAAGTAGCTTATTTGTTTCTTGGCCGTATCCATGGAAGTGTCTCGTGTTGTCCGGCCCTTTGCTCGTTTGAGTATGGTATCCGTTCCGTCTTCTTTCCAACTCGCTTCTGTTGACTGCGTTCAATTATTCAATTAATATTCTTCGTTCCAGCCTTCCCCTGTGCCGCCAACATGGAAACCATACTTTGGGACAACCAGACAAACTCCTCCAACAAGAAAACCAGACTTCCCCCAAGCCGCTGTTGCATTTGCGCCCGTTTGAGCAAATTAAAGACCACACCACCAGACGCGCCGCCCTCTCGGTCCCAGCCTTTTCTTGGCCTTTTCCTGCGTCCGCCGTCTTGGCATTGGACGTCCAACGCAAATTCCCCTCCCAATTCCCCAAAACCCCATGCAAACTCCATGCACTCCGATGCAGGTCTACCTTTTGCCAAGCCCATCAATGGCAAGGCCCAGCACAACCTAACAAACCCACCAAACCCACGGACCCTTCAATGGACCAAACGGGTGTAAGAGCTGGCTTTGGGAGAGCTTGCGTGGGGCAGCAACAGCGCCATCGTTTCTGCAAAAGGAAATATCGACAAAAAAACATGCTCACTCTGCCGGCCGCCATTAAGCTTCTTTTACCTTTTGTTTCCTTGGTGCAATTGTGTGCCTTTCGTTTCGTTTTGTTTGTCTACCCCTTCACCGAGCATGTCACTCTTCACTCTTGTCACTCTTGTTAGTACTTTTCGTTGCTTCGGCCCCACGATCTACTCATCGTCTCCTTGTCCTTAATTGCCAGCCAGCCCATCAAAGTCCAGGTCAATGTCCACGTCAGTCTGACCCGATTTGCTTTAGTGTCCGTTTTACGCCATACTCCGTACATTGTGCTTCGTACGAACTGCATCGTCTTAGGTCGCTGGCCGGCCAAGGCTGCATGCGAAGCATTGGTTCCTCAGCGGCACAGAGAACGAGGCAATATCAGCTGTGGCTGACCAGCAGCATCTGCTACCCTGCACGTCCTCGTAGAGCCCAATATTACTCTTCTGTGCTAGTCATTCGTTTCTTTTACGTATTTCCCCCTCGCTGCCGCGGGATGGATCGGTAACCCACACAAGCTATTCTGGTCGTCGGAGAGCTTGTCCTTGCATCTTCTCGCCGACAGCAGCTCAGCTCTCCGACGGTCTTGGCGAACAGTTGGGTATATAAACCATCAGCAAGCACACGCACCTCCTGCCGTCTACTTGTGTCTTGTTCCTTTTGTCTTGTCAGACATAAAAGCTTCCACTGTCCAGTCACGTCTCACACCTCTCCAGCCTTCCCAAACGTCTGCATCGTCTCACTCGTCTCATCCTATCTCCATCTCTTGATTTCCCCACCCACTTACCTTCTCAAGATCCACCACCACCATGCTTGCCTCCATCGCCACTCTCGTCGCCGCTGTCGGCGTGGCCTCTGCCCACTTCCAGATCGAGTACCCCACCTGGCGTGCCGACTCGCTCAACAACGACAGCTACTCGCAGTACGACTTCCCTTGCGCCGGTGTGCCCCAGGGCGTCGCCGGCGACAACCGCACCGACTGGCCCACCACCGGCGGCTCTCTGTCACTCGACCTCCACCACCCCTGGACTTATGTCTTTGTCAACCTCGGCCTCGGCGACAACGTCACCAACTTCAACTACTCGCTGACCCCCAGCTTCTGGAACGAGACCGGCAAGGGCGTCCTGTGCATCCCGCACCTGGACCTGCCGGCCGGCCTGGCCCCGACCGACGGCCAGCGCGCCACCATCCAGGTCGTGACACTGGGCGAGAGCGGCAGCGCCCTGTACAACTGCGCCGACATTACCTTCCGGAACAGCTCGGTGGCCAACTTTGGCGGGGCCAACTGCACGACGGACGCGGGCGTGAGCTACACGCTCATTGGCGACCAGGCCAACGGAACATCGTCGTCCGGTGGCAGTGGCAGCGGAACGGCCACCTCGTCCGGCAGCGCCGGCAGCGCCAGCACGACGACCACGGGCAAGAACGCAGGGGCGGCCAGCGGCGTCAACAAGGCCGTGCTGACCTCGGTTGTGGCCCTGGCCGTGGCTTTTATGTATGGCATGAGTGCATGAGACAAACGATGCTACGAAGAGGAGCACCGATGGAGGGGTAATCCCTTGGTGACGAAATGAGCAAATCGAACTGTAATGGTAGATGGTATCAGAAAAATATGAATTGTATTATGCTGGCTTGCTTGGAACCGCCTTTGCTTGGCCTTCTAGCTTGCGCTCCGCGCTGTCGTGATGCCCATGTCATCTATGTTTTTTTTTGTTGGCTATGCTGTTGTATGTATGATGGATAATAATGTCAAGAATAATAACCTCGAAGAGCAGAGTTAAATGATGAGAAAGCCGGAAGTCAATGCCACTGTCAATGACAAGATGATACGTAAATGCAAAAGTGTGCAGATCAAATAACTTTTGAGGTCAGGTCTCCTCTTCGTTCAGCATGCATATATGCGCCGTTCCCAATAGAAAGCACAGACAAAAGGTAAGAACAACAGCCATGATAGAGTGCGAGAAGACACCCTTAAAAATGCAAGACTCAACAGCGAAGCGGAGTGCGACGGGAACAACACCCAGAATGAAACAATAAAAAGTGAATCAGTGAAACAATCAAACAATGTAGCAAAGACAAACAAACGGTCGCAAGGGACCAATGACGTATCGAAAGTCCGTCAACCATAAAGACATAAAAGTAAACAGAAAAGGGTATGAGAAGACAGAAAAAACAAAAGGGGCAAAAAAAAAATTCGAATGCCGACACTGAACAAAACATAAGCCGTAGGATGCCTCCCCAGGAAGAAGGATGTAAAAGAAGAAGAAAAAGAAACATATAACGAAATGAAAAGCAAACAAATCCCGTAAATGTCGTGCCAACAAATAAATCCCACCAAATGAACAATTCGTACTCGTCACGCAGCCGTCTTCACGCCGCCATCTTCACGCCGCCATCTTCATCAGCTCGCTCACCACCCGCTTCATCGTGATCCGCTGGTTCGGGTTCGGCGCCAGCATCTCGTACGTCAGCCCCTCAATCGTCTCGCTGCGGTCCAGCTTGTCCTTGGCCTCCCGGATCTCCGACAGCCACATGTTCATCTGCATCGCCGCCGACGGCGTTCCCGTCGCGTTGCTGCCGCCGCCACCGCCGCCACCGCCGCCATTTGTTGTCGACAGCGCCGTCGTCTTGTTGACATCGGCAATCATCCAGTACAGAGGTTTCGGCCGGTTGCGCCCGCCGCGCGTGTCGGGGAACCCAATCTTGCGCAGCACATACAGCATCGTGATGCCCAGCGCCCACACGTCGCTGGGCGGGCCGCGCAGCTTGCGCCCGATGAACTCGGGGGGCACGTAGTAGGGCGTGCCGCCGGCCGAGGGCGGGCTGTTGATGTCCGTGGAGAGCCCAAAGTCGCACAGCACGGCGCCCCGCTCCGGCGAGTACAAAATGTTGGCGGGCTTGACGTCGTTGTGCACGAGGTTGCGCCCATGGATGTAGTGCAGCGCCCCGGAAATGTCCCGCAGGATCCGCAGCGCGTCCCGCCGGTCGCCCGTGAAGTAGTCCGAGTTGGACGCGCGCCAGGTGCCCTTCTTGCTCAGGTCCTTGGCGTCGACGTGCTCCATGTACAGCGACAGGTACCGCGCGTCGCCGCCGTAGAGCCGCACGATGCTCTCGTGCCGCAGGTACTCGTGCGACTGGTACTCGCGCAGCCATGTGTCGGCCTGCCGCACCACCACGCGCTCCATCTCCTGCGGGCGCAGCTGCTGCGCGGCCCGCGCGGCAGCCGCAGCGGCCGCCGCCGCATTGGTGCCCGGCGAGGACGGTGGAGGCGCGGGCCGCGTCTTGATGACTTTGACTGTGATGACACTGCCGGGCGGCACTTCGGGGTGCTCCATGGTGCCCGTAAAGACGGTCGACAGGGATGTCGACGCGATCGGGTCGCGCTTCGTCAGCTTGTACGAGTCGATCTCGCAGCTGCCGGGGACCACGACCGTGTCCTGGCGCTCCATGTCCAGCAGAGCGTGCGAATCGGTGAGCTGCTGCCCGACCTCGTTGCCCTTGGCGGACGTGGGCAGAGGGAAGACAAGCGGGTCGGCCGTGGGTCGCAGGAACATAATGACGGCCTCCTTGTTGACGTCGTCGTTCCCGCCCACTGGAGGCGCCGTGTCCGCACCCTCAATGGTCTTCTGCCGCCGTGTGTCGGGCCGGCCGACATCGTCGTCCTCATCGGCAACAAACGAGCGCTTGCCCGACGAAGCGGGGGTGTCATTCTGTATTGGTGGAGGGGGCAGTGCCTTGAACAGTGTGCGGCGGCGCTCTAGTATCCGAAAGTCCAGAACCTCATAGTGGCCCATCTTGATGCGCCAAGTGCCTGGTGACAGGGCCTTGATCGTGCCCGGGTTGATGGTGTACTCGATGCCCTGAATGAAGCCCTGGTTCCCAGGCGGCATCACCATCATAGAGGTGGTGGTAGTGTTGGCGTTTGTGGGCGTGCCGGGCGTGCTCGGTGTGCCATCGGCGCTCGCGGGCGGGGAGATGGCGGGGTAGATCCGCGACAGGTTGATCGGCACGTCGCATTTGTTGAGCAGAATCTGGTTGTCGCTAGAAGGGTCGTAGTACAGCTCGCACCAGAGAGTTGGCATCGGCGTGCCGTCGCTGTGGCGCTCACCTGGCATCAGCACGGTGAACTTGATGTCCTTGGACGTTTGTGTGACGGCCAGCACCGTTTCCGGCGGCTGGTCCGGCGCGCCGGCCGAGGCTACCTCGGTGCGCAGGGCCACCCACTCGCAGTTGTCGCTGCTGCCGGGGCTGACGGAGCGGCTGCGCAATGGGCGGACCAGCAGCCGGATGTCCTTGTCCGAGGGCACGACGAGTTCGTCGAGGTGGACGTTGCCGGCGCTGCCCGACGCCGCAAAGCTCTCCTGGACGCGCATGTCAAGTAGGCGTGACGCATACTCGGACGACGGGAATGGTTCGGTCTTCTCCTCCGTGTCCAACGCGGAGGACGACGACTGCGTCACCGCTTCACCCATGGCGGCAGCGCACGGCGGCAAAGCCACTGTCAGGGATGGAGGCGGAGCGCGGCCAGCCAGGAGCGGCGGCGAGGAGGGCGGGGACGTGGCCAAGGTATGTTGTGCCAGACAGCAGGGGAAATGAGACGGCGAGGCAACTCTAGAGTGGGAGGGGAAGCAGGTAGGGCAAGAAAAAGAGAAGAGAAAGAAGGAGAAAAATCAGATCACAGAAGACAGCACAGACACGGGCGGCCACCAGATATATATGGGCAACCCAGCAACGTAAGCCGCACGAAAGCAGAGGCGGAAGCACGCAGAAAAGGGTCAAACGGGGGCTCGGGCACCATTCGTCAAGCGGGGGGCAGTCGGCCGATATATATACATATATCTACATATATGCTCGTGGCCGGTCCGGACGGAGGAGGTGTGGGGTCGGACGGCAGGGACCTGCGATTGGGTGAGCGCGGGGCCGCCAGGTCCGAAACGAGAATAGCGGCAGGGTGACGGGCGCCGTGGGTTGCAGAAAAGGAGCTGAGTCGAGGTGCCGGGACAGTCGTCGTCGTCGTCAACCGAAAAGTTTGTGGTTGAGGTTGAAGGAGGAAAGGTTTCCTGAAATGCCAGGAAGGAAAGTGGCAGGGCCGGTGGTTGATATTGCGGACAGCTGTGGGTCCTTTTCGCTCTTTCCCTTTCTAATAATAATAGCAGAGGGAAGGGGGGCAGCAATGACACGGACGGCTAGTGTGCTCGACGGAAGTCGACTCGTCTGGAGCCAGAGAGGGTCGTTCCTGCCGTTTTATGAAGTTCCTCGATGTCGGCAGCGACGCCTAAGAATCGGCTCGATTTCGTTCTTTCCTATTTCTCTTTGTCGTGCGCGCGTTGTGGTCGCCTGCACTGTCCGCCTGGTGCAACTGTTTCTGTTCTGGGAAGGCACGACCGGCCAGCAGACGGGGCCTGTTCTGGAGTTGCTCGGGCGCTGGAAGACGGCAAACAGCCTGCAAAACCGACACAAATAGGGCAGGACCGCTACAACGAGCAGTTGCAGCTTGTCACGCGGAAAACAGCACAAGGGCAAACAGAAACAATACGAAGGCAACAAATGATGGAAACGAGGCAGTAAGGCGAAATAGAGGCCAAAAAGAAAATGACAAGCGTCGACAGAGGCCGTAACGGAAGAGCGCGGCGTGAGGGCAGAAGAGACCCGGTGATGTTGTCACGAACCAACACCCAAGGCAATAAAAAATGAGCAACAAGGAGAATCAGATACTTAAAAAAGAATGTGACAAGAGTCATATGGGACAACACCAAAAATAAGATTGAAAAAAATTGGAGTTTCCCAACATTGGGGAAGGACGGCCAGGGGCCGCTTCTCAGCCTCAAGGTGACCACAGAAGGCGACAGAGAGGGATGGAACACAACGGAGGGCAAGAGAAAGGACAGACAGCAGGACAACCAGCAGGATGGATAACAAGACGGATAACAGGACGGACAACAGGACGCCGATACAGGCCACGCAACAGAGCAGAGAAAGACAGCAGAGAATGAGGAAGACGACCTCGAAACTCGCCGAGTCGAGTCACAGCCAAGAAACGGCGGAGCCACACAGAAAGCGCTCAACGAAGCAGAAAATGTCAAGAAACTAAGAAGACGAAAAAAAGAAGGTTAGAAATAAGGACGAGAGAAACAAGACGCAAAAGGGCGGCAGCTGCCTAGAGGCCGCCATGGCAAGCGGCGCATGCGGGAAGACACGAGCCACACCCACCTAACGACCGCGCCACAGAAGTCGCCGTATACGAATGTATGTATTGTACAGTATGTCGGAGGCTGCACGGTGTAACTGACGGTGCATGTTATAAGTCACAAATGCCCCCAATCTCAGCCCTGCACAGTCTGTGACTTCAGAGACACGGCGTGGAGGCTGAGGACACCCTGCCCATTGGCCTCTGGTCACGTCGACTTTGCATGTGGACTAAACGGCAGGCTGCCTTCCTGTGAGGCATACTTGCATTCTGAGGCAGAAATAAGTTGTGATAAGTGGAAGGTGGTGAGGCTAGACGTAGGCGATGGAGGTACAACGCGACAAGACTTTCCTGTGTGAGCCTCTCTGTACACAGTGTATTACAGTGTTTGTTTTAACTTTATGCGCACGAACTACTGTGTACAAAGGATGTTTCTCTCCGCTGACGGCTGTCCTCTTCAGCCATCGGATATCTCGCTACACCCCTTGCCCCAAGGCACCTCCTCCTCCCACACCTGCACGCTGTGCCCGACGAGAGTTTGTCCTCTGAAAGAGCAACACAGAAGTCGCGCTGTGATAAAAGACCATGCAATTTGTATGTCCCCTGGCACAAAAGGTACTTCGTACGTCAGTCCTCGTCGTGCCTACCCTGCTTCACACCCTCTCTCAGAGGCCCCACTCCTACCTCACGGAAACAGGCAGAGGCAGGGAGAAAACGGGACTGAGGGGCTTCAGCCATGCTCCCATTGGCTGCGAGAAATTTGCTACATTTATTCCAGGCATACCATTGGCTAGCAGGGATCACTAGCGCCATGCATAGCGTAACAGCAGCGGGCGCAGCTGCATTACAGCGTACATGCAGACCCACTTATATACCGACAGAGATTCGTGATTGGTCGTATGGCTCGGATGACCTTGTTCTAGCGCCGCTCTGTCTCATTCCGTCTTGGTGCCAAACGATCTTTGCACAACAATCCTTCGTTCCTCCTTTGTTGGGTGTTGACCGCATCGCCCACTTTTCCCTCCCTTTTTCGCTCTTCCGGCCTGTGTTTCCTCACGTCCCGCCCAATTTTGCCTCTTTGCCTCTTTGTTGTCACCAATGCGCCTGCGATGCCGTGAAAGACGACGCCCACTCCCTCTGAACAGTCTCTTTGCCCTCTGTTTTGTCCCCATTTCGTCCGTCTCGCTGCTGCATCTCGCAACTCTCCTTCCTCATCATCACCGTCCCCTCTCGCCCCCTCTTCTCCTCGAGCCAGAGTCCAATTCCCTCCTCAGAGCCCCAAAATCGCATCCAAATCCATAGAAACTATAGATTCCGCCCACAATTTCCGCCTCTCTCTCGACAGCCACCGTTTTGCACGCCTTTCACGCTTCTACGACCATCTAACCACAACCAAAAACACCGCCAAAATGTATCACGCCGCTGGTATACCTCTGCAGTAGATGCCCTGTTCTGCTTGCAACGACTGTCTCCATCGTTGTTCATGAACAGCGCGCTCTGGACCTGGCTCATCTCTCATTCCATCTCTCATCTCCTTCTCGCTCATCCGATCCGTCTCTCACGATTCTCTTGACTCCCACGATCATCGAACTCCTCCCTCCCGACGACTGATTCGATCTGTCCCTCTTCGACTCGACCCCCCCCCTCCAATCAACACAGTACCATCAACTTCCATCGACACGCTCTCCCCCGTGTCGGTCCATCACCAAACTCTTGTCGATAAATATCCCCTCACGCCCTCGTTTGACACCGCTCAGCCCATCATGGAAGATCCTGATATAGCCTGGCCTGCGTGGAAGTTTGGCATGAAGCGGGACGCGCTCTTCACGACCCTCCACAAACAGTACAACACCTTCCAGTCCGCCATCCAGGATCCCGATGCCTTTCACCACGACGTCTTTGAGATTGCGAACGAGGCTACGACTACCGGTGAATTTCACAATCTGCTCGCCGTCCGCCGTGATCAACGCCTTCGCGAACTGAACGAGTCGCTCGAATCGGCCTCGTTCGAAATCATCGCAAACCCGGATCTCGTCGGCACAACACAATGGGAACACGCCCTTCAGCTCTTTCGGACGCGGTCGCTTGACTCGCTCGTTCGCTACTTTGCCTCCTACCTCCCCAGCAGCCACCCCTGGCACAAGGCCTCATCCTCGGGTCAGAACACCGAAATTGAAGCCAAAAGCCAGCCGCCCGTTGCCCCCGTGAAGCCCTTCTTCGACGATGCCACCTTCACCCAAGAGCCGATGGCGATGACCCATTCCCTCTCCCACGCCTCTCTTCACCACGACCTCCCTCCCTCGCCTCGCTCCCTGACGACATACTCTGACGACATGGAGACGTCGTCCCACCAGCTGTACTGTCTCAACACTCTCACTCCCGCCCGCACACTCTCCTTCGACTCCAATGAAGGTGATCGCCTCCATGACATTGAGGACGGCGATGCTGCGCCCAACGTCGACAACGACGACGACGATGACGAGGAGTGTCCCTCCCAGTTCGACGACGACACCTCTCAGTCCTCTGGCCCCGACACACCCGTGTCCATGTCGGATGCTGAGCCTGACGTCGCTGAAGAGGAGTCTCACCACCGCAGCCCTGCTGAGGCCTATGCCACTACCATGCAGGGGTTAGTGGATACCACCCCCGAGCCCAAGACACCTCCCACCCCCGTCACGAACCAAAACCATCTACCCCAACTTGAAGCCATTGCCAATGCCGCCACGCCAGCGACAACCGCTCACACGACCGATGCCACCATCGGAAGCGGTAAATCACACTCATCGTCGCCGTACCGTCGCCCGCTGCAGCCGGGCCTCGCTGTCGACGATTCCTGCTCCGCCTCGCCGCTGCCTGTTATATTCCGCGACCGCCACCGTAGCGTCTCACCCTCTGCGCGGCCGTGGCCTGTGGCACATGTTGATACCGGCCGCCACCACCCTGTCGCGCCGAGCGGCATCATTGCTACTTTTGGCCGCGCTTCTGACCGCTCATCCCGGCAAGGTCGCATCCACCGCCTCGAAACCATCGCCTCCTCCTCTACCAACACCAGACGTGCCAGCAGCTGCGGACGGCGCAGGCCAGGGCTCGGCGTCGAGAAGACTGCCTTGCCCAGACCCATGCGGACCCGCTTCCGGGGTCGCAGGGAAGCTGCCGCGTCCGCCGGTGTCGATGAACAAGAAAGACAATAGGATTACGCACAACCCACAAGAAGAACACATCACTCTACCAATCCACTACTACCTCCAAAGGATGTCTTCATCCTTGTGTATTTCATCCTTCCACTCGTCTCTCTTTCTTGTGTGCATGATATTGTCTTTTGCTTATCTAGCATCTGTATCTGCATTGCACAGCGTGGAGCGTGGTCTTCTTTTTGCTTTTCGTTTCTCGGCTTGGCTTTCCCGAGGTATGGTTTGCCTATTTTCTGTTCTCTTCCGTCCATCGGCGTCTTCAAACCAGCAAGGCGTCATCATGGTAAAGGGGTCATTGCAAAGAGCAAAGCATTCTCTGGCACGGCACACATTCACACATGTCTCGGTACAGGCATCGTCTGGCGATACTGGCATCACTGGCGTCTTCATGATACCCTCATCTTCGTCAAACAACACGGCGTCCTCTCACAACCATTCTTTGTAACCCACCTGGGCAGATCAGGAATTGGAAAGTGCTTCCTTTTTTTGACACTCGGTTGGTTTGCTCTACTCGGGGTGTTCTATCTGGCAAGCACGGTTCATTCTCTCTACCCGCTTCCTTTCAAAACTATCACGACAACCGCCTATACATCTCTCACGATCATGATTATCTTTTGTGCTTTTTCGTCTTTTTTTTATTGCGTTGCATGGAACCGGTACTGGGAAAGAGACGGGATTAAAGGCAGAAACAGTCAGATATCGGGACGAGAACAAGTCAAGTGGACTGGTACAAGAAGAATTGACGGGGAAGAGGCAATTCTGCAGTGACCCCCCGCTGTAGAACGCCAATCTTGTGTCATGCTTCTTATAAGATCCCTTGTTTCGCTGTCCTCGCACGTCCTTTCTGTATCTCTTTGGGGTTTCTTGTTATTTTGCACCTGCATTTTTTTTGTTCTCTTTTTGTTCGATATACCCCCCTACGACTGACTACCATTAAACTTACCTTTTGTTCTGTGTACATTAAAACATCTCCTCCCATCAAGACTCAGGGGATCCTCTTTATTTTCAGACAAAAAGAGCTGGCCGGCATCTTTCCTGTTTTGCCACAGCTTCGTGTACTACTTACAACCTCCAATTCCCGCCATTACCGAAATGGGCCTACAGATCAAAATAAGTCCTATTTATCTTCGTACTTTGATTTGCATTTACCGTGCTTTGTTGCATTTCGACGTACATTGCGATACTAAAGACAAGCTGGTAACAACCATGGCGGCCATGCTGAACTAGCCTGATTGTACTGACCTAATTTGACTGTCTTGCTTAGGACGAACAGAGAATCTGCTGTTTCTAACTCATCAGATACCTCTCAATATTATTCCAGAACAAACGATGATTTGATGGTTCAAGATGCAAGTCACATTTCTTTCTATCACCAAGTTTTTGCTGATAATGGATTATGCTACTTTTGACGAAATTCTTCAGCGTCGTTCACCTCTTAAAATGAAATCACGCACATCATTATCCAACAGTATGGGAGGCTACTCAGAGTTATAAAAGATACATAAGATTTGTAGAACGATTTGCTGTTTAGCCAACGACTTAACAAAGGCAGAAATCGCAATTAAAAAGAGTTTGAAATCGACAAAATATCCGCCCAAAAGGTATCCAAAGCATTTTACCTTGCTTTTTCAATGTTCTTCAAAATAAGTATCAAGTTGTGTAAGATCCAACACAAGGTATATGTAAATTCGCCCGTTATCCACGCAAAGTAAACAAAAGTAACCAAAAACAACACAACGCCGGAATGATACGCTCGTTGGCAATTAATACAAATAGATGGGCTCCAAAAAGGGCGCCTTGTCGAGGTCAGCGACGACATTGCCCTTGGCCGTCAACCAGGCACCGCGGTCCGTAATAGGCACGACCTGGCGCGTGTGCGCAACCTCCTGGCGACTGACGCAGGCGTCGTCACGGGGAATCCACAGCTTGGGGATCGGCTTCCACATCTCAGGCGGCCAGTAGCCGCGAAATGTGTAGTCGGCTGGATAAGCCATGGGTTCCTCCTGTTCAGCCCGGACCAATGTCTTGCGCAAAAAGGTGTAGTCCTCGAACAGCTCCGGGTGCAGCCAGCGCGTGAAGAAGTTGGCCTTGGGCTTTTCGGACAGGGGTTGACCGTCGGCGCCCAGCTCCCCCTGGGGCGCGGCGTCGCTGTTGCTCGCTGCGTTGGGATCGGCGCGGTTGTCGTTGATGTCGTTGCGGACCATGGTCGTTTTCCCCCAAGGGATGTACTGCGAAACACTAAACGAGGTAATGTCCGTCTTCATGGCCTTGACCTCGGTCTTCATGCGCTTCTTGATGGCGTCGCGGCCCCAATCTTTGACCATGCCCATGAGTTCACCGGCACCGTCGACGCCGCGATTTGTGACGGGGCCCGCGTGCAGGTCGTCGTCCGAGTCGTTGTCGTCACCGTAGCCCTCCTCAATGTTGTAGTAGTCGGCGTTCAGACCGCCGCTGTTCGCACTGCTGGCGGCGGCCTCGGCGGCTTCACGCTCCGCCTGCCGGCGGAGGTCTTCGTGGCCGGCCGCCAGGTCTTGGTCATCGAGGGCCAGAGTGCGCGGTAGGCTGTACAGCAGTGGGCTGACAGCGTCGTTGAGGGAGATGTGGACGAGGAAGGTGAAAACGAGGAACATGATCATCAAGATGACGGGGCCCACGGCAGACTGGATGGAGAACAGGCCAATGAGACAAACCTCGGCCAGGTACAAGCCAATCATCAGGTGCAAGAGGCCGCGCGGGTAGTGCAGGCCTCTGCTGTCGCGGTCGCCGTCAAAGGCGTAGACAAGATTGTACTTGTACACCTGGTAGACGACGCACATACCGACGCCGGCAAAGACGAGAATGAGAGGGGCAATGCAAGTGTAGCTGATGGCGATGACACCCATATTGGTGTACACGGGGAAGATGCCACCCCAGTGCGGCTGCTTGAGACGCTGGAAGTTGCGGACGGCGCGGCGAGGGTGCTGGATGGTCTTGTTCAGGACGGTGTGGCGGAACAGGTCAAAGAAATGGGCCAGGCCAATGGCACCACCAGCCAAGCACTGCACGGTGATGTAGGAGAGGTAGAAGTTGGAGGCCTTGGGCAGGTTGGTGGACAGCAGATCCTTGATGGAGAGCGGGTCGGCCAAAATCTGCGTGAAGGCGGCCGAGGCGGCTGAGGTCAAGGTGGTGATGAGAAAGACTTGGATGAGCTGGAAGCAAAAGTAGGCGTGCTGGGTGTACAGCTCGACCATGGGCGACGACGGAAGGCCGGCGATGCGCGCGCAGATGCGCAGCATGCCCGGAACAGCCGCCATCAGAAGAGAGAGAGCAACAGCAGGCAGCAGGCCCTCGATGACACCAGTAATGGCCTTGGGAACATCGGCAATCCAGTGCAGGAAAAAAACTTTGGAGCTCAAGAAGGAGACGTTGGAGATTATGCCGACCAAGGCGGCTGGGATGGACCAGAAGACGATGCCGACCGCAATGGCGCCCATGATCAAGAAGCGGCGCATGATGCGCTCCCACCAGCGCATGCGGAGAGACGACCAGATGACGTCTTCGGGCCGGATGCCGATGAAGCGCGGCGACATGTGCAGCGGCTGGTGGTGGGTGAGGACCTGGAAGGCGACCTGTGCGGCGGCCTGGGTGTCGAACTCGACAAACATGGACGAGAGAAGGTCGCCGTCGCCGGCACGGAACTTGCGGCGCAGTTTGGCAATGGCCTTGTTCAGTGACTTGATGCGCATGCGGGTCCAGCGAATGGTGTCGACACGGCGGCCAAAGTTGGCCAGTGGGCGATGCGCCGGGCGTTTGTCGACGGGCAGCCACTGAGCGGCAACAGAGCCGCGAACATCGGGAAGGGTGTCGCTGAAGCCGTAAGGGTGGATATAATCCTGCTCATTTTCCTCGTCGTCGTTGTTCTCTTTGTTATCGTCGGCGACCTCCTTTGTTGCAGGCTTGGCGACAATGGCGTTGTCCTGGTTTTGGGGGTCTTCCACGGCCGTCTCGATTTCAGTAATCTCGGACATGGGGGGCACAGTGGAGGTAACAGCCGTCGCTGACGACGGGCCGGATGCGTCCGAGAATGACCCCTGGCGGTCGTCGGGCGCCATGGGCAATATGTCGTCGGTGGCATGGGCCCTGTCGGACTTTCGTGCCGCCGGTGACGGCTCTTGGATTTTGTTGGTTTGGTTGATTTCACGAATTTCATGAATGAGACCCGGCGAAAGGGTGTTTTGCAAAACGTTGATGGTTGATGACGTTGAAACGGCGGGTGGTGGCTGTGGCGGTTCGGTTGGAACGCGGGATGCTGATCTCGTCGAAGCAGCAGATGCCCGTCGTACTGACGACGAGGAGCGCTGTGGTGGAGCTGCCGCCACCGCCGCTGCTGTCGTTGCTGTTGATGTTGTTGCCGTTGTCGCTGCGGCCGGTTGCTGTGGTAAAGTAGATGCCCTTGGAGGTGGTGATAGTGGAGCTGCTGCCGGTGCAGATGTAGAGGGACGAGGGGAGTGTGCGGCAGAGGATGGAGAGGAATGTGAGGATGGTGAAGAGGACGAGGACGACGATGAGGAGGAGGAGGCGGCGGAGGGCGCAGAGGCAGATGAAGATGTCGAGTCGAGGGTGGAAGAGGTGTCGGACCGGGCCGGCGACCGGCCGGCCATGGAGACGGGAGGCGGAAGTTGCTCGTCAAGGGGCACGCCGTGCTTCTTTTTGCGAGCTCGGTTGGCTTTGCGAATCAGCTCGATCTCGGCCTTTTCCAGACGCACGGCAGCACTCTCCCGCTCGTCGACCAGGCGCTCCAGTTCGCGGGTGTTGCGCGGGATCCACACATTCTTAACTGAGTCGCCAAAGAGCTTGCGGACGCGGTGCTCGTCCAGGAAGCGCTTGGGCACGCAGGTGAAGAGGACGGTGCGGGACGACAGACGCTGGGCATGGCGCGGCGCCATGAGGTATGCCTGGCGCAGGTTGATATAGTAGATGCATTCGCGGCTGATCATGAAGAGGATGAAGCCGAAAAAGAGCCAGGCAATGGCGACATGGGCGTAGAACTTGATGGGCGAGGCAACGTCGCCAATGGTGAGCAGGTCGAGCTGGGTCAGGTTCTTGCCGCCGGTGGCATTGACGGAGAGCAAGACAGGCCATGCAATGATGCAGCCGGCGAAGCAGATGGTGGCCAGGACGCGCAGGTAGCGGAGGAAGAAGAAGCCATCGAGGGAGGTGTTGTTGAGGAGGAAGGCCTCGTCGATGTTCCAAAAGTCCTTGAGCCAGGTGAACCAGGTGTCGGGCAGGGGCGGGACGGGGACGAGGGGGGCGCGGCGGATGCTGGAGATGGTGCGCGGCGCGTAGACGCGCTGGCACTTGCGGCGGAAGACGAAGAAGATGACGAGGCAGACGCCGGAGTAGACGAGAACGGGGATGAAGGTGCTGCCGAGGGAGGCGGCGGAGGAGGAGTCAGTGCCGGAGGAGGTGACGTGGCTGAGGGTGCCGCCGGTAGAGTTGTCGCGGCCGGAGCCGATCCGCGGGTCCTGGCTTTGATTCTGGGAGCGTGAGCATGTATGTTGGAGGGAGGTGTGACTTGGGTACATGAGCGGGAGAAGGAGGCGATGCCGGCGACTCGACGTCTGTCGACGTCTGTCGTTACTTACTAGGCGCTTTTCGAGGCCGGTAACCAGCGTGGTGCCCCAGTCCATCTTGTCATTGCTTCCGGGGGCCGTTCACTGCAGCCGGCAGGGGAGGGTCGTCATACCGTGAGGGCGGGTTGTGTTGGAGTCGCAGGCGGGAGTTGTTGTCGACGTTTGAGGAGTCAGGGGTAATTGGTGATTGTTGTCAGGAGAGATGCGGTGCACCAAAAAGAGAGAGGAGTAGAGTCTCGACAGAAACAATTACAGGAGACAAAAGAAGCAACGACGACCGACGAAGTCCGACGAAGCAGGGCAAGGAGATAAAATGGAAGGAAAGACCCAGGCCCACGACAAGACGCATGAAGCCCCTGCAATGGCCAAAAGATGGCAGGCGCGCCCCAGTAAAAGAGGGCTAACCGCAAAGTGGAGGTGCAATGAGGCCCAAATGTCTCTCGTCCAATGTCTCTCATGGAGGGCGATGTGCGAGAGGGCAAGTGCGAGCGGGGACAGTCGACCCACAGGGGTTCGAAGAGCCAGTGGGTGGGTGGCAGGGGGTTCCTTCCTTGACGAGATGGACTACGGTGATGGTGTTGGTCGCTCTCTTCTCGTTGCTCTTCTGTTAGCTCTTTCCTTGTCGAGATTGTGTGTGGTCTGTGTTGTTGTGTTTGTGTTCCCAGGCCCGCGGCTCCTTCTTCATTTGCCGCAGCCGTGTGCTGCTTCTCAGCTCGATGCGAGGTCGCATTTGCATCGTTTTGGGAAGGACCCCCCCCCAGTCGATCCACGTCGTACTTTGCGTACGGCGTACGACGTATTACGGGAGTCTGATCACGCAAATATTTGACCACCCACAGCCTGCAACCTACTTGGTAATTACACTTTGCTCTACGGAGTAAGTTCGTGGTACCACACTCCTGCTGTCCTTCTGTTTGCGGCTGTTCAAACAGTTGTCGCTCCGTACGCATCGTGTATTGTCGTCTGCCTTGTCCTTTGGGCCTCGACAAACAGCCGTCGCCCCATTTAGTGCCTTCAATCGGCCAGTGGCGCGCCGTCGGAGACCTCCCTAAAGTGCCTGAGTCCCCTGTGGCGGCAGCCGGGTCGGTTGGACACTAAAAGCCTGACCTGGATTTTGGTGCGGTTAGCGTGCTGTGCCGGCTGATGGCTAGCGCTACAGCGAGGCCCAGTGGCCAATCGGGGACGCCAGTTCCACCGCACAGTGGGCTGGAAGTATGGTAGTCTGGCTAGCCCGGGACGGTCCAGCGCTGGAATTCCACTATAGCAGCCGAGGCCGCCAAGCTTGCATCGATTTCATTGCATCGCGCCGGTTGTACGTCGTCTGTCGCACCTTGCAATCAATGCGCCTTCGATTCAAGACAACGGCTCCTAGCCTTCTCAAGACAGCATTCCAGACCACCCGCCACCACCCAACGGCGACACGCGGCGGCGCCGTGTCTTTTGAGAGGATTGTATTCTCTCCCTTGGTGGTCGAGTCAACTGTCGAGACATCATCTCTCGATCGCTTCAGGGTCCAAGCTCAAGTATTTGGAAATAAGTCTTGGCCCATCACAGGGTTGCAACCCGCTTCCGATAGTTCTGCGCAAGGACACCCGGGCTGACCGCCAGCCTACGGTACTACATGGACACCTGCCCATCCAACGTACCAGACGAAAGCCAGGGTATTTCCGACGTGCAATATAAGATAGACTGCCTCTGGTCTGCAGGGTCGCATCGCGCGGGCGACGGCTTAGAGCTGAAAGTGTGAAAGTGGGCGTTCGGGGCTGGGCAGACTGGGTTTCCATGGCGCGCCGGAGACTACGACAGAGACATTGATGATCGTGAATGGACATCCGAAGGACGTCGCACAACGGCTCAAACGGCTTCTGCAGAGTTAGCTTGTCGTCTCGTCGTGTCGTCGTCTCGTCGTCTCGCTCATTGCAATGAATACGTTGGCAGGATGGGAGGATAGAAGCATAGCAGGATGAATGATGTGCACTGGTGAGTCCACACCCTTTTGACGATCACAACCAGTGGAGTCGGCGACCAGTGGAGGAGGTCGGATCGGTGGGTTGTGGTACAATGTAGTCGATCAGTGGACTACGGACCAAACAGTGTAACCGTAACCAGGTCGAGAAAGACGATGTGTCCAGGTTGATGCGCTCTGCGACCTGGCGACACAAGCGGCATCTGTTCTTCACCCTATGAAGAGTGGACAAGGGGCACACAAACCGCCGCCTGTCTCGATATGTTGGAGACAGAAGGACATCCAGACATCCAGACAGGCAGGCAGGCAGGCAGACAGCAGACAGCAGACAGCAGACAGCAGACAGGCTCAACAGGATTGTCAGTCCATGAAAGACATTCGTGGGAACGGTGCGACAATACGGCAGTGATTGTCGTCGTCGCCATTTCTCTCCACTTCTTCCGCCTATCACATCCGCTGGTCCGTCTCTCCCTCGTTATTCTGCCCTTGAAAACGCCTGTGACGCCCTTGGACAACGGCTCCTGCAGCTGTCGGAGCATGTCAATGTCTCTCGTCACCCTCTGTACGTCGTATTCCGCACAGCGTACAGAATACTCCGTACTAGATGCACTCGTAGCTTCGTAGCCATCGTATCTTGCGCCCTCCCATCGTCATCGCCCAGCCTCTCCTTCACCCCTTGCGTTGTAACCGTCCTGCCCAGTGTTGACTGCATGGAATGATTTGTAAACGAAGTTTGGCAATGTCTGTAAGTCTTTTTCGGAGAACGGTTCCTTAACTTTGTTCTTCTTCGTCATCTTCGTCCTTCCTCTTCCGATGGCCAAACTCTCGCCATCGCCATCCAAGACAGACGGGACCAAGAGCCACTATTCATTCCTCGCAGGCTGTCTGTTCGCTCGCTTGTCCACAAGGATGAGACCATGCAACGGTCGGCCCTGACCTGCCAGATCTGAAGGTGTCAGAGCCTACCGAGAAGCAGGGATGTGCATCGATCGTGCATTTAATATTGTTCTCCTTTTGGGGGCATCCTGGCCCCGTTTTGTGTCTGACATCGATCTCTACGCCCTCTACTCGCCGAAATCAAATCGGTTCCTCCTTCACTAACCCCGTAGTAGCCAAGCGCTTGTGCCAACGGTCGTGTCCCTGCGTGGGCCGGTACTTTTTGCAAAAGTGCGCATCCATAAAATCCATTTATTTGCCCCCGCGGCGTCTTTTGGCGTATTTGAACAAAAAAGTCCACTTTTGGTCTAATCTTTCGTGCACTACCGACTCCATCCACGTCTGGTCATAGCTTCATTACATGTCGCATATGAATGCAGTAGTTTGTGCATCTCGCTACGAGGCATATCCAGTCGGCACATAATGTACAGATACAGAGTGCATGGACATTTGTCCGTCGCGCCACCAGACTCAACACACGTCTTCAATCGTCTACTATTTGTATAATTGGTATGTAGACCACATCAGCTGCGTACATATCGACTCTAGCTTGCTGTCTCGTCCATGGACAGCCACCATCCTCCTCAGCCACTCTTCTCCTTGTCCGTCGACGGCGTATCCTCGGCCGTCGCCGTCGGCGCCACCGGCAAGCCTACGCCCGCAATCCCCACAATGTCGCCCACAATGCCGTCGCTGCCCTCGCCCTCGCCCAGCGTCATCTTGGGCCCCTTGAACCACTTGCGCGCGTCGACGAGGTAGTAGAGCGAGGCGCCGCCCCAGACGGCCATGTTGATGATCACGGTGTAGTTCATGGCCTGCGGGTCTGGGTTGGGCCCGCCGACGGGGAACATGGAGAGGACGATGCCGTAGAGCAAAAACACGACGCAGAACCAGGCAATGGGCAGGGAGTAGCGGCCGGTGTAGAACGCGCCGGGGCGGAAGCGGGCTTGGCCCCAGACGACGCGGGCGAAGACGGGGGTGCCCCAGGCGAGGTTGTTGCCGGCGACGCCGAGGGAGAAGAGGGCCGAGGCGGCGGCGGGGGCGATGAGGCAGAGGAGGCCGAGGACGGCGGCGACGAAGACGCAGGCCCAGATGGTGCGGACGGGGATGTAGCCGAACGTTTTGCTCTGGGAAGCGTTAGTATGCGCGTGAGTACGAGCGAGGCGAGTACGAGGGGATAAGGGGGGAAGGGAGTTTGAAGCGAGCGAAGCGAGGACCAAAAAAACGAGGACACGAGACGTACAATCTTGCGGAGGTAGCTGGAGAACGGCAGGGCGCCGTCACGCGAAAACGCCCAGGCCTGGCGCGAGCCCGCGACGAGGATGGACAGGCCCATGAGGTACTGCACGATGAACAAAAACGACATGAAGCCGAGGGTGCCGCTCTTGCCGAGGGCGTCGTAGTAGATCTGGGCCATGGGCTGGCCGTAGACGCTGCCGAGCACGTTGTCGATGGCGGGGTCGATGCAGGCGGCAATGACAATGACGAGCACAAAGCCCAGCAGCCAGCACATGCCGATGGACGAGAGGATGCCCAGCGGCACGGCCTTGGCGGCGTTGGACGCCTCCTCGGACATGTGCACGCAGGCGTCAAAGGAGCCGATGGTCCAGATGGGCGACAGCCACGCGAGCATAAACGTCCAGCCGCGGGGCCACGCGGCGAGGTTGGCGAGCGTCCCGAAGATGAAGCGCCCGTCGTTGGCGCCGCGGACGCCCGCGCGCGTCAGGCCCACGGGCAGCGCGACGACGGTGGCCAGCATCAGGGCGATGTTCATGCACACGGCAAACGTCTGCAGCTTGTTCATGACCCTGCTGAGCAGCGACGCCAGCACGCCGTGCGTCAGCACGATGGCCAGGAACACGGCGTAGACCGTGCCGTTGGACGCCGCCCAGTCGCCGTCGCGGTGGATGACGAGCAGCGAGCAGAACATGAGTGCGCCGCCGTAGTCGATGCTGCAGAGCCCGCCGACCAGGCCCAGGCTGTTGCTGTAGCCGACGAGGAAGGACAGGTAGTTGCGCGTGCGCGGGCTCGCGTAGTAGTGCGTCCAGTAGTACAGGCCGCCGCTCGTCGGCATGGCGCTGCCCAGGTCGGCCATGGCCAGGCCCACGACAAAGATGCAGCCCGAGGCCACGAACCACGACCAGACCATGCCGCCGGGCCCCGCCGGCAGCGAGAAGGCCAGCGTGCTGGCAATCGACGGCAGCAGGCCCATGATGGAAAAGGCAATGCCAAAGACCTCGAGCGTGCTGAAGTTGCGCTTCAGCTCTTGTTTGTAGCCCAGCGTGGCGAGCAGCTCGGCGTCGGCCGTGCTGGCGAGGTTGGCGTCGGCGGCCGATGCGGTGGCCGCCGCCAACTTGGGGTCGACAGGGGCCTCGACGTCGCGTGAGGCCATGGTGGTTGGGGGTGTTGGGGATGGGAGGACGAAATAAATCAAACAAACAACAACAAATAAGACAAGGACAAGGAGTCAGGGAGGCATAAACAACGCTCAAAACAAAAGAAAGGGGCGGCGGTATAAATACAAGGGGTGCCGCTGCCGGGTGGATGATGCTACGATAATCAGGTACTTCGTACTCTGCACGCTTCAGAAGCTGCATGTGCGAGTGATCAACGCCACAGCATCGTCATCCGAATACCCACGGCCGTCGCTGTCCCTGGGTCTGTACGTATAAGGCCCCGGCTCGACGCAGCCATCACCCCACAGACTACCGCACATAGCTTCGAGTCCAGAAGAGAACGAAACGGCAAATGGAGAGGAGCGTGTCCGGTGTCGCCTCCTGTTGGCGTGAATAAGGTCAAGTCCGCTTCGAATGGCAGTACGGCGAATACACGATCCGCTACCCCTTCTCTGCATGGTAGAACGACATACACTTAGATAAGGCTATGTTGTAAGTTCCCGGGTAGTGCAATGGTGCGAGACGGTGAAGATAAGAATGGTCCAACAGACTGCGCCATCCAATCGTTTGTCGATGTTTGTCGATGGCGCCAGTCATGGACGACGTACCATGTTCACGCAAAATTGCATGGTGGGGGAAGAGACGTCAGCGACGACGATCGAGACAAGAGATGAGCAGAGATGGCGCGAAAAGCTTGTTTCGGTGTGGCTTGTTTAGGCCGAAAGAGAGAAGAGAAAAAGAAAACAAAATAAAAAAGAAGGAAAAAAGAAAACATAATAAAAAGGCACAGAAAAAAAAGAAACAATCTCACGTCCATTGCATTCAACAGCTTTCCTCTCCCGTTGACAACCGACACTATTGTCCTTCCATAAACCGGGCATGGTATCATACAGTAAGATTCAACTCCCCGCTTCTGTCTTATCGGATCCGTCGGGCATCGGCCTGGCCGAGACCGTTCGCGGTGAGATCTGCAGATGCACAAAGGAGCCCGAAGAATGAATGGAAGAAATAGAATAGAGTGTCGGCCAGGGACCGGACAAAACCAAGCCGTAAGGTGCAGAAGCGCATTGATACTGAAACGAATTCACAAGAAGCGAATGGCGTGTCTGTTACGACAGGCCCGACTCTCTCATTGCCGTCGTCTTCAACAATGTTCTCCTACTCTCCCAATTGGCTTCCCTGCAGTATCTTGTGTCTCTGCACCCTCAGCCGTACCCACAGACGGACTCGCCTATTCTGTTTGGCCTTTCTGCTGTACGGAAGGAAATGGAGAAGAGAGAATTGGGGGAAGAAGAGAGCTAAAAGACATAGCACAGGCTGCATCCTAGATCGTGTTTGCTTCAGTGTGAACGTTGCCTGCGCAAAGGAAAGGCACCAAAAAGCACCAGAAGGGCGTCACTGTGGTCGTCGGGGCGAAGCAAAACAAATCGACATGGACAGAACGGGTAAGTCGAGCCGAATTACAGACATAACGCGTCGCAGTCCAAAGCAGGGACCAGCATGGCGATGGTCGACAAAGGGCATCATTGTGCAGAATGGTCGGTCTGCGCACAAACGGGGTAGTCAGGACCATCGTTATCGACGAGGTGACGTCTTCCGTACTCTTCGTGCTGTATCTCTGTCGCGCCATGCGTGTAAGTGGTCTCTTGCGGGTCCTCTCCACGAATCGCAGAGTAGCGCCTTATCAATGGGACCAACCGTGTTCCCTGATCCCCGTCCGGGCTGCATGGCCGTTTAGGAAGGTTCTCAACATAAGCGAGGGTGCTGAAGGGGTTCTGCTTTTGACGGCAGGCCAGACCTACCGTTGGGTGAAGGATCGTAGTGGGCCGAAACGGCTCTAGATTCTTGAATGGCGGATCCCATGAATGCGATGCGAGCAGACACAGCTCTCCAACAAGACGAGACGATGCCGCAACACCACAAGGGAATCTGCAAATCCTTGGTGAGCATCTTTGGCGGCCACTGCCCTCGGTCTCGTTTTTGAGACGCTCGAGTACTTTCAGGGTTCTTCATAACCGCTCGCCGCTCCAGAAAGTACCTCCCATTTGGATCGGACACTACTCCGTCACCATCATTGGCGTCTCGGTATGAGCTGTCCATATCTGGCAGGGCCAGCCGAGACGTTTCAAAGCAAAATAGACATTCACAAATGTGTCCAAACAATACTACGACAAAATATATACCCCTAACTCCAATATGCCAAGTATATGTTTCCTCCTTGTATCCCTGCCCTGACACGCTGTAGCCCTGTAACGCCTTTCCATGAAAACAAAAAGGTAAGCAATACTCTGTAAAAGTACAATATGATGCCCAACACTCTCCCCAGCCACCAGCCCACTGGGTTTCGCTCTCCCTCCTCTCCTACTGGAAGAGGATCAGGGGCCACTGCGCCGAGTGCGTGTTCATGTTGGCCGGCTGCGCCTGCTGCGGTTCCACGGGGCCCAGCGTCGTGACGCCCGGGCCGACCGGGACCATCATGTTGGACAGGCCGACGCTCGTTGTCGGCTCGCCGTTGCCGATGCTGCTGCCGTCGAGCACGGGGACACCGTGCATGGGCGGCACCGATGCCACGGGCGCGAGGCGCTGGTGCAGCATGCTCAGGTCCAAGAGGGCGTCGGCGCTCGTGAAGCGGTCGTCGTTGGACTGCTGGCTGTCGGCAATGGACGCGGTCCAGTTGGTCCAGGGGTTGGCGGGGGCGCCGAGGGCCGAGGACGTAAAGGACATGAGGGGCTGCTGTTGTTGGTGTTGGTGTTGCTGTTGTTGCTGGGCATGCTGGGCATGCTGTGCCTGCTGTTCATGCGATGACGGCTGCGGTCCTTGCTGCTGTGCGTGCTGGTCGTAGCCCGGCGTGGCGCCGTTCATGGGCTGCTGGGGCGGGAAGGCCGACGTCGTGACAAAGTCGTCTGTCGTGGCCGGGATCATGGACGGGTGGAACTGTGCAGGGTGCTGTTGGTGTGCTGGTATTTGCTGTTGTTGTTGCTGCTGTTGTTGTTGTTGTTGCTGTTGCTGCAGCTGCTGCGCCGGCTGGGCCGCTGGTGACAGCTGGCCGCGTCCCTCGAGCTTCAGCCGCGCCTGCGTCTCGAGATGCAACGCCACACTGTCGACGTTGCTCGGCGGCGAGTGATGCCCGTTGCCGTTTCCGTGGCCGTGGCTGTGGCCGTGACCAAGGTCGTAACTGGCGTGCTGGGACGAGGGCGGCCCCCCCTGTGCTGGCCCACCACCGGCCGTCGGTCCCGGCAGCAGGGCCGCCTGCACGCCATTGACAGGCCGTCCGCGGCCTTGAATGGCGCGCGCGTTGCTCGCCATGACGGCATGCCGCGCCGCCGCCGGCATGTCCTGGAGAATGCCGAAAATGGTGCGCGCGCAGATCTGCGTGAGCTTGCGGTTGAACGGCTGGCCGTTGTCGCTGGCGCCCGTCAGCAGGCCGATCTCGGCAATAATGGACAGCCAGATGCTCGTCTCGTCCTGCAGGCGCTCCATGTCGTCGGCCGTGGCCGTGCGGCGGCGCTCCCAGGCGGCGGCCAGCATGGAGAACATGGCGGCGCAGTACACCGACATCTGGTACCAGGTGGTGTCGAGCGACTTGAGCGCCAGCAGCTTCTGGACGTGGCGCAGCAGCGTGCGCGCCGTCTCCTCGCAGATGCGCGTGTTCTCGGCAAAGACCTGCGGGTCGGTGGTCATGCAGGCCGACGGGTGGTGCAGGCACAGCTGGAACTCGAGCGACACGGCCTGCGCATACAGCGCGTACATGAGCGACGCGGGCTTGCACTTGTCGACGTGCAGCTCGGGCGGCAGGCGCGCCTGGATGGCGCGGTACTGCGCCTCGAGGTCGCGCACGAGCGGCGCGTAGCGGCGCGGGTCGCGGCGGACGCCGTAGAGGTGCGAGAACATCTCCATGTACAGCGGCGTGTACTGCATCGCGTGCAGCCCGACCAGAAACGAGGCCTCGCCGACCATGGCCGGGTCCGTGATGCCCTGCTCCGTCAGGTACTCGTCGCTGATGGCCACGGGCAGCTCCGTGTCAAAGTCTTCGACGCGAATGGGGATGGGCCGGCCCAGCCGGCCGTTGAGCGTCGCCGCCAGCATCAGCGCGCACCACCAGGCGCGCTTGCGCATCTCGTTGGTGAGCGTCGTGCGCGCGGCCGGGAGGCCGGACGAGCGGTGCAGGCCCAGGTCGATGGCCTTGGTGAGGGCCACCATGGCGATGGTCGAGCCGCAGCTCGGCTTGGGGAAGGCGCGCGTGTAGAGCGTGATGAGCACGAGGGCCTGGACGGCGGTGACGGAAAAGTCCGAGGCAATGTAGTAGAACTTGGAGAGGGCCCAGTGGTAGTGCTTGTTGGACAGGTCGTGCAGGTGGATCTGGCGCGCCAGCTCCTCGCGGTTGCGCACGCCGTACTGGAAGTAGATGATGGAGAAGACCATGTGCACAATGACCAGCTCGGACGTCGTCGGCGTGAACTTGGGGTCGTCGTAGATGCGCGTGAGCAGCGTCAGGTAGGTCGGCTTGTGCAGGATGGGCGCAAACGGCTGCACCATCAGGAAGTACCACTCCGAGTACTCAAACGCGTCGGACCGCGACGGCAGCTCGACGCTGTTGTCGAGCAGCGGGTTGATGTTCGTGGCGGAGCGCAGGAACGAGCTGAGCGAGCGGTTGTAGAGGCCCGTGGGCTCGCGGTAGATGGCAGACGGCTCCGGCTCGTCGCCCGTGTCGGCGGCGTCGATGTCGAGCAGCGTGCCGAGAATGGAGACCTGTGTGCCGTTGACGGAACTGAGCGGCGCTCGGTCGGCGTAGACGCCCAGGTAGCTGTCGACGGGGCCCGACTGGAGAGCGGCCGTGGGCGACGCGGGCGCGGGCGTGTAGGCGTATGTGTATGTGGGCGTGTTGGGCGTCGAGACGGAGGCGGTGGTCGATGCGGCCCGGCCGGCAGAGACGAGAGAGGTGGTCGTCGCCGAATGGGAGGCGGCTGCGTTCGTGTTCTTGGCGGCGCCTGGCGCCGGCCGCCACCAGACAGAGCCCATGTAGGTCCACTGCCGCCTGTCCTGTCCGCCAGGTACCCCGTCCTCGCCGGCGTCGTGGTTGCTGTCGGCGTCAGCGCTCTCGCTGTCCTCGCCCTTGACGCTCACAACACGCCCCTCGCTGTCCAGAGCCATGCCAGGCGGGCAGACCGGCGCGTACGGCGACCACCGCCACGGCAGCACCTCGACGCCGCCCTTGTCCTGCAGCAGCGACTGCAGCTGCTCAATGTGCCGCGCCATGGCCGTCTTCTCGCGCTCCAGCTCCTGCAGGTAGCCGCGCCGCTCGGTGCGGCCGGAGATGCGGTCTGTGACGTAGCACTCGAGGTTCTGGCTCAGACAGTGCGAGCAGCCCTCGGGCAGGGCGTCGCAGCGGATCTTGCGCACTTTGCAGCGGTCGCAGGCCTGGCCGGTGCGGGTGTAGGACTGCAGCTTGTTCTTGACGACGGAGGAGAAGTCGGGCGCGTACGACGCGGCATTCGCGCTGTCGAGCTTGGCCTGCTTGGCCCGCGCCGGCGATGCATGGGATCCTGATCCTGGCTCCGACGGCACGCCTGGCGCGCCATCGTCGTGGGCCCGCTTGGGGGCCCGCATGGCGTCCATTGTGTCGCAGATGGACGGGAGGGGGAGGTGGGAGCGGGAGAGAGGGACAGAGTGAGGAACGGAGAGCCAGCGACAACGACTGGAAATCGGAGGTGTCGATGCGATGCGTCTCGATGCTATGGCTGGAGCGCAGCCATCGTCTGGGCCCCGGCCAGGCGACGAGAAAGCCGGTCGTCGCAGTCGTTGGTCCGCAGACAGCGTCGAATGGTCGAATGTAGGCCGTGGTCGATCAGCGTGTAGTCGTCGATTTGGTCATGTCTTGGATCGCCGTCCGCTGAAGAAAAGGAGATGGTATTGGGCAGAGTGAGAATTGGCACAGTCGAGGAAAGCGCCTGCAGATTGGCGGCAAATGCCGTTCTTGGAAGGAGCCGCTTTCCAGGCGCGCTGCGGTGGGCCGTGGGTGGGCATGTGCGCTGCGGGCTCGGTGGATTTAGGGGCAAGCCAAGATGCTAGCGGCTTCCACACAGGCTTCAATAGGGGGCTAATGCCAGTGCCAGATGCCTGGGCCGAAAAACCTTTTAAACTTTGCCTCGTATCCCGAATTAGCGTTAAAGTCCCCGAAAGTCCTCCACAGCGAGCAGTGTCAAAACGTTGTTCGAGAGCATGTCGAGTGTCGAGAGGTTTCACATGAAGTTGTAGGGACTTGTCCAAGTGTCGAAAATACCGTGGATTTTGCTACGATATGGTCGTTCCATTATCAGGCAGTGGTCAAAGAAGTATGTTGTATTTACACATCTAGGGCACTGTGTTCCGCACAGTATATCCACTGTGCGGAGATTTCCGATCTCAGTACCTGTGGCACCTGTCTTGAGCCGTAGCACATGCCAAAGCCATTTCTGGCCTGTCTCAACTGTCTCCAGAAGACTGCATGCAATGACGATACGGGCAAAAACAACACAAAACGTCCTCCAAAAAAAAATACGTACAGCAGCGGGTATTCGCTGGTCGTCACCGACCCAACTACTAATCCGCCGATTACTGGCTTGACTAAGGGAGAGCGGACGGGATCCCGTATTCTCCAGTATCTGTGGCCGTACGTGGAATGGGAGAGTATTGTTGGGGTTGAAATAGTGAGTCCCGCCCGGAAATATGGGTAGATGTGATGATTTCGTCTCGATTGGTACGAGAAAGTAGGTAATGGTGCCTACCGTAAGCTTTGCTTTGAGATAGGTAAAGTGTACATGTATAACAAAACCGATATACAAACTATGCGGAAACTCAATAGCAATCAGTCGCCAACGTTAATCAAATATATAAAATAGACAACTTATTTAACACAGTCTTTTTACAGTCTTTACAGTCTTTACAGTCTTCTTAGACCTTCTCTAATATCCCTCTCCAATCTTGGTAAAGTCCCGCCGTAACTAAATTATCAGGGACGAAAGTGGCGTCTGTTTTGGCATCCGTAGGGGAAGCGGCTGGCAGCCTCCTCTACGCCTCCGGTTCCTCTCACGCGGCCGCTCCCCAGTTCGCATGCTCCCTTTGTGCCGCAACGCTGCCGCCAAGGTGGTCACGAGACGGATGGGCATGGGATGAAGAAAGGCAACAAAAGAAGCCGTAAAGTGCAATGAGTGGCTACGACCTTGCTGCCACAGCGTTTGCCGCGGAATTGGCGCCTAGAATCTGGGGAACGTCCGCTAATGTTCACTAACTGGGAGGACATCGTGACGGCCATCCGAAGAGGAGATGGAAACATGACACGATGTCTCCGGACGTCGAACTGTTAAATGCGCCCTGATTGATGACTAGAGCGACGACGGCAGAATCCACGCCAGGATTTGGAACAAAGAAGATTAAGAATAGGAAAAAGCAAAGGCAAAGCGCAAAGGTGAACTTTGTCTTGATATCAGCTGTCCACAGACGAACAAATGGAGAGGCCGAATGCCATTGAACCAAGATGATTGGGCATTGTCCCTTCACCAATAAATAAATTACCTTGATGCCTTCAGGAACCTCACTGCTCCTGTTCGTTGCGTCTCTGTCGGCCTGTCTTCTTGAAAAAGCCCCTGAACTTCAGCATACTCCACTGTATGTCATCCAATCTTGCCTAGTATGAAAATGGCCGTTTTACTGCGTCACACGACCACCCAAGCACTGACGCAAAGCGACTTCAGGGGCTCCCATTCCAGGCCGGAATAGGCAACTGGGCACTGCTTGTACGGGGGGTTTTCGTCCACTTGCCGTCGTTTGGTCGGTCATTTTGCCGCGTCCGGCGCTGGGGCGCTGTGGCGCTGACCCCAGCGCGCGATGAACCGCTGTCCAGCGATCTCCGTCGATATGGGGTCTGGGGAAATCGTTCATTTTACGGGACATTTTCCAGATCCCCTCGATCACACACAACTTGCAAGAATCAAAACACAGCAAACGAGGCCAGAAAGGCGAGTAAGGTGGCAAAACACTCCGCCGACCACGACTGCCGTACGCGATGCGCTTTTCTTCTCGTGCAGTCGTCGCAGCGGCGCTGCTTCAGCTGCTTTCGACGGTGCCGACCGCCTCGACTCTCCGGACCTGGCAGCCGATCCGAGAGCTGCAAAAGCAAGTCCAGGAGGATGGGCCCGGCGAGCCTTCTCTCGCGACACGCGACCTGCCTGCGTACCCCGTCTACAACCTCTCGGTCCCCGTCGACCACTTCCACAACGACTCCCGCTACGCGCCGCACGTCAACGACACGTTCCCGCTGCGGTACTGGTTCGATGCCTCTGCCTACCAGCCGGGCGGACCTGTCATCGTGCTGGCTGCCGGCGAGACCAGCGGGGCCAATCGCCTGCCCTTCCTCCAGAAGGGCATTGCTGCCCGCCTCGCACAAGCCACCCACGGGCTGGCCGTCGTGCTCGAGCACCGGTACTATGGCGAGAGCGTCCCCTACGGCAACCTGTCGACCGCCGCCCTCCGCTTCTTGCACACCGACCAGGCCATGGCCGACACGGCGTACTTTGCGACCCACGTCGTGTTTCCTGGGCTCGAGGATGTGGATCTGATGCCGAATGTGGGCGCGCCGTGGATCGTGTACGGCGGGTCGTACGCCGGCGTCTTTGCGGCCTTCTTGCGAGTGCTGTACCCGGACGTGTTCTGGGGCGCGATTTCGTCGTCGGGCGTGACCGTGGCCATCCACGACTACTGGCAGTACTACGAGGCGCAGCGGCTGTTTGGTCCGCAGGAGTGTGTACAGCGGACGCAGAACCTGCTGCACGTGGCCGACCAAATCTTGTTGGCGGGGCGGCAGGCCGACGACAACGAGGGCGATGGCCATGGCGATGGTGACGACAGCCACGACGAAATCTACGAGGAGCAGCCAGCGGGCCAGATGCCGCTGGCCGGCGCTCGCGGCGACACCCCGGCCGACCGTGTCGCCAAGCTCAAGGGCGTCTTTGGCCTCGGGAACATTACGTTCGACGACGACTTTGCCTCGGTCCTGAGTGACGCCCTCGGCGGCTGGCAGGAAACAAACTGGGACCCGGCCGAGAACAATCCGAACTTTGGCTGGTACTGCGCCAACGTCACGGCCGACGAGCTCCTGTACCCGGACGTGGCCGACCGCCGCGGTGCCGTGCGCGACCTGATCCAAGCAACAAGCTATGGCGCTGCGGTCGACGCCCTCGAGCTGCCGTTCCTCAACTTTATCGGTTGGGTGCAGGCGACACACCCGTGCAATGCCACCGAGCGCACGCAGGACCAGTGCTTCACGAACCGCAACAGCACCTTCTTCCGGCAGGACGACAGCACGCAGCGCTGGCGGGCCTGGACGTACCAGTACTGCACGCAGTGGGGCTACCTGGCCACCGGGTCCGGCGTGCCGTCGGACCAGCTGCCGCTCATCAGCCGGCTCCTCGATCTCGACTACCTGTCCATCATCTGCCGCGACGCCTTTGGCATTGAGGCGCCGCCGGACGTCGAGTCGGTCAACAAGCTCGGCGGGTACGACATCAGCTTCCCGCGGCTGGCCATTGTGGACGGCGAGGCCGATCCGTGGCGAGCGGTGACACCGCACGCGCTCGGGGTGCCGGACCGCGTGTCGTCGACCGAGGAGCCGTTTCTGCTCATTCCGGGCGCGGTGCACCACTGGGACGAGTACGGCCTCTTTGACAACGAGACGACGGCCGACCTGCCGCCGAAGACGGTCCGGGACGTGCAGGCAGACGAGGTGGACTTTGTCACGCAGTGGGTAGCAGACTGGCAGAGACAGAATCCGGGCGACGACGGGGGGTTGTAAATGCAAGTGAACCTGTGTTTAGTAAGCGTACGCATAGGCCGGCGTTTGGGATTGTTTTGATGTTTTGATTTTATCGACTTTTTTTTTATTGTTACCAAATACCGTTTCGCATTACTACTGCAGTCAGCAACACCGTTATGCAAGAGCATGTAATGAATGTAATAATTGGTGTTCAAGTAAACCAGATTTGGGTGGGAATAAAACTAAATAATGTACAGCATTGGGATGAATTGTCCCCTAATTTCGGGTCAGCATGCCCTTGAAGTATTTTTCATAGCGAGTGTAAGAAAGGAAGAAAAAAAAGGTAGGAAAAGAAGGAATGGAAACGAGTGCCAATGCCATGAACGCCAACCGTCGTGCGCCGCCGCGGGTAACTAAGAAGACAACAATAAATAAAACACCCCAAAAAGAACAGCAAGCTAAGAAAATCATCAAACTCGCTCGATGCAAAATACCAATTTTAAAAGACGTGCCGTGTAAGCCCTTCTCGCCGCTCACGACAGCGAGTTCCACTTACCGTTCTCCGACATGTTGGTGCTCAGCCACCCACATGCCAGCAACAGACTGGACAGCATCAGCAGCGTCAGGATGCCGGCGCCGGCGCGGTCGGCCGTGGTGATGGGCCCCAGTAGGCCGTCGCGCACGCCCGTCGTGTCGAGGCCGGCGGCCGGGTTGCCCTTGCTGGTGGCGCCGGTGCCGTTGGAGAAGGGCGGGTGCACATAGGCCTGGTCGACGAGCAGGCTCGACAGGGCGGCGAGGGCGTTCATCTGCTGGCCGGCGCCGGTCATGCCGTCGTAGGCGCCGGTGGTCCAGCGGAAGCCGCAGACGCCGGCGCTGTCGCACGACTTCATGGCGGCGGCGGCGGACTTTTTGAGGACGGGCATGATGATGTCGTGGACAAAGGGGGCGATCTGGGTGGTGGCGGCCAGCCAGCGGTGCAGGAAGCCCTTGAAGGTCAGCATGTCGGTGGTGCACTGGATGCGGTCGGGGAGCTCGCAGGAGATCTCGACGGCGCCGCCCTGGTCAAAGAAGAGCTTGACGGCGCGGTTCGTGAGGCCGAGCACGCGGTTCTTCCAGAGCGTCGATCCGTTGGTCTGTGTGTGTCAGTACGAAAAGAAAAAAAAACAATATAAACATAAATCGCCACGAGTGTAGTCGGTCGGGTCGCACGTACGTAGTTGTACATAAAGGCCGCGCCCTGCAGATAGACGGCGGCGTTGTACGTAAACTGCGCCTTGGCAATGTCGGTGCAGTTCTTCTCGACGTGGGCGCCGTCGTAGATGTCGTAGTTGGACGACATCAGGCCGACGCCGGCGACCCAGTCCCAGGTCTTGATGGCCTCCTGCGCATACGTGTCGTTCTTCGTGTAGCGCGCCAGCCGCGCGCCCATGTTGAAGAAGATGCCGTTGGCAATGGAGTTCTTGTAGTCGTAGCCGTTGTTCGTCAGCGGGATCTGCCAGCGCATGCCGCCGCCGCACGTCTGGTCGTGGCGGTCGGGCGCGGCCTGCGTGTTCCACACGGCCTGGGCCAGGGCGAGCCACTGCGGCTGGTCGTCGGGCGGGTTCTGGAAGTTGGACTCGGCCGCGAGCATGGCCGACAGGCCCCAGAAGCCCTGGTCGTCGTTGCCGAGCGAGGCGGTCCAGTTGGGCGGCATGTAGCAGTTCTGCGGCGGGCCGGTCTGGAAGAGCAGCGCCGTCTCGGTCATGTTGTTGTACTGCGCGTCCTGCGTGTAGCGCCAGTAGTCGATGAGCGTCCCCCACATGGCGCCGCCCTCCCACCAGTAGTAGTCGCCGTTGGGCGGCGGACCGGGCAGGATGCCGGGCACCCAGCCGGGTTGGTCGCCGTGGTAGTAGGACAAGAGCTGCTTGGCAAGGACCTTGCAGGCGGCCTTGATGGAGGCTGTGGAGGATAGGACGTTAGGATGGTGGACGGAGCGACGAGGCGAAACACACAGAAAACAAACCTGGCGAGCTGAGGTCGACGTCAAGGGCCGTGACCGTTGGCACGAGAAGCGCCGTCGCGAGACTGGCGGCAGCCGACGTGGAGAACCTCATGGCTGGGGGGATGGCGGGCGGTGGCGACGAGCGGTATACGACTAACAGAAAGTCGATAGACGTGAAAGAATCGTCTTGGAGTAAAATAGTGAGAAGACAAGGCGCGCAAGATTGCCGAGGGTAGAAAGAGTGACTGGATGAACGAGTGACGGTTATGAGTTGGACAGGCGCATGGGCATCCCGGACGGCAACACGGTCGAGAGAGGTGTCACGGTGACGATGAAAGAAAAAGAAAGAGTAAAGAACGAAAGAGGTTTACAGAGTACGTACAACACACACCAAAAGAGAAAGCAGGATGAACGGCACGACGAGGTGCTGACAGGAACGCCCCCAAAATGCACTGACCGACTCGGGCGGTCTTGGCCGTCCATCGTCACTCTCGTCTGCATTTTGTCCCATGCCTATTTCAAGAGAAGAGGGCCCTCCACAAAAATGTGAACAAAACTGGGGATGACAGCACAGGTGTGCCATCCGAGCCAAGCGGCTGTGAGTGAGGATCGACTACAACAGACAGGGACGTTTACGACGCACACGAGTGGGCAGAGACAGGAAAAGCGCGCCATAGGATGAGAGGGAGGTGCCGGGACAGCCAAAATGAACCAAAAAGTCAGAAAAGGGGGGATGGGGGGAGGAGACGCCAGCGCCAACACGAGGTCTTGGCACGCGAGCACGATGTCCAGTGCAGGTTGGAGGGTGGCAGCGAGACGCAGAGTGAGAATGGAACGCAGTCACGGGAAGCAGTATTTCGTACACGGTAAGTCAATGTGAATAAGCACATCGAAAAGCACAGGGGTTCATCTGGAGGCGAGTTGTCGACAGACGTCGACAGCGAACACGCAGACATGTCACGAGTCGGTTCGCTGTCGTTGTCTGTGTAAACAGTCCCGAAGGACAAGTCGGCATACTCCGACACAGCAACACGCCACGACACTACTGCAAGCTTGACGCGGGAAGACAATGCCAACCCAGGACAAGCACTTGTCCAAGAACCCCGTGCCAGAGACGCAGGAAGTATCTCATGTTGTACACGACCCTGAACTTGAGAAACAAAGGGAGGACGAGTCGTGTCGACAAACCCAAAATGTGCAAGTACAGAATAAGCTTGCCCGACTTTGACTTCCGGCCCACACCTCTCTGGACCCCTGCCATGCCCATCCTGCTGCCCCGTTTTTCTCTCTTTTTGGTTGTTCTGACTTGTCCACTCTCTCCTTTCTTTTTCTAGTCTCTTCCTCTCTCCCTGTCAACGCTCCCTCTTGTGGGTGCCCAGACCTGAGTCCAATACATTCGTAGAAGCGTTGGCTGTCACCCAGTCTGGCTAGCTTCAGCCTTGGCATTATGCAGGGGAAATAGGCCAACAGCGCGACGAAGAGACTGAAAGAGAGACGTGAGGCTCTGGCAGGGCAAAATAATATACTCGAAAGACGCCAGTTTGGGAGTCGATAGAGGATGTTTGGGAAGAAAAGAGAATGCGCAGACATAAAAAGAGAGTCCTTCTCTTGGCCGCCGTAAACATATCGACACATCTTGCCTCACGATTAAAATCATAAATACGAACTCTCCGCCCATACATCGTACGTCCAAACCGACTCAAATTAAACACGCCTGCACATTCGGGCACGCGTTTGCCAAGGGGGGCTGTGCTGAAAGAATGAAAAAACTCAGACACCAGATGAACTGAGCTGAAAACTCCGCACCACAAGAGCTACTTGAGTATTCTCCGGCCTCCATATTATGTCTTATTTTGGTGCCACTTCCAGCGACCCGGTTCAGGGGCTCGCCTGCTTTGCTGTCGTTTATTGCTGTAAATTGCACCCGTCCACTCGCGGCTTGGCAAGGAAACAATGCTGGCTTGGGCCGTCGTGCCCACTGGAGAAGAAATATTGCAGTCGGACGCTTATGGAAAGCATCGCATCGAAGGTTTGTTATTTCGCTCTTTTTCAACCAGGGCAGGAGGTCGTCCAGGGCCACTGCTCCGTAACGCCCCGGCACTTTCTTCCCTCTGCTGTCGATCCGCTGCAAATCAAGTATTTGTGGTGTATTTTTCTTTCTTTCTTTTTTTGCACTGCTTTATGTTTCCTCGGCTTACCCCGGATTTTTCGACCTTTGTTTGCCTCGTCCTCGTTTTTCCACTCGCGGCGGACCATAGCCGACGCTCTAAAATAAAGTTTTCGCCACGTCGAACGACATTTGCCCATGCAACGACAGCAACAAATAGGATGGCAATGCATAAACAGGTCTACGATTATCTACTTTGTACAACAAAGACATACTCGTACCTTTTTACATAGTACTGTACTGATCCTACAGAAAGCATTGTACCAACAGTTACATCCACATGCAATCTTCAACTCATCTCGAATGCTCTCCGTAGTAGTCATCTCCATTCCTCAGTGTCAATAAAGGATAATTTTACATTAAAGTGGCGTTAGATGCTTGACTATTTAAAAATATTGAAACGTGACTCTAGTAAACTAATTGTTTCTTTTTATTTAGTTTAATAACTCAACATTTGTTTGTACTTGAATATTCCTTTGTAAAATCCACGTCAAAACCTAATAATTCACACGATTAAAAATACGAATTCTATTAAATATCCTTCTCAATAATATTGAAATAAACTCAAACAAGACGACGAAATACTGAGCCTTCACATCATAATGAGATGCCACCACGAAGATTAGTCATCTGACCCACTTTTGTAGAGCCGAAATCCACAACATAAAATTTCGGTTACGAAAAACTTCTCTTAAATCAGTAACCGCAACACACCGCAGCACGACGACAACACGACGACAACAACGGCCGTCTTCGCGATGCGACTGCATGCGGGTAGATTATAAACTGCTGCAGCACAAAGGTAAGGTTCGTAGGATCACGGGCGTCGTTGTCGTATCACGCCTGTCCTGCCGCTTCATGCCCTTCTTCCCTCAATCTCCTGCCTACACCTCCGCAGTCCTCCAACCAGCCAGTACAGCGGCCTTTGAGCCTCTTCTTTCACCTGCGCCGTCCTGGCGGTCACACTCCTGTGCTGTGGCCAACGGGCTTGTCCGGCTGGCGCGACGTTTTGTCGTGCTGCCGGACGAGGGCTGGTTCAATGGGGAGCATGCTTTTGTTTCTCGTCCGAGAGCAGAGCGTGTTGTCGCTGCCAGATCAAACGCATCAAGGACCATCATAGTCCGCGCCCGCACCGCCGAAACGGTCTTGGGGAGGGCAAACTCGACAGCGATGTTGGTTGCTTCTCTTTCTTCGCGGGCGAGGCTCCAAGCGTTCCAACATTTGTAAAACGTGCTGTCGATTGCTCTTTCCGCCTCAGCTCTTCTTTGGCGGTTGTACTTTCCTTTGCAGCCGCTGTATCTGTTTGGCCAATTGGGTGCGCCAAGGCCCACACATTGGAGGATCGTAGCTTCCCCATTAGTGCCCGCAATTGCTGTATCGATAGCACATAGCGTAGTGGTCCAATACGTCATTCGGTGGTGGGCAGGTACGCAACGTCAAGTAACTGTTTCTGATCAACAGCATCTGTTGGCCCTCTGACGTTGGTCCGCGCGGATATTGCCGTATATACCACGCAAGGTACAGCACCTCGTGCATTTCGTGCATTTCTTTCATCGGCGTCAGTCAATCCATCTCCATCTCGAAGCCGCTCCAAGAATGCCATATCGCCCCGCCGGCCAGACGTTGCTGACTCGCGCCAGTGTTAAGATTCAGGCACACGTTCAGGGCCACGTCCACGTTGTCTGTTTGCAGCCGCGACGATTCTCACGACACTTGCACGGGCACCTGTCTTCGTTCTCGCCCTCTACGCGCAACATGTCCCACGAAAGCCGCTTCGGCGACCTCCCACTGAGCGTGCGCGGCCCCATGGACTGTGCCCTCCGCGGCACTGTCCTGCTCAACCACTCCATCTTCAACAAAGGCTCTGCCTTTCCGCCTGACGAGCGCCGCACCTTTGCGCTCAATGGCCTGCTGCCGGCCGGCGAGCAGACGCTGGAGCAGCAGGTGCACCGCGCCTACGAGCAGTACAGCACGCGCGCCGACGACCTGGCCAAGAACACGTTTCTGACGTCGCTGCACGACCAGAACCACGTGCTGTTCTTCCGGCTGGTGCAGGACCACCTCGACGAAATGTTTTCCGTCATCTACACGCCGACCGAGGGCGACGCCATCCAAAACTACTCGCGGCTGTTCCGCCGGCCCGAGGGCTGCTTCCTGCGCATCGACGACATTGACGGCGTGTTTGACGCGCTGGCGCAGTGGGGCACCGCCGAGGACATTGACTACATCGTGGTGACGGACGGCGAGGAGATTCTGGGCATCGGCGACCAGGGCGTCGGCGGCGTGCTCATTTCGCGGGCCAAGCTGATCCTGACCACGCTCTGCGCCGGCATCCACCCGAACCGCACGCTCGGCGTCGTGCTGGACTGCGGCACCGACAACCAGCAGCTGCTGGACGACTCGCTGTACCTGGGGCTGCGCCAGCGGCGCGTCCGCGGCCAGCAGTACGACCGGTTTGTCGGGGCCTTTGTGCGCGCGGCGCGCCACCTCTACCCGCAGGCCTACATCCACTTTGAAGACTTTGGCCTCGACAATGCGCGCCGCATCCTGGACACGTACCGGCCGCAGATGGCGTGCTTCAACGACGACGTCCAGGGCACGGGCTGCGTGACGCTGGCGGCCATCCTGTCGGGCCTGCACGTCAGCGGCGAGCACCTGGACGACCTGCGCATGGTCGTCTTCGGCGCCGGGTCGGCCGGCGTGGGCATTGCCGACCAGGTGTGCGACGCCATCGCGTCCAAGAAGAAGATTAGCCGCGCGGAGGCGGCCAAGCAGATCTGGCTGATTGACAAGCCGGGCCTGCTGACGACCGCGATGGCCGAGCAGAAGAAGCTGTCCAAGGCGCAGCAGCTGTTTGCCAAGGACGGCGGCGCGTTCAAGACGTCGTCGAGCGACAGCAACAGCAACGCCATTGGCTTGCTGGATGTCGTCAACACCATCAAGCCCAACGTCCTCGTCGGCACCTCCACCAAGCCCAAGGCCTTCACCAAAGACATCGTCCAGGCCATGGCCAGCCACGTCGACCGCCCCATCATCCTGCCGCTCTCCAACCCGACACGCCTGCACGAGGCCGTGCCCTCCGACTTGCTCGAATGGACCGACGGCCGCGCCCTGATTGCCACAGGCTCGCCCTTTCCGCCCGTCAAGGGTCCCTGGGGCAAGGACGGCGACGACGTCGAGATCCAGGTCGCCGAGTGCAACAACTCCGTCGTCTTCCCCGGCATCGGCCTCGGCGCCGTCCTGTCCCGCGCCAGCCGCCTCAGCGATGCCATGCTCGTCGCTGCCGTCACGGCCGTCGCCGACTTCAGCCCGGCCCTGAAGGAGGCCACGGCACCGATTCTCCCGGGCGTCGACAACGTCCGTCCCGTCAGCGTCCACATTGCTCGCAGTGTCATTCGCGCCGCCCAAAAGGAAGGCCTCGCCACCGAGCGCGGCATCCCCTCCGAAGAGGACGGCGACGACCTGCTCGACGAGTGGATCCGCGAGCAGATGTGGACGCCCGAGTACCGGCCGCTGCGCTATGTCAGAATGGAAGACGCCAGTCGCCAGGCGGCCGGCGTGCGTACCCCGTCCGACACATACACGAGGCGGGACAGCGTGTAGCGCGTGGAAGGGCGTTTGGTATGAGGCTTTGATGATATTTGACTGTTTTTTCACTCTCGTCAAATTTTGCGGTCGGCCCCTGGGGCTTTCTGCGTTGGATTGTTATCCGTGTCTATTCTCACAGTTGGTTTTCCATTTGAATGTGTTCACTTTACGACAGTGTCTGTAGGAGACTAAAGATGGCCAAATGAAAAGTACAGTCATAGTGAAGGTTAAAATGTTGTGACAACCGTTCTATGTAAACATTGACTGTGGAAAGCTGCTTCTTCGCAAAACGCCAGCACAACGAACCCCACACGTGACCCCCACATGGCAGGTTCCAGGGCCCGTCCCCACCCTTCTGTAATCAGGAGCTTTGGGCACGCTAGTAGCTGCCGCTGACGACAACACACGAAGAGCATCTCATAATCAGACGACTTGGACGATATTGACGACTTTGGCGACGATCGGCCGCGACGACGGCTGCGACAACGTTTTGGCGACTGCACTTGAGCTCGACGACCTCTAGCACCGTGCCATCGCTTTCAATTGTCCTTTCGCCGAGGCTATGGGCCACGCGGCGTGACCTCCGTGTGCTGTCAGTCTCGACTCGAGACGTCTCGTCACTTCGATCCTCCTCGCGACGCACGCCTCACGATGGCGGCGCCGCAGCCGGCGTTCCTCCTGCCGCAGAACCGCAAGCTGCGCCACCTGCGGGGCATCTACCTGCGCAATCTGACATTCTCGCCGCCGCGCAAGCACAGCGTCGACGACTCGGGCGTCGGCCCAGGAGGACAACAGAGGCGCGCGTCGCTGCGGAAAGCACTCCACCACTCTCGGTCGAGTGACGACCTGCTGACCGACAGCAATGGATCGGCCACAGCTTCACCGTCCGCTGCAGCGCCAGACTCAGCGACAGCGACAGCCACGTCCACGGCCTCTGCACGCAACCGCAGCGCGACGCTGTCTGGGGCCGATGCGCTGGCACGACAACACATTTTGGAGCAGGTGCTGGACAGCAGCACGGCAGACGCCTTCTTCTCGCTGCACAACGACGGGGCCGACGAGCCCATCTACGTCAGCGAGGTCGCCGAGCGGGCGGCGGTAGGTTGCCCGTCCCCTTTCTGCGAACAACGCAACCAACGCAACCACGCCATTACTAACAACGCAGAACTTCAATTTTCGCTTCTTCGACCTGGCCGGCCTCGATCCCTTCGTCTCACGATCGTCGCAACTGACCGTCAAAGTCTGGGTGCGACGGGCACCACATGCAAGCACATCTGCAGCAACATCCTCAGCACCCTCAACAACAACAACACGTCCGTCTTCGACGTCTTCCTCCTCTCCCGCGTGGTTCCTCCTCCTCGAAGACGACGTCGATCTGCGCTTCCTCGGCTGCATCGGTTCTCTCCAAAGCATCCGCTTCCCACCCAACGCCCTCGTTTTCCATTTACTCGATGGCATCTACATGGCCGGCGCACCACGCAATCGGCTCGTGGCACCGGCCGGCGGCGCGCGCAGCAACTTGGCAGGATCACCACCGCTGCCCACGTCGTCCTACAACGCGCTCATGCGCCTCGCCAACCTCGAAAACTCACTACAAGACTGCCTGGCCACGCAGGACAAGCTGTCCCAGCAGATCGAGCAGATCCTCGACGCAGAGCAGCAGGCCGTCGCGGCCGGCGAGCCCGCAGCCGCGGCTCTGCTCCTGCCCGAGGCCGAGGCCGGCCGCCACCGCGCCCTGAAGGGCCTCGCACACCGGCGCCGCCTCAATGACGCCGCGCGCAGGAAACGCGCCGACCTGGCGTCGTCTCTGGAGGCCAGACGGGCGGCCATTGCGGCAGGCCGCGACCTGCAGCAGCGCGCCTGGGCCGACGTCGAGCACGCGGCACACAAGCTGGAGTCGTCGCGCGCCACGGCGCAGCGCACACGCGACGACATTCGCGGGCAGCGGCGGCGCATCTGCGAGGACCTGATTCGCATTTTCAACATTGCGCGCGCGCGGGGCGTCGACGAGCCGCTCGCGTTCCAGATCTGCGGCATGCCGCTGCCCAACACGGTGTACGGGCCGCTCCTCGACAGGAGCAGCAAGGGGCAGGCCGAGGACACGCTGTCGGCGGCGCTGGGCTTTGTGGCCGTCCTCGTCGCGGCGCTGGAGACGTACCTGGGCGTCGCCCTGCCGTACCGCATCACGGCCTACGGCTCGCGCTCGGTGGTGCGCGACGACATCAGCAAGAACATCCCCGACGCGCAGCGGGACTTCCCGCTGTTCATGCCGCGCGGCGGGCACAATGCGCAGTACCGCTTCGACTACGCCTGGTTCCTGCTCAACAAGGACATTGAGACGCTGTGCCACGCCCAGGGCCTCAAGGTCGTCGACATCCGGCACACGCTGCCGAACCTGCAGTACCTGCTGTACGTGTGCAGCGCCGGCACCGCGGACCTGCCGGAGCGCAAAAAGGGCGGTGTGCGCGGGCTGTGGATGGGCCACATGCAGCGGCACGGCGTGGGCAGCAGCCGAGACGACGTGCAAGACGGGCAAGAAGCACAAGGAGCAGAAGGACACGACCCGCGCAAGGATGCCGCCGTCGTGACCACGCGCGGGCTTCTTCCGACGACCACGCGCACAACGACGCGCGCCACCAACACGACCAACACGGCCAGCAATACCACGGCGACGTCCATGGCGTCCTCGCCGGCGTCGACGCTCCACCTGCCCTTTGACGAGACGGCGACGAAGTGGACACTGCGGACAAAAGGCATGCGGGAGAGAGACTGACAGGCGACGAAGACTCTCGTTGGGGGCGAGAGAGAGTGGGGCTAGATATCTGTACATAATAGTCTTACTTGTGGTGGGCCCGTTTCGACGACCCAAGGCGTTCAATGACAAGCGATTCTTGATACCGTGCAGCTGTCCAATGGAAACCATTTTTTGTCTGTGAGTGCTGCTGACTTGTCACTCAACCTGGGACCCGACCTGTGAATGGATTATAGAATATTCGTGTCAAGGCACACCAGCTTGGTCGAAATCTTGGGTTGCCATCTTTGCAAAGTCCCTGATCGGCGGCGAAGAGGTGTCTGATCTCGGAGCATTGCGGTGGTCCTACGCTGTACAGCAAAGCACAAATGTACCTTGTCCCGACACAGTCGCGGTTCATGGGGGCGGACGAGACCGGCATGTACCATATCTGCATCCCATGTCACTTAACCTCGCCGCACTCTCTCACTGTCTCTCATGGGTGTGTTGTCTCTCCATCCTCTGGCTAATATCAGATGCAATTGAGCCGCGCCAACTGCCGCGGGCCGCGTGCTCGACACGCCGAGGACAGAGTTGTATTTTGCCGGAGATCGTTTATTTTCTTCGCGGTTTGGTCGTGCTTCCTTCTCGGTCGTGCCTCCTCGCCTTGCTGTCGTCACTTTATTTGGTGTCGCCCTGCTCTCTGCACTCTGTTCGATTCATGTCAGATTCATGGCATGACGAAGGAGTGCCACAAACAAAGGGTGTCCTTACTTTGCTCCCTTGCCTTTTTCCGTGACCTTTCTTTGACGTGTACAGATTCGTCCTCATTGTGTACCCTTTCTGTTTTTCCTTGCTAGCCACCTTGTACAAACCCAGCTGCAATTCCTCCACAGAATCTCCGTGCAAGTGGAGGGCTTCATATGGATAATGCTGCCATGCAGGTTGTCAATAGATATAAATTCAAGTGCCAATGTGCCCATACAACACCCTTCAACCACCCTTGAAGCACACATTAAGCACTCTATCCGGACTATATATTTGCATTCCTCGCCATTTATGTTCCGTCTTCTGCCTTCCATCACCTGCCTTCTTCCTTTGCCTTGTTCAGCCTCGGGCGGGATCCCATACTCGAGCCGGTTCCCCTACGGGAGACTCTTCCCTGATGTGCCGGGTAAGAAGGTTAAGAAAGGAAACGGGCGTCGCTCCTGTGCTGCCGTGTTGAGGTTTTCGTGTTCTCTTGTGCTCTTGTGCTCTTGTGCATGTACTCCAGTGCTGAGCTTCCTGTACACCCAGACATCGTCTCCCCTGCCCCGAAGCTGTCAACCGTGCCTTTGTCTCGCATTTCTTGTGGTCAATAGAGAGTATATCAGGGTACAGACCCGCCATTCTATAGCTCCGGACTTGATCTCTCTTCTCTTCCTGAAAATACAGCCTCTCTCGTTGTCGTTTGTGTCCGTTCAACGGTGTTTAATTATTCATTCTTTTCGGGTGCAGCTCTGCTCGTCGCCAGCTTCATACTTTCAGTTATTTCTCAGTGTCAATCTAATTATCTTTTCCGTCTTTTCGGTCTCTGTTCGTTTCACAGCTTCACAGCTTCAGAGCTTCCTGTCAATTATCGTCATACGTGACTCACCGAGCGCGCCATACGACGTGCCTCCCACCCTCTTTCTGTTTATATCACTGCGCTCGGCTGCACAACGCGCAACAAGCCACGCCTTTTCTAAACAAAACAATTCGGACTGTCCAGCCCACCGGCCGTCGCCAAAATGAAGCTCCTCCTCCACTTCTTGTTCGCCGTCCTCGCAGCCACACTCGCTGTCGCTGCACCCACATCAGCACACCTCCAACGGCCCATCGGCAGTGCAGGACACCACAGAAACCCTGTATCACGACCATCACGCAACACCGCAACGCCTGTCCCATCACACACTCGCCCCGACGGAAGACCCAAGGCAAAAGCCTTCCAGCTGCCGTACGTCGTCAAGGCACCCAAGGGCGATGGACGGCACCAACGACCAGGGCCCTTGCCGTCGTGGATGACGCCCTGGAGGAAGGCCGCCTCGACCTTGTCAACCGCTGCGTCTACGTCCGCGTTGCCCGCCGCCGCCAACCGCCACCGCATGCACTTTACACACTCGGGCAACGAAAAGCTGGCCTGCTTTTGTGCGGGCGGGGCGGTCTGCTGCCACACCGCGACGGGGCTGGACTGCAACTCGGGGTACTGTGGGATCTAGAAGGGCCGGAACGGCGGGAAGAAGCGACAAGGAGAGCTGCGCATCCTCCAAAGTCCAACGTCAAGAGTTAAGAAGGTCGACACGTCGCGCACACAGGTGCTGCTCGCCTCGCCTCAAACCGAATCGGCTCCACGCGACCCGAAACGAACCGTGTTTAAAGACTACGAGCATTCACCAGCTACATTACAAATATCCACCCATCGCCAATCATCGATGCTGCACAGACCGGATGACAGACTGGGATCTGCCTTTCAGGACAAAACAGCACCAAAGAGCTGGCAGAGGAAGCATCAGGGCCGGTTGACGGGTTAATTCGTCGTGGAAAGCGACAATCGTACTCATAATTTTACAATAATCAAAGCATTCTCAGACACGCTTGGCAGAGCACAGCATACAAACACTGTTTTACCTGTCTCGACTTTGTGTTCTCACCGCTCCCCCGTAGTCACTAATCCTCCATATTTCGTGCATAAAATGCAACATTCCACCCTGTCCTCAGACCCTTTCTTCTCTGCACGAAAGCACAGTCCAAGAAATGGTCCGAGTGCTAGAAAAGCGCTAGAACGTCCAACACAGCAGTTCGAACGATCCCAGCGCTTCCAGCGCTTCTCGAACGGCGGCATGCCACACGCAAACCCAGATCCATGCCAGACTGTGACCACCATGACAACTTTGCTGGCCTGATCCTTGGCAAACCTGCCTACGACGTAAGTTTACCGTATTGACTATTCACGCCGTAAAAGCCCAAGCCAGATATGTTTACGACTCGTAGCTTCGAGACGAGAAACGCTGGGGGTCGAAATGAGTGTGCGAGCTGTCAATGGGTTCTACGACGTAGCATGCTCATCATCGTCCGAGCTGATTGGGACTCTAGCGGGCTCTCCTGGAGATGCCAAGTGGGCTCTTGGTAAATGAGATGCCAAACGCAGATGAGGAGTCGACACAAAAGCGGAGTGGACGAGACCCTGCGTTTGTCGAGCAATACTGCATACGGAGCAATTACGGCATACTTTATGCACTCCACGCTGGGTTGGTGAGGCAGGACGCAGCTACTTACTGGGGCATAAGCCCCTGTAACTAGTATCTTAATTACTTGACCGGCGCTTCAAGCATCGTCACCGTCCAGCGGCAACGTCCACCAAACAACGTTCCGAGACAGTATCACGACGGACTGCTTCGAACGGGAGCAAATAAATAGAATTACTGACAGCACCAAGCGCAAATCAAAGTATGCAAAAAATCATTGTCGCCCACAATGATCATCGGCAATTGGCGCCGTCGTTCTAAGCTGGCATTTTGTTGGTCTGCAAGGCCCAATGCGCTAAATGAGCTGGAAACGTCACTGGTGTGGGCCAGCCGCTGCCAAAAGACACCCGCTGTAATTACTGGGTTTGGGCCAGGCCTCTCCAAGCACAGGTCAAATACAGCACCCATGCCACTGAAGCCCACTCACTCCAGCTAAAGCTCAACCCCAAAGGACCACCAGCATGTCAGCAGTTCCCTGTCTTGCTCGTGTGGGCCGAGGAGGGCCTTACTGAGGATCATGATCATTTTCAGATGCGGAATACGTGAACAACTGCCACTGCGAACGCCTTCTTTGACTCGTAATTATGCTGTGTGGAATGGAAGCCTTGCGACTTCATTTCTTGTTCTGTCCATCGTCCCTTCCTTCGCAGCACTGAGTATCCGTTCTCCGCACCTGCCGCTTTGACCGTTCCCCGAAGACACAACAATGCCTCTCAACGTCGTTGGCGAGCACTTCTATTGAGCATTCTCGCCGCCGTCATTGACCTTGCCACTCTCGCCCTGTTGCCGGCATTGTCCACCTGGTCCTCTCTGTGGCCGCTGCGGCCCTTCCGCTTGTCCCGCGCCAAACGCTCAAATAAAGCCCCCAAGGGCCCAGAATTACGCCAGAGTGGCCCCACCACAGCTTCCTTCCATCTACGACGTACGCGCACAACAGCGCAAGGGAAGACACAAGAGGAAAGAGCAACTGGCGGGCAGCACAGAGCAAATCCAAGCAACAAACCAACATCTTTTCAAGGTCCAAAATCGTACCTTTTGTCAATCTCTCCTCTGTCCATCCGTCCATTTCCATCGACTGTTGCACCACAAGGTATGTGTGTCGTCTTGTCTTTACATTGTCCCCGTGCCCCACGGCTATGACGACTGCGAGACCCATTTGATTCGGTTGCTTACATTCCGGCCCTAAAGGACGTCTCTTGCGTCAATCTCCCGGCGAAACATCGACAGATCCAACATCTACACGTTGCGAGGCCCACGCTGTCTCGCGATAGTTGCCCAATCCCTGGTGTTCTGTGGTTTGGCACCACACAAACAACGACCACGTCGTGACGCAATATCGTGGAGCGGCCCTGCAACTGCAACCCCACCGCTTCGCCTCGCGCCGCAGACCAATCTGGGCCACAGCGAGCCGCCTCACTTTATCCACGCCGTGCTCATATCTGCTTTTGGATTTCCCTTGGGACACATTGAGACACATTGAGACACATTCGGACACATTCGGACGACTCGCACGCAAGGACCATTGTGCGCCCTAGATCGCCGGCCCGCGGCCACTTGGTGAGCTTGTCTGCAGCGCACAGGCGTTTCGTTTTGAGCACCCGAAACGTCGACACATCGAAACCGACGAGTCGTTGGAACCGTCGCGAACGCCGACCTCGAACGCCGACCCCGTCCTTCTAGACGTCCACAATTGAGCATGACCACCGTCGCATAGCCTTGTCGACATTGCAGGCCACATATCTTGTTCCCGGCACCCGGCACCCCTCTCTCCCTCTCCCATTCTCACACTCCCTTGCCCCTCCTCTACTCCTCCACACGCTGGCACAATGCGACGGGCACGCGGCCCGTCGCCGACATCGCCCTTCCGGGCCCTCGCCCACCAGCACGCCACCCACAATGCCGCCAACAACGGCGCCGGCGGCCAGGGCGGCACCGTGTCGTCCATGATCCGCTCCTTCAACGTCGAGACCAACCCCACCCGGCCCATACGTCCCAGCCCGCTGACCGCCTCGACCTTCCCCGACATGCCCCTCGACCTCGTCGACCGCATCCGCTCGTTTCCGCTCTTCGTGTCCGCCCCGGACGACTTTCTGGCCGCCATTGGCAAGCACCTGCGCCCGCAGATCCACGCCGCCCACGACCTGATCCTCACAGAAGGCGACGACGCCAAGGCCATGTACTGGCTGGTGCGCGGCGTGGTGGCCGTCACCTCGCGCGACGGCGAGGCCGTCTATGCCGAGCTGACCCCGGGCGCCTTTTTCGGCGAGATTGGCGTGCTGATGGACGTGCCGCGCACGGCCACCATCGTGGCGCGGTCCAAGTGTCTGCTGGTCGTCCTCAAGAAGGAGGACCTCCAGACGGAGCTGCCACGCTACCCCGACATGGAAAAGGCCATCCGGCAAGAGGCCGAGGAGCGCCTGACCATTCTCAAGAAGAAGCAGCAGGAACGGCGCAACGTGGGCACGAGCGGCAGCACAACGACACCCAGCAGCACACAGTCCGGCGATATCACCGGTGCATCGACAACAGCAGCAGCAGCAGCAGACGCCCAGACCGCACCAACAACGACCCCGACCAACAAAAGAAGCGCAAGTCGCCTAGCCCCGGCATTATCGAGGACCCAGCCGTCGGCGGCAGCGCCCTGGGCAGCGGCTACGTCAATGTGCGCAAAACCCTCAAAGAGCTGCCGCTGTTTGCGACCCTCCCGCCCGACATCCTGCACTTTCTCGGCCTCAGCGCCCAGCCCAAGACCTTTGCGCCCTTTACCGACATCATCTGCCAGGGCAGCCCCGGCAACGACATCTACTTTATTGTCCGCGGCGAGGCCGAAGTCATCTTGGAACTGCCCAAAGGCCGCCTTCACGAGACCGCGTCGACCTTTGCGCGCCCGCGCCTCACCCAGGGCCAGTATTTTGGCGAGGTGGCCAGCTTGGGCCTGTCGCGCGGCCGCACGGCCACCGTGCGCTCCATTACCAGTGTCGAGTGCCTGATGATTAGCGGCGAGGCGCTGGACGAGCTGTGGCGGCGGTGTCCTCCGGGGCTCAAAGACCAGGTCGAGGCCACAGCCCGCGAGCGGTATCATCCGACGGCCGATGGCGACGACGACAAGAGAACAGACGAGACTCGACAACCTCCAGAAGACGACCAAGAAGGAGACATTGAGATGAGAGACGATCCAGACGTCGGCTCGCCATGGCGCCCCGCGCCCTCTTCGCCCGTCTCCTCGCTCGCGTCGCTCCGCCGCCACTCTGTCCCCAACGTCACCTTCACCACGCCCTCCAAACCGTCGTCACCCACCAAGGCCTCGCAAAAAGACGAGACGGCCGAGACACGACAGCCGAGCGACCCAGATCCGTTCCTCAGCGTCGACATGGAGAATATGCGCAACCGCCGGCGCAACTCGCTGGCACCGCCTGTGCCGCAAACCGAATCATCCGCATCCTCACCGTCGTCTTCCTCGTCACTGTCCTCCTCCTCCTCCTCGTCCACACTCCAGGCTCTGCCAGTCACGCAAGCCGGTGAGGCCACCAACAGCAACAGCAGTCCGCTCAAACTATTTGCATTCCCACCACAGACGACAACCCCACCATCTAATTGGAAAGACAAGGAGAAGGCGGACAAAGGGGCAGCGAGCATCATTGACGATTTCAGCAGCATCAAGATGCAGGAAGAGACACAACAGAGCCAACAGAAAGGGCAGCAGCAGCAGCAGCAGCAAGATACACGAGGGCCTTTCAAAAAGGCACGCCGAAGCCCCAGCGCCGTCCGGGGCGCCAACGGTGACCACGCATCCCTCGCCACCACCAGTCGCCAGTTCCCGCCCGAGGCAGCCCTTGTGCTTGTCTTGAAGCAATTCGACTTCCTTGAGCTCGTCCGCCTCGCCGGCATCTGCCGCCACTGGCGCCGCGTCATCACCACGGCGCCGCAGCTCTGCACCCACATCGACCTCGCGCCCTACAACGGCCGCATCACCGACTGGTCCTTGCTGCAGATCGTCGCGCCCCTGGTTGGCCAGCGCGCCGTCGAGATCGACATCAGCAACTGCTTCCACATCACCGACGAGGGGTTCCAGGCCCTGTGGCAGCACTGCGGCCGCAATGTCAAGGCCTGGCGCATGAAGTCTGTGTGGGACGTGTCGGCCAACCAGATCCTGGACATGAGCGAGCACGCCACCGGCCTCGAGGAGCTCGACTGGAGCAACTGCCGCAAGGTCGGGGACAATCTGCTGGCGCGTGTTGTCGGCTGGGTGGTGCCGCCTGCACCGGCCGCGTCGGCGTCGGGGTCGGGGGCGGCGACCAGCAACAAAATTGTCGCGATTGCCAATTCCAACCGCAGCCGACAGGCCCAGAAACAGCAACCGCAGCGCCAGCCGCAGGACGACGCCGCCTCCAAGAAGGACAATGGGCCCGCCCCGGGCACCATCATCGGCTGTCCGCAGCTCACCATCCTCGATCTCTCGTACTGCAAGCACATCACCGACCGCTCCATGGTGCACCTGGCCGCCCACGCGTCGTCGCGCCTGCGCGCACTGTCCCTGACTCGATGCACCTCCGTCACCGACGCCGGCTTCCAGGCCTGGGCCCCCTACCGGTTCACGGCCCTGACGCATCTGTGCCTGGCCGACTGCACCTACCTGTCCGACAACGCCATTGTCTCCCTCGTCAATGCCGCCAAGGGCCTCACGCACCTCGACCTCTCGTTCTGCTGTGCGCTCTCCGACACGGCGACCGAAGTCGTCGCCCTCGGCCTGCCGCTGCTGCAAGAGCTCCGTCTTGCCTTCTGTGGGTCCGCCGTCTCCGATGCGTCCCTGCGGTGCGTCGCCCTGCACCTCCAGGACCTCCGCGGCCTCAGTGTCCGCGGCTGCGTGCGCGTCACCGGCGTCGGCGTCGACCACATCATGGACGGCTGCACGCGGCTGGCCTGGCTGGACGCGAGCCAGTGCAAGAACCTGGCCAGCTGGGTCGCGGCGGGGGGTGTCGCGCGGTGGGGCTACGACGAGCGCCAAGAGCAGGAGGACCAGAGGGGCGGCGGCGCCGCGAGCAAGTACAATCCGACCGGCTGGCAGCCAGCCAGTCGACGCACGCTGGGGCTGGACCCGGCCTTCCAGCAGGTCGCCAAGGCGGCGGCGCCAGCTCCGGCCATGCGCGGCCAGCTGCGACGGGCACGGCAACCCGTCAAGTTTATCATTGAGAAGGGGTCGCAGGACGGTCTGCGGTGATGGAATGACTGTTGCCCAGGACGCCTGTGCGGGCGCCATTTTATTTTTTTTTGGTTTATATTTTCACCGTCTACGTTTACCATCATTTGCACATGCTCTCGGGCGTTCTTACGCATCACACAGGGGAAGGACTACGCATATACCGGGGTTTTTTGGATGAAGACTGGGCGGGGCATTGTTGTTGGTTTTGTTTTTGCAGGTTGATACCATTTACCGGCGGGATTATCTCATTATTATTTTCTTTTTTTGCTTTGAACGGTTTCCTTCTGTGCTCTTTTGGATTTCTACTTTTGGCCATTTCATTCTTGGAACATATTTTTCTCTTTGGATCGTACAAAATTCAATATACCCAGCATATTCCCATATGTTTGCGGCCATCACATCACCGATACTGACAAAGCAACCTTGCAGAGAGCAGACGAGTTTCCTTGAAGGAAAGCCAACGCTGGTATATTACTAAACTGATAATTACCCAGGGAGACACCTGTGCAGCCGCACCGTGCTATTTATCCAGACCCAAAGTTTCTCGAAACGCCATGCAAATGCTGAAGCTATCTAAACAAAACCACTCTTTATGTGAGTTTTTCCTTCGTCCGCAACTACACCTCGACGTGACGCAGGCCCTTGTTGTACACAGACTCGATGGCTGCGCCGACGGCACGCACAAATGCGTCGCTGTCGATGGCAAAGTTTTCGCGGTGCCAGGACGCGCGGCGTTCCAAGCTGCGGGTCCCCTTGCCGCCCGCCGCGTCGCTCGTCTCGCCTGCCGACAACTCCTCTGGCTGAGCGGGCGCCTCCGGCGCGACGACGGGCGCCGCGGTCGTCCGAAAATAGGTCACGCCACGCATGTTCGCCAAGTTCCGAAACCCCATAAAGGTGGCATCCATGTCGGCCGGCTGGATCTCGACCACGGCCGTCACATGCTCCCGCAGGAACATGGTGTGCGTCAGCCCCGCGCCGTGCACGCCCACGAGCACGTCCGTTTCGCGAGCCAGCCGCACCTGCTCGGCAAAGGGCACGGCGGCGAAATCGACGGCCGCGACGACGGCCGTGCCGTTGTACTTGACGCGCAGCGCCTCGAGCAGCTGGTCCTGGTCGACGAGGCGGCGCGTGCCGGCGTCGTTGCGGTCGATGAAGGTGACGCGGACGGGGGCGGGCGCGTGCGGCGTTGGTGGATCCACCACCGCGGGACCGTCGTCCATGCCGTAGTGGCTGAGCACCCGCTGCACAAAGACGCGCAGCGTATCGGACCGCGTGCATTCGCGCGCCGCCCAGTCGTTTTGCCACAGCGGATTACTGCCGCCGGCGAGGGGCACGACCATGTGGTGCTGCGTCTCGACGACCGACGAGGTGTTGTAGAAGGCGAGGGCCTGTGGGTCGTTGGCAATCGCGTGGAGACGGACGGGCGGGCGGCCCGAGAACAGCTGCCAGAGGTCAAAGTAGGGCCCGTCCAGCCGGTCGTCCAGCAGCACGACCAGAACGTTGGGCTTGTCGTCGGGGAACACAACGTGCGGCCGGCGGCCCGCCGGGTCCGCCGCGTCGCGGGTGCTGCGCAGCACGTCCATGGTCATGGCCGCGGACCAGATCTCGAGCAGGCAGTGCCACGGGTTGATCTCGCCCTCGCGCTTGACCAGCAGTGTGTAGTGGTGGCGCTGGACGGGCGGCGGGGGCCCGTCCAGGGGCGCCACATCGCCGGCGCCGACGAAGCGGACGTGGTGGTCAAAAATGTACTTGGGGCCGGTGTCATACCAGTACTGGCGCACGCGGTGGAACGAGATGACACCGCGCTCGGTCGCATTGGCGTCGGGCTCGACGACGTCGCAGTGGAGGACAAACTTTTGCGTCTCCGCGTCAAACACGACACCCTGCGCGACACAGAGCGAGTCCCGCTCCTCGTCGCTCGACGTGTGGCTGTGGAAGCACGTCAGGCTCGAGCGCGAGCTGGCGTCGCAGTACTGGAAGGCGGTGGCGCGCAGGTCCGTCAGGTACTTGCGGTTGAAGCGGTCGTCGCAGAACGGCGAGGCGGGCGTGTCCACGAGGTACTCGCCGGGGAGCGGCAGGTCGGTGACGGGGTCGGACGCGGACGCCACACCCGGTGGCAGCTGGCTCGGTGGCCATGGGTGCAGGCCAGGGCCGGCCGAATGGCCCTGGATATCGTCGAGTACCGACGGGGAGAGGTAGAGGTAGCCCAGGCACAGGACCAGAGACGCCGCAAAAATGGCCACGAGGGCCGTGCCGCGCACCCTGAAGCCGGGTTGGAGCAGCATATCCGGCAGGTGTGTGAGGAGGAAAGCCGAGAGGGGAGAAAGTGCCGGGTGTCTATCGCCGGCATGCAGCGGTCAGCGCCGCGCCGGGGGCTGAGGCGGTCGTTACGTTGACGTTGAAGAATAGGGGTCTTTCGGACGTCAAAGTTTAGTGGCCGTTAGGGGCTAATTCGGTTGTGCGGGCGGGTCGGCTAGCCAGCGTTTTACCGTTTGGTGTTGATCGTTGAATCAAAGGTGTGAAAGGACACGATAAAAGGAACACAACACACGAGACATGAGTCGAAGCAATAAGGAAATAAACTAGAAACGCGTAACAAATCAAACGGTAGGTGAAGAAATAACGAATGATGAAGGCGGCGAGGACGAAATGCACTCAGAAAAGAGCAATACGACGCAAGAGAAATACAGGGCGCCAGACGGACCAACCAGATCTCTGAAGGAAAGAGTACGGCAAGCCGCTTCTGGTTTGGCTTTCTGTGCATTTTGTTTGTCTATTTTCATCTCCCTTTTCCATCTTCCTTCTCTTGCGTCTACATCACTTAGTCCCCGTCTTCGTCAGCCACTTGTCACGGCCGTCTGTTTTGTCTCTTTGATTTTGCATTTCGCTTCGTCCAGCGCCTTCTTCATCTCCTCACGTCTCCTCCCACCCCAAACCCCTGCCAATCAATGCGGTCTTGGAGGCGCCCAACCATGTCCCGCGACCCCGGCAACCCTCCCACGGCTCAGGGGCCCATTTTTACAAGCGACGAGCTTAAAGTTGCCTAGGGCCCCCTACGTCGTACCAATTCCGGCGCTTAACTTTGAGAGCGAGAGCAGCCGCATCGTGATGATTCCCAATTTCTGCTGTGAGCTACAAAAAGACAGGCCAGATTCATAGAGGGCATTATCTGAGAAGAAAATCAAAAATCCTATAAAAAGACAAACACTGTCTGCTGTCCACTGTAATCCTGGGCGAATCTGCTGCTGTCACTCACGCGAGTTCTGATCTTACGAAAAGGGCATCTTGGCAAGCGACGCATTGTATTTTACGACAAACCCCTTTTCCATCGTGACACAAACAAAACTTGGCGACCTCCATTCGCCACGATTCAGCTCATGCACGGATCCGAACAGTTACTCCTGCATTGTACTTGACGGTTCTCCGGATGCCCATGGCCGGCCAATAAGTGCCACCGTCGAGACGCCCACAGCTGCATATGCTCAAAACACATCCACTTCCCATCCTTGTCGATGCCAGCACATACGGGAGCAATAACGTTTTCTGGAAAAGAGAGACAGGATGCCTTGCCCGGTAACTACGGAGAACAAACGCCTTTCGTGGCCAAGCATCTGCCAACATGCAATATCGACCTGCAGACGGCCAGTTTCACCACTGCATTGCCTGTCCGGAGAGGCAGACTGGACGATGACAGCGATGTAAACAAACAGAGCTGACGATGGGATAGGAGACAAGTGCGAAAAGCTGGGGGGACTGTGGTAATACTTCTAATGGTGAGCAGATTGCTTCCTCGCCCACCTGGATGTTCTGCAGACGAGGGACACTTCTCTTCTTGTTTTTACTTTCTGTTGTCTGATAATTTTACTTTGTATTTGTTTCGTGCTTTTTCTTAATATATTTTTCTTTCTTTTCTCGTCTAGTTCTTCTCTGACCATCTCTACTTTCTCTTCTCTGACAATTTTATATTGACTTTTGTTTCGAATTTTTTGTTTTCGTTTTCCTTCTTTCTTTTGTTTTTCTTTACTTTTTATACATTCTCTTAATTTTGTGCTACGACTACGGCAGTTCACGATCCCTACCTCCTGCCTCCATTGTACTGCATCGAACCTCAAGAAGAGGTAGCCGTCGAGGCACCAGTTGTGTCACGGCGTCTTGTGTCCCCATTCTTGTCTGTCGACACGCTCGTGGCCATGGTCGTGCAAGGCACTGCGGCCCTGCTTGCCGGATGTGCTCTCGCTCTTATCCACTTCGACACTGTTCTCGCCACCAACTCGTCAACAGACTGCGCTCCAGAGCCGCTGGCCATCACGATCGGCAATGTCACGCTCTCCAACAACCAGGTCGCCCGCGGCCTCAGGCTCAGCATCGGCAGCCCGCCGCAGTCGTTTGCGTTTTTGCCGCAGTGGCCCATGAACAACAGCTTTGTCTACGGCACCGACGGCCACTGCACGCCCGACCTGTCCAGTGCGGCCTGTACGACGTTCCGCGGCGGCGCCTACGACGCGTTCTCGTCGAGCTCACGCACTGTGCCGGCCGCCGCGGCCCATCCCGTGGACGCCGCGCCGTATTCGTCGGTATCGTATGCCGCGGACACGGTTGTGCTGAATGCGTCGTCGAGTCGAGCAGCGTCCAAAACGCCACGGCGTCGACGAGCCTCACCCTCACCGGCTTCCCCATGGGCGTGCCGCTCAACGACCTGGGCCAGCAGGGCTACCACCCGATGAACGCCGTCGGCCTGGGCTTCAACTCGACGCTGCTCAGCGCCCTCAAGGCCTCGGGCCGCATTGCCAGCCGCACGTGGAGCATGTTCTGGGGCCGCGACGGCGCGGACCAGACGGGGCAGATGGACGGCGTGTTTGTGCTGGGCGGCTACGACAGCGCCAAGGTGGTGGCGGCGCAAAAGTACACGCTGCCGCTGGCGGGCGCGGCGTCCGTCTGCCCGTCGCGCATGGTGCTGTCCATTACGGACCTGGTGCTCAACTTTGCCAACGGCACCAACGCCAGCCTGTTTCCGCGCGCGGCGTCCACGGCGCTGCAGACCTGCATCACGCCCGACTACCCCGTGCTCATGACGCTGCCCGCCGACCCCTACTTCCAGGCCCTCGAGACGCTGACCAACACGTCCATCCCCGCGCGGTCGCAGGGCCTCGCCTTTTTCGCCAACCGCTACCTGCCCGGGGCGGCGCCGTACACGGGCGACCTGACCCTCACCTTCCAGTCGGGGCTCGCGGTGCGCATCCCCAACGACCAGCTCATCGTGCCCGACCGCACCATCGACGCGAAGACGGGCCAGATCCAGGCCAACAGCAGTGGCATGGACACGACGATCCTGGCCATCCAAGACGTCAACGCCGACGACATGACGCAGCTGGGCCGCCCGTTCCTGTCGGCCGCCTACGTCATGCTCAACCAGGACGCCGGCACGTTTACGCTGTGGCAGGCGAACCCCACGACGCAGCGCCGGCTCGTGGCCGTCGACGAGACCAATGCGGACGTGGCGGCCGTGTGCGCGACGACGAGCAGCGGCGGGAACAATGACAGCGTCAACGCCACCGCACCCGCCAACGGGACGTCGTCTACAGGTGAGACGACGCCGGGGAGCAGCAGCAGCGGCAGTAATGCACGCAAGCCGTCGACGGGTGCCATTGTGGGCGCCGTGGCCGGGGGCGCCGTCGTCGTTGCCGCACTCATCGGCGTGTCCGTCTTTTACTGCCTGCGCCGTCGGCAGCGGAGACGAACCATGGCGACTACCTCCGCCGTCGCCGCAGCCGCCGAGGCAGCACGCAGAAAATTCGACCCGGGACGGCCCGTGACCGAATCCACAACCGAGCTGACGGGCGAGGCCATTGCCACGTCGCAGCCACAGCTGTTCCACCAGCTGGACGCCCAGGACGTCCGCGACCTGAAGGATGCCAAGGCGGGCTACCACTACTACCAGCAGAATCAGCAGCATCAACAACATCCGCCGATGGAGATGGAGGACTCGTCGTGTTTCGAGCTGCGGGATCTGCAGAACATGGCACCAAGGTACGAGCAGCGACGACAAACGCCGCAGTATGAGCTGCAGGGGTAGGAGATCCAACGAGTTGTTGGAGGGGTAATAAAGAAAAGTGTATACGGCGTGATTACGTGTTAAGTGGGTTTGGAGAAGTAAATTGAATTATGACACAACATGGCGCGGAGCGTTAGTTTTTGTTTTTTTGTTTTTATTTATTTATATTTTTGGCTCGATTCATCCGCCTTTTGTATTTAAGTATGTTGTTAAAATGAATGAAACATGTCAATTCTCGTTTTGTATTTTCACGACACTTTGTTCTACCATTCATCGCATCAATATTAGCAATGGTTACTATCAAACCATACCCATTGTTGCATTCTCGTCATCCGTTATTTCGTACTCCGTAATTACACTTCCAGTTAAGCTCATGGCGCCCTACGGAAGCAGCCGCTAGCTTAGGGGGTTGGGTCAGCGCCCGCTGCAACGTATGACAGGGCCTTGGCCAGACCCAATCGGGAAGGATCACGACTTACACCAGCCACGTAATGTCGACGTAGAATACCAGACAAGTTATTGTTCAAAAACGAGAATTGTGAATGGCTTACGACGTATGACATACAGGTCTCGGTGAGCGGCCTCGTAGACGGTCGCGCACGTGCTGGCTCCAGATTCAAGTTCGTAAACATTGGCTCTCATCTCATTGCCCTCGTCTCATCTATCCCCGTCGGTCAGTCAAAAGGCGTCCCATTGTCGACCAGTCTACGATGTAAGGCGGCCTTCCATTTTCCTTTTTTCTCTCTTCTTGGTATAGGATCTTCGTCCACGGCAACGCCGATGCTGGTGCGATTGTGCCATCGACGCGACGCCCAGGAGGATGCGTGTTCTCCACGGGTCCTGGGAATACGGCAGTAGCTTCCTCATCAGGGACAAAACGACGGAAAAAAGACGTCCCCAGCCGATGGCGTCTTTCAGGATATTTGTTTTGCGTGTTGTGGGAGCGAGCTTCTCTGGTCGAGCGATGGCGTGTGTTCGATCGACCGTTGCAGCGGAGTCGGCGGTGGCCAATGGGCGAGCGAGCGACTGACGCCATTGGGCACGGACGACCGCAGAGTCTTCTGTACTCTGGAGGAGGAGTAAGCGGGACGGAAGTACCGCCTGCAGCTAGCAAGCCACCAAAGCTTATCTTTCTTGTCGTTTCTTGGCTGAGGGCGGGTGGGTGTGTGGTTGTATTGACTCGCCCATCGAAGTACTCCATCTATTTCCGAGGGAGGTACAACAGACTCCATATGAAGTAGATCCTTTCTGACGGCCATTGTAGATCATGTCGAGTCGTGGATGTCATGGACGAAGACGTGTCGTGGTCCGTCGCCCACAATGAGGCCAAAGACCGACACTGGAGCATCCTTGGTATTGCACGTTTGTAGGAACAATGTCGTTATTGACAAGGCGTTTTCGACGCTTTTATTGTCGCTGTTCACAATGCGTCGACCGGCTCCTTCAGATCTTGCCGCCTCCTTGCGAGTAACCTTTCTGTACCTTAGCCCTCCTTCGAAATGCATCTTCAGCTGACTTCCTGCTAACCGCCTTTATCCATGATCGCCGCCCTGCCCATCCCCCTACTTGCATCCTTGAAACAGACCACAGACCACGGGCCACACATCAAGACCCAGACCACAGCATTTAGGGCTTGCTCGCTCGTCGTCGTACGCAGGTCGAGTCACACGAGATCGTCGTCCCCGTCTGCCTGTCGTGTGCCGTGTCACGTTCCCCCATTCTTTTTGTCGCATGTGTGCCTACACAGTGCGTTTGCATTAATATAGACCGTCCCCGTCGCCCACCGCTGTCGTTTATCTGAGGCTGTTTCTCTCTCTTAGCTTTGTTTATTTTGCTTTGCCGTCAACCTTGGTCCATCTCCCGCCTCGACATTTGCTTGGCGTTTCGTCCTCTTTCCCGACACCCGCAGCATCGCAACATCATCGTCACCCATGCCCTGGTCTAGATTTACAGGCCGCTTTCTGCCCAGCGAGCCACCGACGTCGTCGCTGCCCGTCGGTCCCGATGGCGTAATCAGCAACGACGGGGGCCCTGACAGCCCGCAATATGCCAAAGACGGCACAGTGCTGGCGACGGCCAGCCGCGGCCTGGACTCGGGAGACGGCAACGTCGATCGCCAGCCCATCCTCGAGTCGGTCGATGCAGGCGAGCTGACGCTCGACGAGTCCGCACTCGGCGGCATGGGCCGGCACCTGGGCCTGGTGTCGACGACGTTCCTGATTATTGGCAGAATTTTGGGCACCGGAATTTACTCGGCACCGTCGTCCATCACGGCCGGCGTCGGCAGCGTGGGCGCGGCGCTGCTGCTGTGGGTTCTGGGGCTGGCGCTGTCGTTCTGCGGCCTTTTTGTATGGCTCGAGTTTGGCTGCATGTTCCCGCGCAGCGGCGGCGAGAAGGTGTACCTCGAGGCCGTGTACCGCCGGCCGCGCTTCCTGGCCACCATTGTGTTTGCCGTGCAGGCCATTGCGCTGGGCTTCACGGCGTCTGGCTGCATCGTCTTCGCTACCAACATCGTCGCGGCCGCCGACCGCAACCCGAGCGAATGGGAGAAGCGCGCCATCGCCATCGGCGTCATTGTCTTTGTGACGCTGGTCCACACGTTTGTGCCGCGCGCCGGCGTGCTGCTGATGAACGTCGTCGGCTCCATCAAGGTCGTGATCCTGCTCTTCATCATCGTCACGGGCTGGGCCGTGCTGGGCGGCGCGGTCCGCCACGCTATCCCCGACCCGCACGCTAGCTTCCGCGACGCCTTTGCGCACTCGGCCACGTCGAGCAACCTGTACGCCACCGCCCTCTTCAAGGTGCTCAACTCGTACGCCGGCTGGTCCAACGCCGCGTACGTGCTCAACGAGGTCAAGCGGCCCGTGCGCACGCTCAAGATCGCCGGCCCCCTGGGCCTCGGCATCTGCGGCGTGCTGTACCTGCTGGCCAACGTGGCCTACTTTGCCGCCGCCACGCCGCAGGAGATTGCCGCCAGCGGCGTCACCGTGGCGTCGTACTTTATGCTCAAGGTCTTTGGCGCGACGGCCAGCCGCGTGCTCAGCGTCTTCGTGGCCCTCTCGGCGCTCGGCAACGTGCTGAGCATCACCTTTGCCCAGGCCCGCGTCAACCAGGAGCTCGCCAAGGAGGGCGTCGTGCCCTTCCAGCGCTTCTGGGCCGGCACCTGGCCCGCCGGCGCGCCCTCGGCCGGCCTGCTGCTGCACTTCATCCCCAGCTTCGTCGTCATTGTCGCCATCCCCTTTGGCGACGCCTTCAACTTTATCGTCGACGTCGAGGGCTACCCCAGCAGCGTCATCAACGCCTTTGTCGTCGTCGGCCTCTTCATCCTGCGCTGGCGCGCCCCGCAGGCCCCGCGGCCCTTCCGCGTCTTTTTGCCCATTGCCTTTTTGTTCCTCGTCGGCCAGTGCTTCCTGCTCGTCGCCCCCTTTTTGCGCCCGCCCGGCGGCAAGGGCGACACCAGCCTTCCCTACTGGCTCTACCCCATCATCGGCATCGTCGTGCTGCTCGCCGGCGTCGTCTACTGGGCCGTCTGGCGCCAGCTGTGGCCGCGGCTGGGCAGCTTTTCCTGGGCGCAGCGGAAGGAGACGCTGGCCGACGGCACCGTCGTCACGACCTTTTACAAGGAGAAGCGGGCCTAGTGGGAGGCGGGAGAGAGAACTTCGATGCTGGTAGTATGTCGTGCAGTTCGCCGTATGTCGGACATTAAGTTAGGAATAAATAGAGTAAAGGGTCACCACACCAAACGCCCTAGAATAGCCATAGCGGCTGACGTTTCTGTGATACCCCTCTGTACTTCACTTTGTTTTTACGCTGCTGTACCAACGCCCGCAACGACAATGGCAAAAGCGTACAGTCGCTCATTATCTACTCTCCCCTATCCGGGTGCATACAAGTGTACTCTTTGGCCTGTTTCTTTTTTCTCCCGCCTCCCCTCTCTTTCTGGTCATTGAGCACACTGTTGCAGCACGCAATCAGCCCCTTAGCAATGTAGGCGTTGTACTGTGGCGCAATGGCCTCTGGGTCGATGACCGGATAAGCATGGAATCTGAACCGATCGCGTTTGCCCGCTCGGGGCAACCCATGAGCACTCGAGGCTGTCGCCGTCTTGTGGAACGAATTTACGCACCCAAAGTTCCGCCCGTGTATCCTTCCGAGATGCAGACAATCTCCGGTCTTCGGAGGAAGCCCAGTGGCGGATGTTAACAGAATGTCTCTCTCTGCGAATAAGGGGCAAAATGGCGATACCAGTGTATATATATCTAGTTGTTGTCTTTGAGAATACAATGCTTAATACGAAGTTCTTCAGAGACTCCGCGACACAAGTTGTCGCGGCTCCTGCTCCCTTGACACAGAAACACATAAGCAAGCTTGCGCGGGCCATGTCACGCGTATATCGTTTGTTAGCCCAGCCTCCTGGCACGTTGCTTCGCACCACAGATTGTCACCATGGTAACAAACTCCAACATAACCATTGCCAGAGTCCTTACCGACTTACAACCTTTGACCGGAGCAATTGCACTTCGACCACTGGCAACCTCCTCCTTACGACATACGTGCGTGACTTTTTTCGTTCGATCGTCATTTCGAGACTCTCTAAAATGAATGACTAAGCAACCGCAACCAAAAGGCCCCGCTCTTCCCGGTGTACACGATTCCACGTCCATTATCATCCCAAACAACAACCAGCCGGCTGCACGGTACGCTGACCACCCAAGATGCCACCAAAACAATACAACATATTGTGGAGTGCATTTGGCGGCAAGCTCGTGAGCGCCGGCCGCGATGGCGTCGTCCGTCACGGGCCGACTGGCATGGTGGTTAAAGCGCCGCACCGGTTGGAAGACGACACCACGGCGACCGGTTACCGGGACACGGACACCGTGCCCTATTTCGAGCACGAGCGGGCCATGCTTGCGCTGATGCAAGAGAGACTGCCACACCCCAACATTATCCAAAGCGTACTGTCGACCAGCGACGGCGTCTTTCTTCCTCTTATGAAGGAGAGTCTCCAGAACGTGCTGGACCGCGACGGACGCGCCAGCGACGACGATGCAGCCCGTTGGCTGGTACAGATTGCATCGGCCGCCGCGTGGCTCGAGTCAATCGACTACTTCCACGGCGACCTTCGCCCACCAAACATCCTGTTGGACGCCGAGGGCCATGTTAAGATCTGCGATTTCGGTAACATGGCGCGGCGCGGCGAAACGAACGACGGGGCAACCATCCCCTATTATAAAGACCAGGAAGCGGGCCCGGTGAGCGAGCAGTACGCCATTGGATCGTTGATGTACGCCGTTTTCACCGGGCACGAATTACTTCACGACGTGGACGACTACCGGACTAAGGATAAGATGCTTCGCGACGGACAACTGCCGTTGGTCGAGGTCGAGAACCTCCGAGCCGGGCACGTGATTGAGAACTGTTGGGTTGGCCGTTACGACACGTTGGAGCAATTGCACGGCGTTCTTCTCGTAGAAATGGGCTTGGGGTTGGAGTATAAAAACCCAGCCATTTGTCTTACGCCGGAAGAGTGCACTATGAAGGCGGCCGAGTGTGAGGTATGGGGGAAGATGAGACGTGCATTGCTCGAGGAGTGGAAATCACAATGGAACAGGAATAAGGATATATAGGTTATTAAGGGGCATTGTTTAACTAGGCTAGTTTTTCTACGGGATATTAAAAGCTCGTTCCTCATTCTTCTTCTCCCTTAGTAGCGGCACAGTCAGGACAAGGCTTCTTTGTCGTAGTCCGACCGAGGTACACATCCTTAATATTATCGCAGACTTCCCCGGTCTGTTTGGCTTTCTCACACCGTTCCAAATGAGGGGTCTCTTCGATCGTGTGCTGGCATATTCCAGATACTACGGTGCTGATAAAATTCTCGCACATATTTGGTTATCGTGTATGGTTTGGTTCGGTCCGCACTCGACTGGATTCTGTTGTAGCTTAAACGTTAACTACTGGAAGACCTCGACTCAAACAAGTAATTTTACCTTACTAGATTGTATTGGCCGATGCTGTTTGTGGCGAATGTGTTGTTTTTTGGAGCGTAGAAGACAGATCGTGATGTGTACGGTGTATTTTGAAAGTTGTGAACATCATCGCAACTTCGTGGAGATCATGAGGGGTAAACGGTCGGCAGGAGGAGGGGCATTGCGCCGCAAATCACCCTCGTTTGGGAGGGGCAGCCGTACACAGATTGAGTCGCCTAATTGGGCCAACACCTGTTTCCTCCTTCCCCTCCTCGGCATCCTCTATTTTATTTCCTATCCTTTTGCGTCGTCCGTCTCAAGCAGTCGAGGATATGGCCCGACGGAACAACTTACGAAAGAGCCCCCATCGTGATGTCAACCCCTAGGCCCAACACGTGACATGTTGGTCGATGACATCCCTCTCCTAACTGCCTATTTGTTTACTGTTCCATTTACTCTCTCATCCACAAAGTGTTGAAGTTTGATTAGGACTAGGTCCCACAACAGATCTCCCACCTGGTAATCCGGCAACGAATCGTCGTCTTGCTTGACCAAGGCTGTCTCCCTCTTCCGGATTCGTGCAAGTCCCACCTCTCTCCATACCCCCCCTGGATCACCGCGATGCAGGGAAACAAGGCAGTATAGGGCAAAGGAAAGTTGGATGGAAAAGATATACACGGAACAGAGATACGAGAGTAGCTCACAGTATTGGAATGATTAGTATTAGATATGTGTTAAGCCCACGTCGAAAGCATTCTGCTTTCGGCCATACAACCTTGGCATTTCCCGGCGTACCCTTGTATCATCCTCACCAGAGTGCCTGTGCAGCGCTTTCCAGTTCTTGGGATGATATCGTTGCATCCCCCCCGCCCGCGTCCGCATCTGGCTCCCTAAGAAACAAAAGACGAAAGTCCAGGACCAGAGGTCCCCCCATGCATTCGTAGCGAGGTCTTTCGCCATCCATTTGTGCCATTGTACCAGTCGTGGCTACACCTGGGCTGTACCTCTCGTCTGTGTCGCGCCAGGCCTCGTCGATGAGGCATCCTTATTATACTTCTCGAGGGTAGACCTGGCGTGTGTCTCTGTACAGCTTGATAAGAAGAACGATCTTCACCGTCATGTTGCGACGCACGAAACTATCATCGCATGGTGTTCTTCAGGCTGTGCAGGGACTTTGAAAGACCGCATTCAACAACAAACGTTGGCCATGTGTCCTCGGCCAAAACACAATCAATTGGCACCAACGTCGTGTCGCCCTCGCCGCTCCCGCCGCCTCCACTACCACCCTGGCCCTGGTAATACTTGGTGGCGCCTGACAATACGTAGTCGGTAGTTTGCGTTCCCATTTTGGCAATGTCCAGGATCGCCGCCCGCTCAAGTGCGTGACAGATCGTCTCGTGGGGGAAAGACGGAATGGTGAACTTCCAGGCGGCAGTCGTCGGGCCTTTAATGGACGCGAAACTTGTGCCGACGCTTCTCCTGCCCAGCCTCGACACGCAGCAGGTCGTCTTTGGTTACGTCTATCGACAGTCAATGTCAGTATATTCATTTGGCCAACTTTTGAGTGTTGCAACTGACTTGAGACGACAAGGAAGACTCCGTACTTATTAACGACGCGGAAAAACGACGTGACTGAACTGGAACGTGCCGGTCCTAAAGGGGGCCTTGGGCCTCAAAGTCGCCAGTCGCGACACGCTGGTCGGCGGTGCAGATGCGAATGCTGGTGATGTTTCAGCCGACATTGTGAAAGTTTGGGGACGCGAGAAAAGAAGTTGCAACTTTGGACGCGTGGAGTCTAGGAAAGTTTGTTTATTTCCTATTAGGGTGTAGGCAGTACATCACGTGGACCCTCAGTAATCTGTAGGAACTAGACCGCTAGGCCCACTGGCACAATAGAGAGCCCTCTAACCCCAAGGCTAGATAGCAGGTCTTACATACCGTAGCCTAAGAAGAGATACCAGCGTTGCACCAGGATGTGAAAGTACTCCGTACGAACCGCCGAGTGTGATCGACTCTCAAAGATAAGGATTACAACTGCAGGCCACTTGAGGATCGACATCATCTTATCTCAGAGTGCGCGACGGGCAAACGACGGCTATGTGGCCTAAGGTGGCGAAGGCGCTGAACTGCGGCAAAGAGGATATGTGGTGTAAACAATTCGACGAGAAGGAAGGGGACTACGGCGGAGGAGTAGGACAAGCGTCGTCTCCGATAAACAGTCTGTTAATGAACAGATAAGCCGAGACAGTCGACGTTCTGCACGGGGTATTGCTTGCAAGGTTAACATATCAGGTTTGAGATAGATAAACAGCTGCACTATCTACACAGCGAATTACACGCTATGCTTGAGTCGACTTGGATATGGCCGTTGGTCATCCTTGACCACATCCCATTCTCTCTCAATCTCAAAACTTGCCGTATCGCGTGTGCCGTTTCTTGTTGGACTCCATATATTCTCTAAAAGTATTCCGCGATACCTCCGTCTGCGGACCGGAGTACTCCGTATGTCGTAGATTGAGACCAGATGCTGCCAGCGTGTCAGACTTGATCATAGTGTCGGTGGCCGTCATTGATGCTCTTATGGATGCTCCTATTGATGCTCTCTACATAGTTTGTGTCCATCGTATGCCGGCCAGCATCCTCTCAGTCTCCTTCCAGTCTCGTCTCACCTCCGACTCACCTTACAGTGTTCGCCGACTCTGATCAGACTGCGGTTTCCGCCACTGTGTAACAATTGGCTGCACAAAACGTGGCCGACGACTCATCCACGTCGACGTCTTTATATCTTTGCACCTGTCGACATTTCATCACATTATCTACTGTACACATTGTTCTCCTACAACTCACCTCCTACAGCCCACCACAGACCCTCACCACAATGGACAAAACAACGCTCCCCGAGGACCCAGACGGGATCCTCAGCCACGACAAGATGGCCGCCGTCGAGAGTCTGCCCAGCAGTGCCCTCGCCGTCGATGCCGACAGCACGCCTGCCGTCCTCGACCACAAGGCGGAGCGCGCCCTCGTCTGGCAGTTCGACTTGCGCCTGCTGCCCGTCATGGCCATCATGTACCTCTTCAACTCGCTCGACAAGGCCAACCTCGGCAACGCCAAGACCGCCGGCCTCGAGACGTCGCTCGGCCTCGCCAGCAACCAGTACAACATCCTCCTCAGCGTCTTCTTCGTTCCCTACGTCCTGACCGCCCCCGTCCTGGGCGTCCTGGGCAAGAAGCTGGGCCCCAATCGCGTGCTGCCCCTCATGATGTTCTCGTTTGGCAGCTTCACCCTCTTGACCGCCTGCGTCCACAACTTTGGCGGCCTCTTGGCCCTGCGCTGGTTCCTCGGCATGAGCGAGTCGGCCTTCTTCCCGCTCGTCATCTACTACCAGACCATGTTCTACCGCCGCGGCGAGCTGGCCCGCCGCCTCGCCGTCTTCTACGCCGCCTCCAACATCGCCTATGCCTTTGGCGGCCTGCTGGCCTTTGGCGTCTTCCACATCCGCAGCGGCGTCTTCGGCGCCGCCGTCGACAACTGGCGGTACCTGTTTCTGGTCGAGGGCGCCTGCTCTGTGCTGTTCTCCGTCTTTGCCTTTTGGTACCTGCCGCGCTCCGCCGCCGACGCCCGCTACCTGACGCCCGCGCAAAAGGCGCTCGCCCACCACCGCATTGCCGTCGACAGCTCTGGCGTCGTCGACGAGCCTTTTGTGCTGCGCGATGCCCTGCGCATCTTCCGCGCGCCCACCACCTGGGTGATTCTCGCCATTGAGGTCTGCCTCGGCGTCCCGCTGCAGAGCGTCACGCTCTTCCTGCCGCAGATCATTGCGCGCCTGGGCTTTGGTGCTGTCAAGACCAACCTGTACACCGTCGCGCCCAACGTCGCCGGCGCCGCCGTGCTGCTCGTGCTGGCCTTTGCCAGCGACTACACCCGCCTGCGCTTTCCCTTTGTGGCCGCCGGTTTCCTGTTTACCTTTGCCGGCTTTGTCCTGTACGCCGCCATCGACGTCGCGGCCGACCTGCACGTGGCCTACTTTGCCTGCTTTTTAATGACCTGGGGCACCAGCGCGCCCTCGGTGCTGCTCGACGTGCTCTACAACAACAACGTGGCCAACGAAAACAAGCGCGTCCTGCTGACCAGCGTCGCCGTCCCCGCCGCCAACGTCATGGGCCTCGTCAGCAGCAACGTCTTCCGCAGCCAGGACGCCCCGCGCTACGTCCCCGCGCTGGCCACGACCGCGGCCTTTGGCGCCACCGGCCTGCTGCTGACGCTGGCGCTCGGCGCGTACATGGTGTGGGACAACCGCCGCCGGGACCGGGCGCAGGGCGTCGTGGTGCGGGCCAAGGACATTCCGACGGAGAGGCTTTACGAGGGACCCGCGTCGCCGGACTTCCGGTGGTTCCTGTAGGGTCGGGTGCGTTGGCAAAAAAAGGATGGAAAGGCAAACCACCAGTCAGGACGTCGACAGCAGAGGATGAATAAAAAGTACAAGAAAACGCAGGCATAGCAATCACGATTACATGTCCGACCCGTATCTGTACCATGGCCCAAGTCCTGTTGACAAGACCACGGCTTTTTCAAGGCCAGAGGCACCAAGCCTCCTGAAAAGGAAGTGCTATCAATCTGCGGCAACCGGAGACGATAGGTTGTAGGTTGTCGTCTCAAAAGTCCGAGGATATCAAGCGTGTGAGCGCTTCTTTTCCCGGGGAGGAGAGAAGACACACTATCCAACGACTCTGTTCCGGCCGGGGGTTGACGAGGACATCATGTCCAAGAAAGCAGAAGAAGAAGAGAAATAAGAACAAAAACATAATCACGACAAGACGAAAGGTAACGCAGCGTCAAAAGATTGAGAAATTTTGTTCTTTTTTTAGCATTTTTTGTTTGTACCAAACAAAAACCTGAACCCCTTCTCCCTCCCTTCCGTTTTTGATCTTTTCTCGAGTAAGCCGTGCCGCCTTTTGTCGTCCCAGTGACGCTCGTCGTACGTCGTGATTGTCGTCGTAATGATCGTCGAGCCAAAGAGAGACCGCGCTCGGTTGTCGCCGAGGGAAAACGAGAGGAGAGGGAAGAGTTGTTTTCCCGTCCCGGCGCCGCGGGATAAAAATCGGTCAATAAAATAAAGAAGAGACAATCGCAAGCTCGTCCGAGTGCATCGATCGGTCCGGCGATTTGCCTTTGGTCATGTAGGTCGGTTTTTATATGTTGCTTTTTGTCCTCCGCCGTCCCTTTTCCTTGGAGCCGTCCATCACGTCCTCCCAACCGGTAAACCGAGCTTTACCGGACGGGGTTCCAGACGTTCTTCAGGAAGCCGTCGCGCTGGGCAAGGCGGTTGAAGGAGTCGTCGGCCTCGCCCTGGGCGCGGATGAAGCCGCACAGAGCGTAGACCTGGTTCTCGCCGGCAATGGCGCGGCCGTTCTCGTCAACCTGTGGAAAAGAAACAGGGTCAGCAATTTGGTCTAGAGGCAGCATTTGCCCATCCTCGTGGAAAGAAAGCCCGTTCCCGTTCTCCATCCTGTCTCGTCCCCGTCCTCGCCTCCTGTCCCGCCATTCCTTCTCTTGCCCAACTGCCGTGTCAAACGGCCGTCCGTTTCTTTCCAGCACCGCTTCTTCTTCCACCCATCCCGTCTCTTGCCGTCAGGACCTCCCAACCTCGCCGTATCGAATGTGTCGTACCTTGGCAATCGAAATCTGCACCGAGCTGTGGTCCTTGGCCTTGATGATGCGGCCCGTCGCAGAGCACTTGCGCGGGACGTACAGGTCGACGATCTCACCCTTGTCGTTCTCCATGGCTGCTGATTTGTGAGGAGGTGGTGGTGGTGGAATTCGTGGGTTGAAGCGTTGGTGATAGTGACAGAAACAAAATCGTGTGGAAGCGGGCGCAAAATGTGGTAGACGCTGCAAAAGAGGGTGCAATTTTCGCTAGGCCACTTTTTTTGCACCCACTGCCCCGAACCACCACTGCAAGCATTGTTTGCCCACACAACAAAGCCCAGTGGGGTAGGATAATTTTTGGTCCGAGCTACGAGTAGTGTGGAACCGAGAAACGCACAAAATTCTTTTCCCAAAATTTATCGATTACGTAATATTGGACCCATATTTACGGGCTAAGGATGTCACCTGACGTTTCATGTGACTACGCGACGCCAACGCGTGGCAAACGTAAATGGGACCCACTATTTTACCAAGAGGGGCAGCGCCTGGACGAAACCACCGTGCCTGTCGACGGCAATCGCTTCACGTTTTGGCGTGCCAACCAAATCTTCACGCGCCGCCCCCTGACCCATTTACTTTTGGGCCTAACATCGTCGCCCACGATCGCGTCTTCTATACCATAACGTGCCCACATTGTCGCTTGCAGCGCCCTCCCTGCAACACTGTCTCGTCTACGGCAACTAGGATGCGCGCTGCGCATGTCCTCACGAGCGACAATGGCTCGTACCGAAACTCGCGTCCAGACCGGCTCCGGACCGCCCGACCTTCGTGATGTCATTCTGCTGTCCTCGTCGCCCGCCCTGCCGCCCGCGCGGCCCATGTCGTCTCTCCAAAGTGCCGATACGTCCAGGCCAGCATGGCATGACCGGAGATTTGATCTGCCGCTGCTGAGCAGCGACCCTCCAGAAGCCGCGGCACGCAGCGGGCCTCCTCCGACTGGCGCCGCACAGTCGAAATACTTTGCCGACCACCAAGACGTTCTGTCGTCTCTGCCTGCTTCTCAGCCGGCGGCTGTCGACCTGCTGCCAATTCTCCGGGAAGAGCCAGCAAAGTACGTCAGCGGCGACCTGGAGTCCGCCCTACAACGCCGCCGTGATTGGACACCGCCGCCCGCCGACACTGTGGCTGCCGCCGGCGAGATCTCCCGGTCACAACACCATGCAGACGACTGGTCGTCGTCGCCAGGCGAACTGGTGAACCGGCCAAACAGCGTCTTCAAGAGTCTTCAGACGAGCTTCGGCTGCAAGGAAGACGAGAGCCAACGGAGCAACCATGTGGCCACAGTCACAAAAGAAGGCTCGTTTACGAAACGGAAAGCCATTGAGGCGATCTCCATGGGCGATGCCGGGCGGGCGGCAAGCAGGGAGACCTCGCCGACAAAGTCCAAGGCTCCTAAGAAGAAGGTGCGGACCCTGACAGAGCTGGCCGTTGCCGCCTACGCCGACTCGACGGTAACAAGTGGTGACGCCCTGGCAGCCACATTGACGAAAACGACGACAAAGCAGACGACAAAACCACAGGTCGAGGGCGTCGACGAGAATGTGCCAGAGGCCCGGCCCGAGGTTCGCCCCGGACTTCCCATGTCCAAGCTGCGCAAACTCAAGACGGCGCGCGCAGCCGCTGCGGCCAAGAAGCCGAGAGGAAAAAAGGCACCAGCGCCACGCAAACCCGTGCTGTTGTCGCCCGCGTCCGCGCGCGCTGCAGCCACTCGACAGGACTTTCTGTTCGGCACATCGAGCCAGCTGGCGACGGAGGCGTCGCCCACATTTCTGCGGCACCTGCACATGGCCATGCATGCGTCCAACCAGGACTCGGACGACGGTGACGACAACAGCCGCCGGGAGCGGAACCGCATACTCGACATCATTGACGAATTTGACTCGGACACCAGCCCCGACGTGAGCACGGTCGACCTGACCGGGCAGCGGACGCCCGGTCGTCTCGAAGTGGCCAAGAAGACGAAGACGTTGTGGGGTGCGGCTGCCCGGGGCGAGGACGGTTTCCTGATTGACAATGTGATTGACCTGGAGGACGCCATGGAGTTCCCCGAGGACCCCCACCAAGTCATTGCCATGGCGCAGCGCGCCGCCGAAGAGGCCATCCAGAAGGAGGCTCAAGAGGAAGAGCCTCCTGCGCCTGCACTTGCGTCGACCGCAGCAGAATCGACTCAAGCGACCCAGTCCTCCCGTGGAAACGGCAGACCGCCAGCCAATGCAAAGGCCGCAGAGGCGGCAAGCACAGCTCAGACGGTGGTGTCTCCTGCTCAGAAAGGAACGAAGGCGACATCAACAAAATCAACAGCAGCGTCGAAGTCCAAAGCGAAAAAGGCGACGAATGCGACAAAGGCAACAAAGGCGGCACAGGCGGTAAAAGCACACGACGCTGTCCGCCCCAACTTTGCTGTGCTCACGACCGCTCAGCTGACCAAGAAGGTGTCCGACTATGGCTACAAGGCCATCAAAGCACGGTCGGCCATGATCACCTTGTTGAACGCGTGCTGGGATGCCCAGCACCCAACCACGGCGGCGGATGGGCAACCGGCGCCAGTCGCTCTAGCTTCGACAGACCAAGTGGCGGCTCAATTAGCCCAGCCCAAAGATGCCACAGCACCTACCGGCAGCGAGTCACTACAGACTCAGCCGAAAGTGACAGCACCACGCGTCGCGCAACCAGCAGCAACCCAGGTCGCGCAAACTACACAGTCTGCAATCCGCGGCCTAACGACATCACCACGAGCGGCTTATTTCCTGCCCAAGGGTACTAGATCGCCCACACCTGCACGGACGGCCGCACTCCATACCACGGCCAAAGCGACTGCCAAGACAACAGCAAAAGCAAGAGCAAGGGCGACCGCGACAGAATCAGCATTGCAATCAGCAGCCGCACAAAGACGCAAGGCCACGAAAGAGTGTGTTGTATTCGAGATTGACGACTCGGAATCCGACGGCCGCTTCTCGTCGCCCGAGCCTGCAGGTGTGAGACGTCCACTCACCGAAGCCGTTGCTGTTGATGTTGACGAGGACGTCGAGAACGGCGAGAACGACGACGACGACATTGTGGCGACCGACCTTGACGAGGACGACGAAAGCAACACCATGGACAACGATGAGGCCGACCTATCGCTGGCCGACGCACCGCTCACCTACGAGCAGTCGGAGCTGTTCCGCTACATTGCCACGGCCGTCACCAGCGCGCCGCCCACCAGCGACCCGGCGGCGCCGTCATGGCACGAGAAGATTCTCATGTACGACACCATCATTCTGGAGACGTTTACGGCCTGGCTCAACAACGGGCCGTTGCGCGCTGCTGGCTATGCGGGTGTCGATGTGACGCCGCTCGACGTCAAGAAGTGGTGCGAATCCAAGAGCGTGTGCTGCACCTGGCGCAAGAACTTGCAGGGCAAGGAGAGGAAGTGGTGAGGACAGCACAGGCGCTGCATTGTTCTATATGTGAACAGGCGCTTATGACACCTATGATTTGGACACAGGATACATTTTTGTATTTGCATGCCCTTTTTTGTTTTTGTTTGCCATTTTCAGCGACCAATGAACGGCATCCTTGGACGCCCCATTGATGCTCACTGCATCTCTCGGCATGACACGTATAAATACTATCTTGGGACGAACGACGGCCTGTGCTGAAAGTTACAAGTGCGGAGAATGCTCCGTATTCCAAGATTCGGGGCCGCTCCCGCGTCTTTCCCCACCCAAAACCAGGCTTGCCAACCTCGGCATCACCGCAAGCCGCTAAGCCGCTAAGCCGCTAAGCGTTATCCGCCCACCGCTGCAATGACAACAAACGGCTGCTTTGCCCACACACTGAATCGCACAAACACAGCACAGCTTGTTCGAGGTCTTGTCGAGACCCGTCTCTCCTCGCTCTGTGGCTCTGTCACCGGACAGTGGCCGTCCTGCATCTGCCACGACATGCCGCCCGGTCCACGTCCAATGCGGGCACCATCTCGGCTTCCACTTCCCATTCCCATTGCTAGTAGCCACCACCATCAGCGACGACTCCTCTTTCACGTGCTGCAGCGGACATCGAATGCACCTCTGTCGTCTCAGGAGCTGCACCGACTCTCGCACCAGCCATTGCTACCTCCCTTTTGCCAGCACAGATCCTACACTCTTTCGACTCTGGCAGCCTCGAATCAGACATTTCGTCGTGTCGTCCATGGTGTCGTCGCCTCGTCTCCCAATACCCTCACATCCCTCCCCTGCTCTTTGACGCCCACCTCGGCCTCAGCTTCAGCCTCGCCATTGGTCCGGTGCGCCTTACATACAACAGCCTCACTCCGCAACATCTCTGACGCCGACGCCATGCCTACCGACCACAAGAACAACAAGAAGACCGGCGGCCCGCCCAGCATCCCGGCCCCCAGTGCCAGCGTCGTCGTCATCTCCCCCCAGAACGAGATTCTGCTGTTGCACCGCCGACAGTCGGGCACGTTTTCGTCGGCCCACGTCTTCCCGGGTGGCAACCTCAGCCCCTTCCACGAGGGCAGCACGACCCCGGCCGTCGACAGCCCCGAGCGCCACGTGGACGGGCCGGCGTACCGCTTGGCCGCCATCCGCGAGACCTTTGAAGAGAGCGGCGTGCTGCTGGCGCGGGCGGCCGGCCAGGCGGCGGCTGCGCCCACCGAGAACCGCGCACTCCTTCACGTTGAGGAGGCGGCGAGCAAGAAGGCGCGCGTCGGCGTGGCCAACGACAAGGTCCGCTTCGAGGACTGGCTGTCGAGCGTTGGCGGGGTTGCTGACTGTGGTGAGTTTTCTCGTCGTCCAGCTGTCCAGGCCGGCGTCGTGTCCCTCGTCACACATTTTGACATGCACACGCACCGCTGACCATCAGAAAACTTGATACCATTCACGCGGTGGCTGACGCCGCCCAACCTCAAACGCCGGTACACGACGCAAATGTACCTGTATTTCCTGCCCCTCGTCGACCATACAAAGACGACGTCCGCGGCCGGTGCCGCCGCCGGTATTGACAGCAACAACAACGGCGGCGCGTCTGCCGACCAGGCCGAGGTCACCGAGGCCGAATGGGCCAGCGCTGCGTCCTGGATCGCCCGTGCCCGCAACAACGACATCATCCTCTTCCCGCCCCAGCTCTACATCCTGTCGCTGCTGGCGCCGCTCCTCCGGGGCCCCGCCGCCTTGTCGGCCGGCAATGCCGACGTGTCGCCCGCCGAACACTACGCCGCCGAGCGGCGCAAGGTCGCCGCGTTCCTCCACGACGGCCCCGCGCCCGGCGAGGACAAGGCCACGTTTGTGCCCTGGGCCGACCGCGTCATCAGCCCCCGCGTCGTTGGCAAACTGGCCGACGACGCCCGGGGGCGCTCGGTCATGACCCTCGACTATCCCGGCCCGGAACTGAAAAATAGCGGCCGCGGTGGCGATTCGCACCGGGTGGTTGTCGTCGGGAACATGCCGCCCGGTCCTCCGCGCGATCTGGAACTTGCGCTGCGGGCCGACGTGATGCCGCAGGTGGTGGCCAAGCCCAAGATCCAAGCGACGGGCAAGCTGTAGTCCAGGTTCGAGGCATATATATAGTCACAGACGCAGAACGGGCCTCACTGTATATAGTCTGGGATTCTGTGATTCCGCAATACGTCGTACCTAGTACCACGAAACGTATGAGTACAGCGCAACCCATGCATTACCATCGCCAAACGTTGTGTACTCGTCGGAAGCAGAGGGCCAGCGGCAATGCTCCTTCGACCTGACAGCCAATACAAGTTTCTTCCTGCTCTACTTCTGTACAGAAACGTTAAATTCAAGCGTATCGGTCGCGGAGAATTCCGGCTGCGGAATGACTGCCGGTGTTGCGTTGAAAATGACCGAATGCTACTCCGTAATATTGTACGTCCGAACGCTCAGCCAAAAGAACACTGTACGACTCTGACTGTGCGCCATGTGTGTGGATCGTCTTGGCAACTTTAAACGTAGCCTGCTGCTCGGTGTCGGCGCCAATCTCCCAATGCGGCCGAGTGCGCCTGCAGGCTGTAAGTCTCGCTGCGTGGGGCGTATGTCCGCTCCTTCCTTTGCCGTGATCCCGTTTCCCTCCTCCTACGAACAGAAACAGGACAAAACAGGAAGCGTTCCGTGGAAAAGCCGTTTGCACAGCTCCTTCCCTCCCCCCCCCACCATCAATCCTTCCTTCCTGCCTCCATGAGTCGCACCTGCCATTCCGCATCTCTGAGAACCTCGGGTTTTGCATGGGCTAGTGCAGTTGTGTGCGAATAGGCAAGGACAGCACGAATCGTGCTTGCCGTCGTCGGCCTCGACCCCACGGGTTGGACCTTCTTGTCCAGGCCATCTATTCTCGGGGCTTTTTTTGTTTTTTTTGTTCTTTCACTTTTCACTTTTCACGGCATTCTATTTTCTAGACGTTCTAGCGGGGACCCCGTCTTGCGGCTTGTGAATGTTTCGCCTATCGAGTAATTTACACGTCTAGCTGCACGTAAGACAAGACACTGAATCGGGCTTAACTTGGGCCGCTTGACAGGGCCACTGCAGCCGGCGCGGCTGGCGCCTTATGGGCCTTGTGACTGTTTTTGCGACTTTTTCCTGTTCTGACGAAAATGACATAAACGCCCCAGTAGCTACTTCTGGCGCCCGCCAAATGCCACACAAATGCTCTGTATCTCCAGACGGACCCGCAGCATGTCGTCTCAACAGCCAGTTCAGCCGCTGTCGCTCCTCCCCGATCCGGCAGGGATTCTGTGCTTGCCATGTCCTCGAGCGCCGTGCACAGCTCCTTCCTCATGTCTCCCCCCGTACCTTCCGTCAAGCACATCGGAATGCGACACTGCCGATAATTTTTGTGCACGCACGCACCCATTCCTTCCTCTTCAGATTTGGGATAGGCATTGGCGACGAGGCAACTTCCTTTAGCACCACATTCACCTCTGCCTCTTTCCCATTTTACTAGTCTGCCATAAGTCAGCAGAGCCACCCCGCCATCGACCTCCCTGCTCTGCATTTGACGATTCTTCCTTTGTCCCATGTGCAGCTTCCCATCTCTCCCCAGGCCCTTGCAATTCCAGCCTCTTTTTCCTCTTTTCCTCTTTTCCTCTTTTCCTTGGACGTGAACGAATCCAACTGCCGACAAGCACGACCATCCAGGGACACCGCCTTCGAGAATTGGAGATGAGGCTTTTGTCTTGCTCCTTGTCGTCCACCCTCGCAAGTAATTACACGCTGCGTCTCGCACAGCGGTCGGCAGTCTTCTGATTCTGAGCCGCCCATTGGCTGTCGCCGTCGATTTTGCCCGCTTCTTTTTGCCCATTTTCTTGCGGCTTCGTTCACCCTTGGCTTATTACGGCTATCTGCCCCGTTTTCTTTTTCTTTTCTGTCTGTTTTCTTTCTTTTGCTGTCTCTCGTCGACACCTTGCCGTCCTCTTGTCCCTCCAATTCTCTGGCTGCATCTGGTCGGCGTCTTAATCTCGTCCCTTGTCTCATCCGCTCCTCGTCCCCTATTTATACTCTTCTACTCTTCTCTTCGGCGACCGTCGCCTCGTCCTTTGTCCGACATCGCTATTTGCGCGTATCTCTCTCCCACTCTTTCTCTTTTCCTCTCCATCCTCTCGTCGCCCACGTCTACATCTCCCCCGCACCGCCCTTCTCCAACCGAACCATGGACGACGATTCCTTCAACCTCCCCCTCCAGCAAACGCCCGACGTCGAATCGCCCTCGCCCACCATCACACCCCTTCATGAAGCATATCCGCCACTCGCCCCGTCGGGCAGCCACAACAGCCACAACCAAGGCCACGACCACGGCCACCAAGGCCACGGCCACGGCCACCATGTCGCTGGCCAGGCCCATGCACAAGCTGCCGCCCAGCCCATGCCGCCCATGGCGGGCGCCACCATCTACACGCCCAACACCGCGCCGAGCTCCGAACTGAATCCCCGCAGCTGCGTCACATGTCGCCGCCGCAAAGTGCGCTGCGATAAGCTCATGCCCTGCACCAATTGCCGGCGAGCCATGGTGCCCTGTGTCTTTCCCGCACCCGAGCGCGCCCCGCGTCGGCCCCGGCGCAAAGACCCCGTGTCGCTCAAGCCGCACCAGTCCAGCGAGCGCGAGATTGAGCTGCTCAAGCGTCTGCGCAAACTCGAGGGCATCGTCGAGGAGCTGAGCGGCCAGGTCGAGATGGAGGCCACGAGCGGCAAGCTGCCCGCGAGCAACAGCAATTCACCCGAGGCCGCCGCTGCCGGCAGCGACGGCGCTGCGCCGCGCTCCAGCCTCGACCACGGCACGACCCCGAGTGCCTCCAGCTCGTGGGGCCAGTCGCCCAAGCTGCCCAGCGCCCAGGGACCAACATCGGGCAACAGCCCCGGCCGTCTGATCGGGCGCAACTCGAGCTACGGCGCGCTCGTAAAGCAGACCAAGGACACACAGAAGCAGCTCGGCCGGCTCATGATCAATGACTACGGCCGGTCACGCTACGTGAGCAGTGCCTTCTGGAGCAAGATTAACGATGAGGTGTGTATTCTTTTTTTTTTTTTTTTTTTTTTTTTTTGCTTCCTGTGCGCCTGACTATTTCTCTGCTGTTGCTAACCACGCCTTGCCTGTGCCGACAGCTCGACGAAATCCGCGCAGAGACACAGCGCATCTCCGACTCCGAGAGCGACCTGTCCGACAACGAGAGCACCCCCGGCCACGACGAAGACCGCCCCGAGGCCGACCACCATGCCTTCATCTTCGGCTTCCAGTCCACCACCGTCGACCTGCGCCCGCTCCACCCGCTGCCGTCGCAAATACCCTATATTTGGCAAGTGTACCAGGAGAACGTCGACCCCGTCGTCAAGATCCTGCACATCCCGACGACGAGCAAAGTCATCCGCGATGCGCGCACCAACCTCGACAATATTTCCCCGGCTGCCGAAGCGCTCATGTTTGCCATCTACTACGCCGCAGTCAACTCATTAGACGAGAGCGAGATTCATACCAACTTTGTGACCGAAAAGAACACCCTGCTCAACAAGTACCGCTTTGCCCTCGAACAGGCCCTCGCCAAGGCCAACTTTTTAATCTCGTCCGACCTCGTTACACTGCAAGCCTTTGTGCTCCTGCTTGTGCTCGTCCGCCGCCAGGAAGACACCCGGCTTGCATGGACGCTGACGGGACTGGCCATCCGCATTTGCCACTCCATTGGCCTTCACCGCGACGGCACCAACTTCTCGACCCTGTCACCCTTTGAAATCGAGATGCGCCGTCGCCTGTTCTGGGCACTCTGCATCCTCGATATGCGCTGTGCCGAGGACCAAGGCACCGACCTGACCATCCTTGAGCAGGGCGTCGACACGCTGCCGCCGCTCAACATCAACGACACCGACATCAGCCCCGAGAGCACGTCGCTCCCTCCCTCGCGCGTGGGCGCCACCGACATGACCTTTGCCCTGATCCGCTTCGAAATCTGCCGCGTCGCGCGTCGCCTGCATGCTATCCATTCGGCTATGGGCCCGATTGAGGCGGGCGATGCGACGCTGACGCTCGAAGACCGCGAGCGCATGATCCACGAGGTGTACGACCGTGTCGAGAATGTGTATCTCAAACACGGCGACACACACAACAACGCCATGTTCTGGGTGGCGGCGAACATTGCGCGCGTCATCTGCGCCAAGATGACGCTCGTCATCTACCAACCGGTCCTGTTCCCCGGCCCAGCCAACGAGGGCATGTCGCGCGCCGTCCGCGAGCGCCTGTTCACGGCCTGCACAGAGCTCTTTGAGTACAGCTACATCCTGACCATGGACGAGCGCACCAGGCAGTGGCGCTGGCTGTTCCAGACCTACACCCAGTGGCAGGCGGTGGCGTACGTCTTGATCGAGTCCGGCCGCCGGCCCTGGAGCGCCTCGGTCGAGCGCGCCTGGAACGGCCTCAACTCGATTATGGCGTCCAGCAAGCCGCACGACCACGAAAAAATGACGGACAATGCGTCGCTGTTTGTGCCTCTCAAGACGCTCTACAACAAGGCGCGCAAGCACCGAAACGCCGAGATTGAGCGGCTGCGTGCCGATCCGGAGGAAGTGGCGCGCCTCGACAAAGAGGACCGCTCGCGCCTCAACCCGACCATGTTCTCTGCCTACCACGGCAGCCTCGACGGGCTGCAGTGGCGCGAGCGCTGGCTGCGCCTGGTCGGTGCGCCACAGCTCATTGATGAGCCGGCATCCGTCTCGACGGCCGCGTCTTCGATGAACCCGTCGACGCAGAACCCCTCGACACCCGCCGGCGGTCTCCAGCTGCAGCAGCAGCTACCGCAGCTTCCAGTGCAGCAGCTGAACCAGGGCCAGCAGCAGCAGCAACAGCAACAACAGCAAGGCGAAGCTATATCCAGCGACCCACAATACCCAGCCAACAAGGTCCTGGACAAGGTCTTTGCGAACGCGACGTTTGAGCCGACGGATCTCTACCAGGTCCTGAGCCTCGGCAAGAGTGCCAACGGCGGGCCCGCCGAGGTGTTTGGCTCGTTTGGAGGCGCGGACATGCCGCGACAGGACATGACGCTGGCCGCATTCGCCACGGACCCGTCGCTTGCGTTTTCCAATCAAGGCATGGCTGGTGGTAATGGCAACGGCACCGGCACCACCGCTCAGGCCGCCGAGGCCACGCCGCTCGTCGACGCCATTGTCAAGGACTACCCGCCGCCGTGGCTGTGGACCAGCGACAGCGTGGACAACAACACCAGCCAGTTCCCGAGCATCCTGGCCGATGCCGGCGACGTGAAGATGGATGACATGGACGAGAACTTTGACTGGCAGGACTTTAGCGAGACGCTGGGCGGCATGTCCAACGGCGTGTGGAGTTCGCACGGCCTGTAAGCACCGCGGGCCTGGCTGTGGTTCGTACTATGACATGGAGTATGAATTAAAAAGGTTTACCTAACGAAGCACAAAATACTTGCGCATTGAAACGGGGGTCGATGGAGTTTTGACATTTATTTATATCATATTTTCTATTTTCATGAATTTTTTTGGCATTTTTGACATTTTTGGCGATTATTTTACGCAAGTGCATGTTTTGTCATTTTACACCTTTGAGGTGCATCTGATGCTTTCAATGCACTTTCTTGTTGGTGTTCTCACCGTTGTACAAGGACGGGGCTGTCATAAACACGAAAAACTGATATCTGTTAAGAAGTTTTGATTGCTTACACGTCACACGAGAGTGTTGTCTTTCTTATTGGTACGTTTTTTTCGCTGCAATATTCCGGGGACGATGTGAACACTCTGAGATGTCGTCACAGTTACAAGGCTTAGCGCCTGTCAGAACCGTCAGAAGCTCCAGGTGTGACCCACTTTTCGGTTCCAATAGGCCCAGCTCCACCGCGCTGCCTGCAGCTTCACGTCACCCAGCATCAACAAACACACTTCTCTTCGACTGTACGCATCCTCGCGACCAACCCTCGACCGTTCCTCTCCCATTCCTCCCCAACATGGATGACCGCCGGGCATGGCGTCTGCTGCCGGCCGCGCACCCGGATGTGCCGGTCCTCCTCGTCGCGACGTCGTTTGGGCCGGCGGCGTACAGCGTGTACGTGACGGACCTGGCGCACGTCTGGGCCGAGCAGCTCGAGCGCCGCGCCATTTGCATGCGCGCGTTCCAGGAGAACACGACGATTGACCCGAGCTACGACAATGAGCAGATGGGCGTGTTTCTGGGCAAGCTGCAGGCCGCGCTGGCGGGCGACGCCAACGCCGACGGCGATGCCAACACGGAGACGCGGCTGTCGCTGGCCGCCGCCCCCGAGGCCGACGGCGATCTGGTGCTACACATCACGTCGGTGCTGCCCGGCGGCCTGCCGCCGCTCCAGTGGCCCGTGCATCTCACGCGACAGCCGGCGACGGCGGTCGCGGCGGCGCTCGTGCTGCCCCTCGTGCACGACCGCGCGGCGCACCAGCGCACCGAGGCACGGCTCGTGGCGGCGCTGCAGGACAAGGATGCGGTGATCAACAAGCTGGCGGACAAGCTGGAGGCGATGGGGGCGGGTGTGGAGAGTGCGTTCCCGACGCTGGCCGGTGGCGCTGGCGCCGCCCCCAGCGCCCGACGAGGCGGGCGCAGGGTCGCGCGCGCGGACATGGAGGCGCGGGTGCGAGGGCTGGCGCGGTTCGACGAGGCCACGTTCCGGAAACAGATGCAGGCAGAGGATGTCCAAAGGCAGAGGCAGACGGACGAGGACGGCGCCGATGCCACGAGCACGGTCACCCAGCTGGTGGAGGCGGCCTTTGGCAGCGGGGTTGAGCTTCGGTACGATGCCGACACGGATGAAGGAGGAGCGTCACCGTCGTCGCCGAGCCTCGACGGCTGGTGGCAGGCGCTGGGCACGGGACTGGGCGTGCCTCTGAAGCGCACCGGGCCAGCCACGGGCAGCAACAGCCAGCAGTCTGGGTCCCGCAACGACCGCGACGCCGACGCCAGCGACGAGCAAGGTGACGGTGCTTTCCAAGAGGCGACACCGAAAAAGACCAAAGCGGCAGTGGCGACAAAGACGAAGGCAGCCCCCAAGAAAGAGGCCGAGGAGACAAAGCCCGACGAGGACGAGCCTCCATCACTGATACCCGCAAAGGCAAAGGCAGGGCTGGGCAAGATTGGCCGTCTTGGTGCCATAGGGAAGAAGCCCAAGGCAAAAAGCCCATCGCCGCAACCGCCAGGAGGAGACAAAGAAGACGACGCGGGAGACGAGACAGCATCCGATGCTGAGGATTTGGAGCCGCCAGCGACGGGGGTGACAGAGAAAAAGGAGGCCAAGACGGCGGTTGGCGGCGACGACGACGACGAGAATAAGACGACGCCTACGGTGACCACAGCATCGCTGCGGACAAAACCTGACCGGGGAGGACTTGGACGCATCGGTGGGAAGAAGGAGAAGCAGCCTACGCCGGAGCCTGAGCAAGAGCCGGAGCCGGAGCCTGAACCGGAAGCAGAAGCAGAAGCAGGCGCAGAGCCAACACCGCCAAAGAAGTCGACGGCCAAAGCGGCCAAAGGTGGTCTGGGTCACATTGGCAAGGGAAAGCCTGCGGCGGCGAAAAAGGAAGCTTCGGACGACGAAGACAGGGGCAAGCGGAAAGCAGGACAGGAGGACGAAGAGACAAAGCCAGCGGACGCGCCTCCGCCCCCCAAAGAGGACGCCAGCAAGCGGGCCGAGGTGCTGCAAAAGGCGGTGGAAAAGCACGCGGCACCGGTACGCAAGAAGCGCAAGTTTTAAGCGAGCAACGGCCGAGCACGGCCGGCACGCTGAAAAAGAATGTATGATATGTGCAGAACAAAAGAACTACAGTACACAATGAATAATGATGGACGACAGCAATGATGGACGACAACAAAAGTGTGCCCCGCTCCCCTCGTCTCAGTTGAACCCCTTCCAGACGTCGGTGCAGGTCACGTCGAGGGCGGTCGCGTTCTGGTTGAGGCAGTAGGCCTGGTTGCCGCCGCGGGGGCTGACGACGTCGATGTTCGTGGCGGAGATGGCGCGGCAGGCGGCGGCGGACGAGCAGGCCAGGGCGGCGATCTGGGGCGCGTACTTGGCGGAGGTGACGCCGCGGAAGTTGCGGAAGGCAATGTCGGAGAGGGTCAGCGGGCTCGGGTGCTGCTGGCAGAGCGTCACGTTCTTCTGGCCATAGCACTGGGTGATTTCGATGGCGTAGTCGACGCCGTCGATGTGCATGCCGTCGTAGGTGATGTTGCGGACGCGGCCGCCGCCGCCGCCGCCCTGCAGGTCGCCCGACAGGGCCGAGGGCGTGTTGGGCCAGACCTTGATGCGGGCGCCGTCGGTGGCGGCGTGCAGGCTGACGTTGCCGACCCAGACGTGCTCGACAATGTCGTAGGCGCCGGCGTACTGGCCGAGGCTGCCGACGCTGATGCCGTGGCTGCCGGTGCAGGACAGCGACGCGACGAGGACGTGGGTGCTGTTGGGCTTCAGGGACACGCAGTCGTCGCCGTTGACGACGACCGAGTTGAGGATGGCAATGTCGCTGCTGCGGTACGTGTCCCAGCCGTCGGTGTTCTTGGCGGCGTGGGCGCTCGACGCGGCGCCCCCATTGGAATTGGACATGGAAATGTCAATGTCGCTGAAGACGACGTTGCTCGCGTTGGCGACAAAGTGGTAGTACATGGGGCTGAGGCGCAGGTGGAGGTCGGCCACGACGCTGTTCCGGAGCCCGTCGATGCCCACGAGCACGGGCCGCAGGGTGTCCGTGTCCTGGGCGTGCAGGTCGTACCAGACCTGGCCGTTGCCGTGGAGCGTGCCGCCGCCGTAGACGAAGACGTTCTCGCCGCCGAGCTTGAAGAAGCTGGTGACGTTCTGGAAGCCGAAGCGGAACGAGTTGGCCTGCCAGTAGTCGGTGTCGTTTGTGAACTGGATCGTTCCTTGGATGTCTTGGGGGGGGGGGGGGGAGTGTTAGCGACGGTGCTCGCAGTGTTCACATTGTTTACAGTGCACAGTGTTTGATTGTTCGACCGGACCCACCGATGTCAATGTCCTTGAGAAAGGTCCAGTCCATGGCCGTGCCGACCAGGTACGTCGTGTCCGCGCGGAAGACGACATGGCCCCCGTGGTTGCACGCGTGGAAGGCCGACATGATGTACGTGGAGTCGTCCGTCACGCCGTCGCCGTGCGTCTTGACACAGCACACTTTGTTGCGCGGCGGCGGGATGGGGATCGGCAGACGCGGCTGCTTGGGATGCGCCACGACGGTGGGCCGCGTCGATACCGGCTTGCAGGGAGTGTTGTCGTTGCCGTTGCCGTTGCCGTTGCCATTGCTGGGCGCGGCGGCGGCGGCGAGCGACACGAACGCCGAGACGATGGTGAGGACCTTCATGGGAGCGATGGATGCGAGAGTGTAAAGACCTGGCGAGTTGCTTTTCGGGAACACCGGCTAATCAAGTCTGCAAGGCTCCAATGTTGCGAAAAGAGAGCTACGGTTAAACCAGAGGCGCGCTGTCTGGAGCGGAGAGGAGGAGACATGCTTGTTCTACTGCTTTGTTTTATTTCGTTGTCCTTGAATCGATTTGATTTAATAAAGATGGCTGCTCCAACTTCAATATTAATTCACTATTAATTCAATATTTTATTCATTATGTGATGGAATGTATTTGTAGTTTCTGTAGACGACATCCCGACGAAAGAAACCACCGCTAGTCTTTGAAAACAACAGGAAGAACATCTGCACATCCCCAAATTAATTCCCGTCTTGTACCTGAATAGACTGTCGAGAGACATTGTTTCTGTTGAACCCTGATTTACGGATGAGATGGTGCTGCCCTTGCGGTACTTTGAGATTGGCGTCGGCGTGCGCCAAAACAATGTACCACGTCGCACTGCCAGCATGTAAGGTGATTGGCCCGTCGAGACCCACTTGACGTCGGACAACCCACTTTAAATAGTCACGTGAATATGCATCTATCAGCCAAGACACGTGACTCCTCCAGAGTAGGGTTTCATCCATGTTGGTGCGGAAAAACGTTTTGTTGCGGGGCCGAAAAAGTTTTGGTGCCAAAATTCACCCACTTTGGCGGTGGAGCACAGCTTTGGCTGGCCTGTGAGAGCAGAGAGGGCTTTGCACCAATTTTTTTTTTCGGCTGGCTTTTCTGTCTGGGTCGACGAAATCCGTTCACGATCTTCTGCAGACCCCCTCTCCCGTTTTGACCGTCCTTGACATTTCCTCACCAACCGACGAGAACCCCCTCCGACACAACTCGCTTTCTTTTCCACACACACAACCGTCGCAATGGCCAAGCTTTCGTAAGTTACATTTCTGTCGGAACCGAGCAGAGCAGAACGAGTCGGACTGCGTTGGATGGCGTTGGGGAGTTGAGGAGTTGAGGAGTTGAGGAGCTGGATGGAGTTGCAGACAGTTGCCAGGCCAATAGACCAAAGATCGCATGGACACCACCACCGACGACCGAGACGACCGACTATGACGAGACCGCATCGACGGAGACCGGACAGAAACCACGAGATTTTGACCGAACGTGAGACCAGCATCGGACGGACGAGATACTGGGGGTTGACATTGTAGCGCACCGGCTGGAGCCAGCAGCTTGTTGTCAAAATCTACGGACGACGTTGGAAATACAGAGACGGGATGTTTCGCGACAAACTCGACCGTGTCGCCCGAATGCTGTTTTGCGAACTCGTCACGCCCGCGACACCCGATCGTGCCCAAACGACAATGATACGACGTTTCCGAGCATCCCTTCGAGCATCGACGACTTCGAGACGAGAGAGACATGACGCCAATGCTGTCGACGGCTTTCGAACTGGTGGACTCCGAGGCTTCTGGCAACTGGCACTGGCAACTGACTGACAACTGACTGGCACCTGACTGGCACCTGACTGGCACCTGACTGGCAACCGCATCTGTCGCGAATGGCTCAGCTCCATGTGAATACACACTAACATCCCCCCCAGTCGTGGTGCCCCCGGTGGCAAGCTCAAGATGACCCTCGGTCTCCCCGTCGGTGCCATCATGAACTGCTGCGACAACTCCGGCGCCCGCAACCTGTACATCATCTCCGTCAAGGGCATCGGCGCCCGCCTGAACCGGCTACCGGCCGGCGGTGTCGGCGACATGGTCATGGCCACCGTCAAGAAGGGCAAGCCCGAGCTGCGGAAGAAGGTCCACCCGGCCGTCATTGTGCGCCAGTCCAAGCCGTGGAAGCGCACCGACGGCGTGTTTTTGTACTTTGAGGACAACGCCGGCGTCATTGTCAACCCCAAGGGCGAGATGAAGGGCTCGGCCATTACGGGCCCCGTCGGCAAGGAGGCCGCTGAGCTGTGGCCGGTATGTCCACCCTTGACCCCCGTCTATAGGCTACTCCTGCTTTGGACAGTCCACTTGCTAACTCGTGCAACCAGCGTATTGCCAGCAACTCGGGTGTCGTGATGTAAGGGATTTCCTTTTTGTTTGTTTTTACCGGCATACAATCGAAAAACGGACATAAAGGGAAAGAGGAAAGAGGAAAGAGGAGAAAAAGGAGGACAAAGGAATAAAACCGGGAAGTTTATATTTGACAAAACTTCCGTGGCAACGACACACGGGGGCGTTTTTATTTTTAACTTTTTTTATTTTCCATTTGCTCCTCGACCGTTCTGCTTTTACGTCTTTTTTACGTCTCATGTATTCCGTCGAAGAATACCTTTGTCCTAGGAAAAAAAGAAGAAAAGGTTTCAAAATACTCTATTCTTTCGCCAGAGCGCTGGCGACATGGATTCACGTAGATGCAAAGCGACAATGTATGGGTACTGTGTGTATTGTATGCTGTGTCTGGTGTCTCGTTTTGAACTATGAAAAAGACAAAAAGACACAGAAAGACGGAACAATGAAAAGCTGGTAAAGGTCAAGCAACCAAAAGTAGACAGTTTGGGTAGACGTCAACGACGGACAGGATAAGAAGAAACGATGAAAAGAAAAGAAACAGAAGCAAAAACAAAACAGCAAGGCGAATACCATGCAATGCACCTCCATTTTTTTGTATAATGCATCCAACGCCCCAAGCAAAGGGTAAACAAGCAAACAAATGGGGAAATCTGCGCAAGTGTAAGAGCAGAACCAAACAGAATGAAAATTAAAAAGCAAAAGAAAAAGCAAGAAACAAGAATACAAGAATACAAGAAAACAAGAAAACAACCTCTCACACGCCAACGCTGCAACAATGCAGGGTGCCGCCGTCGCGTCACGATCCCAATTGTCCATCACGGCCATCCTAGCTTCGACGGGGGACCAGCAATGGCAACGCCTGCGCGCTGGCCCGGCCGCAGACGCCGCAGAGACTCCTACGCCTCTTGCCGGCTGCCCGCATACATGCCGCTGTTGTTGCCCGGGTGGCCGTTGCCCGGGTGGCCGCCGTGGTGGCTAGGGCGATGCTGCGGAGGGTGGCTGGCGTAGGGACCCGGGTTGCCCATGTCCATGTGGTGGTGGTGGTAGGGGCCGACCGTGTAGTCCATGTGGTGGGGCGGGCCGCCCATATGGCCGGGGGGCGGACCTGGCGGGCCGGGGGGACCACCAACGGACCCGCTGGACGCGGCAGGGCCTTGGGCTTGCGGGCCGGGCGAGCCGTCGGAGCCGCTGCCGGCGGGGTGGGCGGCGACGGCGGCGACCTGCTGGGCCTGCTGGGCGGCGGCCTTTTTGGCGGCGAGGGTGGCCTTGCGCTTGGCGACGGCGGCCTGCATGGAGCCATTGGCCCAGCGAGCTGTTGGGATACGTTAGCAGGGACAGGCCGAAGGAAAGAATGACGGGGACTGGGGGGGACACTGGGATACGTACTCTTCATCGAGTGGCTCATCTTCTCGCTCTTGGTCATCTGGCGGTACTCCTTGTCGTCGCTGGGCGTGCCGGAGTCGGCACCGGGCGTGCTGCCAGGACCGCCCGGACCAGACGGGGTGCCACCGAGACCAGGACTGACGTAGCCGTGGTCGGCGGCACCAGGACCACCACCACCACCACCGCCACCGGGACCGCTGGGACCGCCACCGGGCGTGTGGGGCACAAACTGGGTGTGGTTGCCGGGGTTCATGAGCATGGTGGACGACGATGCGGAGGACGACGCGCCGCCGAGGCTGTGGCGGTGCCCGCTGCCACCACCACCACCACTACCAGCGCCACCCGGCGTGTTTGCACCGCCGTTCTTTGCATTGGGCATCATCTGTGTAAAGGCGTGGACGCCCGCCGAGGGCGCGACGGGCGCGGGCGTGTAGTTTTTGATCTTGAAGGTCGTCCGCTGGCGACCCGAGGAGGGTGGTGCTGTCGCCGCAGCCGAGGATGGCTGCTGCTGCTGGCTGGGCGCGGGCGCCAGGCTGTTGACACGCTGCGGCGGCGGCGGTCCTTGCGGGTGGTGGTATGCCTGCCGCGGCGGTGGCGGCGGGGGCGGCTGGCCGTGGCTGTGGCCGTGGCTGTAGTACATGTCCTGTTGCTGGTAGGGCATGGGTGGACCATAGGGGTGCATGTAGCCTCGCTGCTGCTTCTGCTGCTGCTGCTGCTGATGATGATGAGGCGGCGGCGGCGGCGGTGCGTGGTGACCATAGTAGGCCGACGACGCCGACGGATGCGGGTCCATGGGGCTGTGGCCATAATACGGGCCAGGGTGCTGCGCGTGGTGCGCGTGCGGCTGTTGGGGCTGGTAGGGATCGTACGGCATGGCGCTGTGCATCGGCGGGTATTGCTGGCTGTCGGGTACGGGCGTCGCATGATTGTTGCTGTTGTTGCTGTTGCTGTTGTTATTGTTGCCGTTGTTGTCCTTGGGATCGTCCATGGTGGACGGCATGCTGGTGTCGGCCTCCTCCTGCACAGATGCCGTCGTCCGCCGACGGCGCTTCTGCTTCTTGGCCGGCGGGCCGTGGGCGTTGGCAGCCGCGGCATCGTCGTCGTCGTGCTGGGGTTGCTGCGAGCGGTGGCCCGGCTCGTTGTTGTTGTCGTTGTCAATGTCCTTGTCCTCATTGTCGCGGTCGTCGCCGACGCCGTTGTGGACAGCGCGGAACTTGCGGCGACGCTTGGGCCGCAGAGCATAGCTGGAGTCGTCGGCGTTGTTGGCAGAACCGTTCGACGAGGCCGACGAGGCAGGGCGGGCATGCTCGTCGTCGTCGTCGTCGTTGCGGTCACGATCGCGGTCACGACCGCGGCCGCTGGAGTAGAAGCTGCGGGGACCAATCTCGCCGGTCCGGCGACGGCGGCCGTCCACCTTGGTCTCTTTGACCTCCTTGGCCTCCTTGGCCGATCTGGCCGATCTGGCCTCCCTGGCATGGGCCGTGGAGATGCGCTGCCGCTTGGCGCCACCACGTCCCGCGCGCGGCGACTCGGGCGCCGTCTCGTCGCCGTCGTCGTAGGTGGCATCGCGGCCGTTTTCGGTAGCGTCACCATCGGCCTCCGTTTCGGCCGCAGCGTCGGCCTCTGCAGCCGCTGCCGCCGCCGCCGCCTCTGCTTCGAGTGCCTCCTGGCGCAGCAGACTGTTCGGCTTGCGACCGCGACGGCGCTTGCGGCCCGGTCCGCTGGCAAGCGGCGACACGGCCGTGGCGGGCTTTTCCGGGGGCGGCGGCATGTGGCCAGCACGGCGGTGGTTGTGGTGGTGGTGGTAGGACGAGGACGTCGCGGCGGACTCGTCCTTGTCGACGAGATCGTCCGCCGCGACCGATTCCGACAGCTGGCTGCGCGGCACGCGGCCCCGGCGGCCACGCTTGGTGGGCGTCTGGGCCGCCGCAGCCGGCGCAGCGTCCGTCGGGCCGTCGTCGTCGTCGGTCTTGCCCTCGGCGGCAGCGGCGGCAGCGGCGGCAGCGGCAGCAGCAGCAGCAGCAAGAGCGGCCGGGCCCGGCGGGCGGCCACGACGGCCACGGGTGGGCGGGACGGCGGGCGTCGATGCAGAGGTGGAGGCAGCCGCCGACGACGCAGCCGCGGGCGCAGAGGTGGGGGCCGGCGTGCCGGCACGGCTGCCTTCGGCGCTCTCGTCGTCGACGGCGTTCTTGCGGCGGCGCGAGCGGCGGCCGACACCCATGCCGTCGTCGGCGTCGGCCTCGGCGGCCTTGAGCGTCTGCTTGGGGCGGTTGCGCAGGCGGGTGTTTTGCAGGCCCTCGCGCTGGGCCACGGGGTCCTGGCGGCTGATCATGGAATCGCGCGGGTCGTGCTCGAACAGGTAGATGTGGGACATGAGCTTGTCCTGCTGGCGGGCGTGGCGCTTGATGGGGTCGGCGAGCGACTCGGGGGCGCGGATGCCCTTGACGACAAAGTCGCGCTCGGTGATCTCGGTGTCGACGTTGCCGCGCTTGAGGGCCATGAGCGTGCGGTTTTCAAACGTGGCGTCCTGCTGGCGGCGGCGGACGGCGTTTTCTTCGTCGTCGGTGATGCCGCGCAGCAGACGGTACTCGTCCTGCCAGGCGACCAGGGTCTCGTTCATGTGGGCGAGGCAGTCAAACAGGTCGCTGGTGCTCATGTCTTTGTGGTCCTTGAGCGCGTCGATGAACTCCTTGGGATCGCGGATCTTGTGGAAGCGGTACTGCTTCTTCCACATGGGCTTGCGGCCGGCCGCGGGTGTCGTCGACGCAGGAGCATTGGCGTTGGTGGGGGCGATGCCGTTTGCTGTGGCTGCGGCGGCCGGCGTCTCGGTGTCGAGATCCTCGGACGCGGACGCCGCATTGGGCGTCGCTCCGGCGGTGACTGGTGCCGCCGCGGCAGCAAGAAGGGGCGTACCAGCCGAGGGCAGGTCGATGGGCGTCGGCGGAGCCGGCGTGGCCGAGGCGCTGTCGGCGGCGCTGTCGATGACAATGTCGGGCGTGGCAACGGTCGAGGCGAAGGACGCACCAGCAGCACCAGCAGCAGCAGCGGCGGCGGCGGCGGCAGCCTCCTCCAGACGCGTGTCGGCGGCAATCTTTTCTTGAAGGACGGCCTCAAGATCCGCAGGCGTGGGTGTGTCGCTGCCGTCCTTGTGGGAGGAGGCGCTCTGTGGCTGTGTCTGCTCAGCGGCGGCAGCGTCGGTCTGCTGGTCGGTGTCCGGCTGGTCCGTCTGCTCGGCCGTGGCTTCGCGGTTGGGCGTGGGCGAGGGCGCCGCAGCCGACGCGGACAAGGCCGTGGTGGTGGTGGCCGTGGTGACGCTGTCGTAAAACTGCTCCGGATAGAAGACATACTCGTTCTCCCAGGGCGTCAGGCTCTCCCACGGACGCGGGCCCGAGGGGCGGCGCGCCGTGCGGCCGGTGGCAAAGAGGTTGGGCGCGGTCTTGGTCGCGGACGGGGAGGCGCTGGTGGCGGCTCGCTTGCTTGCCTTGGCAGCAGCGGCGGCGGCCTTGGCGGCCTTTTGCTCCTTGAGCGTGGCTTCGTGGGCCTCGAGCATGGCCTGCTCCTTCTGGGCGGCGGCGGACGCAATGCGGGTGCTGGTGCGGCGGGTCATGGAGCGGAAGGCGCCGGGCGAGGGGGCGTCGTCCATGGGGTCGTCGGAGACGGTGGAGTGTGCCTTATTGGCGGGGGTTGTGGCAGGGGTTGTGGCGGCGGCGTCGGCAGCGGACATGTCGAGAGCATGGCTGTCATGACTGTCCTCGTGAATGTCCTCGTGAATGTCGTCGTGAGCGCCCTCACGGTCCTCCATATCCACGTCGGCGTCGGTGGGGACGGTGTCCTTGGCACTCGCCGTGTTTTCACCACCCGCCGCTGCTTCGTCAGTCTGCTTGGCTGTGTCGACGTCGACGTCGGTCGCGCCGTCATACGCGTCGACGGCAGCCGGTGTCTCGTCCGGCTCGGCTTTGAGCTGCGTCGTGGTTGCTGCAGGTGCAGCGTCTGCTTCCTCGTCCATTGTCTCGGGCGCCTCTGCTTTGAGCGTGGCGGCCGAGTCAAACGAGTCGTAGCTGGGCAAGACAGAGGCGCCGGCCTTGGCGTCGGTGGCCCGGGCCTCCATAAAGGCGGCGAAGCGCTCTTCGTCGGCCTCGGACTGGAGGACAAAGACGCTGGGCGGTGAGCGGTTGCGGCCGCGGGGGATGCGCACCATCAGGCGGTTCTGGTGGTGGGAGTGTCGGGGGCGAGAGAGGCCTCGCTTCTGGGGGGACGCGTTCTTGGACGACAGCCTGGAGGCCGGCGACGTGTCTGTGGACAGGACCTTGGCCTTGGTCGGCGTCGCGGCAGCCGCAGCCGCAGCCGCAGCCGCAGCAGCCGCAGCGGAAGCAGCAGCAGCAGACTGCCGGCGCGGACGGCCCACCTTGCCGGGGGTGTGGCCGTTGGCAGCGCCCGTGTTGGGCGCAGACGTGGGTCCATTCGCCTTGGCTGCTTTGCTAGAAACGGCGGTCGTTGTGTTGGACGCAGAAGGGGCAGCTGCCGCCGCCGCCTGGTGGATGGCCTTGGCAATGCTGGTCTGCGGGACAGAGGTCGACAGCGTGCTCGAGTTGCTCGAGGCACTGCGCTGCAGCGGCGTGGCCCCGGCCGACGACGCGTTGGAGTGCGAGTTGGAGTTGTCGGCCTCGGTGTCGCTGCTGGGCGGGCTGCCGCCGACGCGGATAGTGTCGTGGACAACAATGGCGCCGCCCGACGGGCTCTCGAGGACCATGGGCGACGCCGGCACCGTGCTGCTGCCCGTGCTGGGTGTCGGGCCCGCACCACCACCACCACCGGCCGCCGTCGACAAAGGCCCCGATGCCGACGACGCCTGCACGGGAGTGGACCCGGCAGGGGCCGTCGGTCGGCGGAGAGGCGGACGTCCGCGGCCACGAGGCGCAGGCGCCGGCGTGGACACGGATTCTGTGGCAGCAGCAGTTGCGGACGGGGCGGCGTGTCCATTGGCAGCACTGCCAGGCGCCGTGGTGGACGCGCCGTCTGCTGCGGCTGGCTGGTGATGCACAAGACGAATCTTCTTGGTGGCCACGGCCGGCGACGGCGACGACGCAGCCTCGTCCTCGGCTGTGGCGCCACTGTTGCGGAAGCCGATGTGGACCGTCTTGCGCTTGCGGCCGCGCGTGGCCGGTGCCGACGGCGTCTGTTCGCCGGCATTCGGCTCGGCGTCTTGCTCCGTGTCCCTGGCGGTGTCGTCGTTGGCGTGGCCAGTCGTGTTATTGCCAGCGCCAGTGGCCGTGCCAGGGCCAGCCGTGGTCTCGCCATTCTCAATGTGGCTGTAGTCGACCCGGCTGCGCTTCCGCAGCGAATGGCCGCCCTTGCCCTTGGCCAGTTCCTCGGCGGCAGCGGCCGCTGCATAGGCGGCCGCATACGACTGGGCCGGCGTCATGGGCCGGTCGGTGTCGTTGGCACGCGACGACCGCCGCCGCGTCACGGGCGCCGCTGCCTGTCGGCTGGATGCCGCTGCAGCCATGGCGGTGGGCGAGGCGGGCGGCGACGCCGTCAAGGGCTGTGACGGGTCGATGGCCGACGAGGACGGGGTGTGTAGTGACAGAGCGCGGGATGGGGTGGCAGCGGTCTCCACGGGGGCCGGCGACGACGACGACGGCGAGGCGTGTCGCAGAGACGTGCGAGGCCGGCCGCGCGCAGAAGACGGCGGCGGCGGATGGGAGGTGGTGTGGGAGGAAGAGTGAGACAGATGGGAGCGGGACGGCGAGGAGGTGGACGAGCTGCGTTTTGCGGCTACCGGGGCGTGGGAAGATGGGACCTGCGTGTGGCCTGTTTGGGTAGTGTGGCTAGAAGGGCCGGAATGGCTTTTGTCACCAGGCAAAGACAGCCCGTTGGCGGCCGTTGCGGGCGATGCAGACGACTGGCTCCGGGACAGGCTGCGGCGCGGCGAGGGCTGGGCAGACTGGGACGTGGCATGTGCGGGTGCGGAATGAGAATGAGGATGAGAATGAGAAGGGACGGAATGGGCAGAATGGGCAGAATGGGCAGAGTGGGCAGAGCTTGGAGAATGTCCCAAACTCTGCGCGGCGTGAGACGACGGTGCGCTGCCACCCGCACTGCCTCGCGACCGACTCCCACCGCGAACACGGTCCATGGCGGCGGGCCCGCGGTCGGTCAGACGCAGCAATAAGGAATAATGGATGTGAGGGAGCGGTGGGACAGGATGTGAGGGTATGTGTTTGAAGGATGTTTTTGAGGGTAAAGAGACGTGATAAAAACAAAAAAAGGAGGCAATGGGCGGCGACGCGATGTCGCCAAAGCGGCGTGTGATCGGTGTCAAAACGATCACACAATTGAGCGCAAGACGCCTCGGATGGCCCTGCGCGTGGTGACGGAAGAGCTGACGCCAGGGGAAGCGGTGGTCGTCGCCGCGATGCTGCTTCTTCTCTTCACCTTTGCAACGTCGTGGCTGTTTTTTATGTGTAAGAGAGTTTTAAAGGCAACACGCCTTGGGCTGGGGACGCTAACAGCCAAACCGGCAAAGCAGGAGCCAAGAGCCAGGAGCCAGGAGCCAGGAGGCCAGTAGGAAGGAGCCAGCAAACGGGGCGGCGCCAGGCGGACCCAAAACGGCAGGGGCGTGTGGGCTGGAAGGAGGGAAGAAAAAACGAATAAAAGTGTGGCGGGCCAATAGAAGGCGCTGAAAAATAAGAATTGTGGGGCGTCAATTACAGGAGGCTCGAAGCGCAACAATAGTACGAGAGGAGGGAGAAGAGGGAGAAGAAGGAGAAAAAAGGACAAGAATGAAAAGACGCCGATAAGACGATGTAGTGAATCTCTGGGTGATGCAAACTCGAGAATGAAGAAACAGCGACGGCGCCGTCGCGCGATGGCTGGTGACAACTCACTTTGGCAGGTCGACGAGCATAGGGCCCTATTACTGTGTGCTGTCTGTTGTGTGCTGTTTATTGTATGCTGTCTATCGTGTGCTGTCTATTGTGTGCTGTCTATTGTGTGCTGTTTACTGGTTACTGTTTTACCTACCGTGACTCTCTGCACTCCAAACTCGCCGTCGCATGACTCCCTGCTCTGGCCTGACTTCAGCCTTGAGAACACCTCAGATTGCTTCACTCGCGTTGCTCCCTGTCGTCGACATTGTCAAATTGTCAAAGCAGTCAAAGCAGTCAAAGCAGTCAAAGTCATCACTCATCAAACTCATCAAACTCATCAAAGCATCAAAGCATCAAAGTCGGTCCCGTATTGTAAACGTCTCTACAGGATAAATACAGCCAGCAGACACTTCCATCTTCTCAGCGCCTTCAAACCCCTCTGTCAACCTGCTCTCAAACATCCCTCAGCTCTCACACTCTCACACTCACACGCATCCTTTACACTGTCCATTGTTTGACCTCCAGGCTAAACTGTGCACGCAACACTCTGTCAAGCCACAGCCGCCACAGCCCATTGTCTTGTAAGAGAGCCCGTCTGTGATTGGCCGGGCTGTCACTGGCCTCATGTGCTTTTCTATTTTGGGACTAGCGCAGACTGGAGTCACTGGCACCTGAAAGACCACCCAAATCGACAGAAAGAGGAGGTGCAGGTGGGGCAGCGGGCCCGTCGATTACAGGTGGAGCATCGCCCGTGACGACAAGACAGGGAAGGAGCAACAGGCAGGAGACAGCTTGGCCTCTGACGACACTTTACGTTCCCCAGAGAGACGCTTCAGCTTGGAACACCACCCACCCAGCATCGTCATAGGCCACCACCGTTGTCCACGCAGAGACGACCGACTCTTTTCTGATACACAGGACAACCCGAGGGTACGTAGACTGGCGAGCTGCCTCGCCTGCTTCTGTCCCTGCCCCAGCTTCACATGCTTACTGACGTCTGCAGTGCATCGATCCTCCAACATTGCCATCTGCTTCCACAAACACCGACCGGCTTCCTTCACCCCCCTCCCACCATGGCGTCCAAGCGGGCCAAGAGCGCCACTAACGAGGAGCTCGACTCGCTCTTCGAAGGCATCGGGGACGAGAAACCCACCGGTGCCGCCAAGAAGGCGGGCAAGTCCAAGACCACGGGGACCGGCAAGCTGAAATCGGCCGCCGATAAGGATCTGCTGGCCGCGCTGGAGAACGAGGTCGGCGACGAGATTGCGCGCCCGCACACGCCCCGCATCAGCAAGGAGGCCAAGGCATCGCCAGCGTCCGCGTCCGCGTCGGCACCAGCACCGGCCCGCCGCTCCGTCGAGAGCAGCAAGGCCTACTCGGCGCGGACGAGCACGGACGAGCGGGCGGTGGACGCCTCTGCGGAAGGGGCCGCGGCGCCGCCGGCCGCCGCGGCGACCACAGCGACCCCACCCACTGTGGCGGCCCCCGCGTCGGGCGGCTGGTGGGGCGGCATTTTGTCGACGGCGTCGGCGGCGATGAAGCAGGCCGAGGCGGCCGTCAAGGAGATCCAGCAGAACGAAGAGGCCAAGAAGTGGGCCGACCAGGTGCGCGGCAACGTGGTGTCGCTGCGCGGCTTCGGCGACGAGCTGCGCCACCGCGCGCTGCCGACCTTTACCAACATTCTGCACACCCTGGCGCCGCCCATTGCCTCCCACGAGCGCCTGCTCATCCACATCACCCACGACATGGTCGGCTACCCGGCGCTCGACCCGCTCGTGCACGGCGTCTTTACGCGCGTCATGGCCCAGGTCGAGGGCGGCGATCTGCTCGTGATCCAGCGCGGGCAGGAGTCGCAGGCGGCCGGGTCGGCGTCGATGGGCGGCAGCGGCAGCGGCAGCAGTGGCGGCCACAGCAGGAACAGTGCGGGCTGGCGCGACGGGCCGTGGTGGCGCGTCGTGCACTACCCGCGCGACCTGGGCGCCGTGCCCGGCCTGCGCGAGGGCACGAAGCTGTGCCGCGCGAGCGCCGAGGCGTACGCCAACGAGTACTACGCGGCCCATTACGGCAGCGACGACAAGGACAAGGCCACGAGCAAGGGCGGCGCCCGCGACCGCGTCGCCGACAGCAAGCGCGGCCTCGCGGTGGCCCGCCAGCGCGCCGTCGAGCCGGTGTCGGAGCAGAACCCCGTGCGCCGCTCGGACATCTTTTTGGCCGTGCAGGCCTTTACCGTGGCCGCCGAGCCCAAGGACGAGGACGAGGACGAGGACGAGGACGAGGAGGACGAGGAGGGGGACGACGACGAAGACGACGACGACGAGGCGACGGACGCGTCGGACGAGTCCGACGAGCTCGTCCAGTTTGCCGTGCACATCCGCGACCCCGTCCACGACATTGTCTACCACACCGTCAGCCAGGCCCTGCCGGCCAAGTGGGTGCGCTGGCTCGACGCGCGCCCGTCGACGTCTGCCTCGGCGCTGACGCCGGCCACGAGCGGCGGCGAGGGCGAGGGCGAGGGCGAGGAGGAGGAGGACGACGACGACGACAGCAGCAGTGACGACGACAGCCACGACGCAGACGGCGCCTCCGCCAAACCGGCCAAGGTCTCTGCCTACGACGCGGGCGTCCCCGACGAGATCCGCGAAATCATCGACAGCGGCGCCGTCGACCCGCGCGAGTGGGTGGCCGAGTGGATCGAGGAGACCCTGACGCTGGCCGTCGGCGTCGTCGCCCAGCGCTACGTCGCCCGCCGTATGGGTGTTGGTGCCGGCAGCATCGGCCGCGGCAAGCGGCCCGTCGACGAGATCCTGGCCGACAATGCCGGCGAAGCTGCCCGGGCAGGCATTATCTAGGCCAGGGGTCGAGTCTTGCTGTTTAGTGCTAGTGATTGTATTTCTTTTTGATTGTTGCGGTGCTTGGGTCGTTATTATTACGCAACGGGTCGTGGACTCTTGTTGCTGTCGATTTGCTGACTACCGTCTACTGTCTGTCTTTTGTCTTCCTGTCTGTCTCCCGTCTGTACTTGCCAATACCTAGGGCTGCATTTGAATAATTATCTTTATTATACCTGTCCTGCAAGTGCTATCATGCTGGTGCCTGTCTGTTGAAGCAACATACGGCGTGGATACAGCGCAGTACGACGTAATCAGCGTAGTACATCGTAGGCACAGCCTAAATACAGCACAATACAGCACAATACAGCACAATACAGCGTAAACACAGCGTAAACACAGCGTAAGCACAGCCAAAAACAGCACAATACAGCGTAGACTCCTTCCAGTAATGACAATATTGACATTCGTTCAAAACAACTCGTACGATGACGGTTCTCTGTCTCCCAGAAGTACACCCTGGCTTATTCTTCTTTCCCTCCATTTCCCCATGCCACAGTCCACATGGGCCGCGTAGCTGTCTCTGCATGTTGATGTTGATCTGATACGCACTGCCAAATGGGCGCTAACTCGGGTCGGAGATAAGGTGCGACCTCAGCTCGGGGATTAGGGGCCTCTCAAAGGATACGACGAGAAAGAGCAGATATATGTGCAAGAACGGGGCATTCAGCCGGCCGTTCTGTGGGAGTTGTCTGTGCTGTTTTAGTTTGCTGCGACATAGACGACGGCAGTATGAGAGACCTGTTGCTATTCGAAGCCCATGTTTGTCCCTTTCATGCCTCACTCCCATGTGATTCGTCGCAACTTATCCCCGAGACCCCGACAGACTTACAACCAGATGGCATTGTAAGTCGTACTTCTTTACACCAGGCAGCCAGTAATCCTGTGATCCTGCTGTGGTAATATTACTCAAATACGACGACACGTCCTCTACCACGTCACCATGTCGGTGAAGATGCCTCGTCTCGTGTAGCCACCGTCTTACTTGCCTAGTTGTTTGTCTCCTTCCAGTTGTTTTATTTGTTATTATTTCATTTGTTTTCTTATTTATTACGCCCTACATCGTCAGTCTTTCTTGTTCGTTGTCGTCTTGTCTCGTCTCTCATCCGTCAGTCTGTTTGCATTTCTCCAACACAGAGACACCTCAAAATACTATCCTCCTCGGCCCATCCTCCTTCATCCACTCTCCCACTCTCGACTTACCCCCCCCCCCTCCTTCTCCCCCACCCACTCCCCCCACCATGTTCAACACACTCCGTTTTGTCGGCTTGCTCGCCGCCCACCTCCCTCGCTTGGCGGGCCAGGCCTTCGTCCGCAAGCTGCGCGCCCTCCTCCACCGCTGGACGTACAAGGGCCCGACCGACGCTCCCAAGGTGGTCCTGGTCGTGGGCGGCTCCTTTGCCGGCTACCGGCTCGTGGCCCGGCTCTGCGACTCGCTGCCGACCGGCTGGCAGGTGGTGCTGGTCGACCAGAACCGCCACTTCAACTGGAGCTTTGCGCTGCCGCGGTGCGCCGTCGTGCCGGGCCACGAGCGCACGGCGTTTCTGGCCTACGCCACGATGCTGGCCCGGGGCGCGGCGTCGGCGTCGGGTAAGAAGGTGGCCCGTTTTGTGCAGGGCCGGGCGGTGGCCGTGACGGGCGCCAAGACGGTGCTGCTGGAGTCGGGCGCGGCCGTGGCCTACGACGTCCTGGTGGTGGCCACCGGTGCCGCCCAGCGGCCGCCGGCCAAGCTGCGGGGCGCGGCCGACAAGACGGCGGCGTGCCGCGAGCTGCGGGGGCTGCAGGCGCGCATCCGGCGGGCGCGCACGGTGGCCGTCGTGGGCGGCGGCGCGGTGGGCCTGGAGCTGGCGACGGACATTAAGACGTTTGCGGGGGTGGTGGCGGCGCGCCATGCTGCACGAGTCGCAAAGGGCCAGGACGAAAAAGACGACGACAAAGACGACGACGACGCAGTGGCCGACAAGCACGTCACGCTGGTGCACGCGCGGCCGCAGCTGCTCAACCGGTTCGGCCGGCGGCTGCACGAGCACGTCCTGGGCGTGCTGGAGACGCAGGGCATCCATGTCGAGCTGGGCCAGCGAGCGGTCATTGCGTACCGGCGTGGCGGTGGTGGTGGTGGTGGCGCGGACGACACTGCCGACGACACCGCAGACGACACCGCAGACGTGGCGGGCGCGCCCGGGACGCTGACGTTCGCCGATGGCCGCTCCCAGGAGTACGACTGCATTCTGCAGTGCACCGGCCAGACGCCCAACTCGGCGCTGCTGCAGGACGTCTATGCGGGCGCCCTGGCCCCGTCGGGCGAAGTGCGCGTCAACGCCGGCCTGCAGGTGGTGGCGATGTCGACGGCCGACGGCACGACCGACGGCACGACCGACGGCACGACCCGCGAGACAGTTGTGCCCGACATGTTTGCCCTCGGCGACGTGGCCGCGACCGGCGGGCCCAAGATGGCGCGCGCGGCTTTCGCCCAGGCCGACGTCGTCGCCGACAACATCCTGGCGACGATCCGCGGCCGGGCGGCGCGCCACCGCTACGCGCCGAGCGTGCTGGAGGCGGCGCTCAAGCTGACGCTGGGCAAGGACGCGACGGTGCTGTACATGGACTGGGACAAGGCGGACAAGGCGGACAAGGCGGACAACGCGTCGGTCCTGCTGTCGACGGGCGGCGACCGGGAGGGCATGCACGGGGAACGGCAATGGGGTCTGATGGGCGTCAAGTACGAAGACGAGTAGGTGGGAGGGCAGGGTGAGGATCAGGAGGCTATTGTACCAGGCTATTACCAAACAGTGTTTGTCGTGTTTTGTCATGTTTTGTCATGCATTGTATTTATGCTCCGTGTATTTCGGTATGAATTGATTCATCATCGTCATGGCCGAGGCGGATGGGAGAGGTATCTGAATGGTGGAGAAGAAATAGAGGGCGAGTATCAAGTACAAATACACAGAGTGAGAAGATTCGCCATGTAACGGTACAAAGTCGTCAGCGAGTTGAATCCGCCGCCAAGCAAACGCCAGCGAAAAGCCCGTCTATGCCATCGAGTCTACCAGTCCACACCCCCGTAACTGTTGTTGATCCGGTCGTTGTACGGAAAGAACCAGTTGCCCAGGCCAAAGTCGTCCGGCGGATCCATCATCAGCCACTGGTCGACCTGCTCCGCGCTGGTGTTGGCGTTGCTGGGGGTTTGACTCTCGCCGTTGCTGCTCATGGCCGCCGACGGCAGGTGGATGCCCGAGTCGACGTCACCACCGCCGCCGTCCACCATGGGTGCGTTGCGTCCCAGTCCTGACGCGCCCGATGCGGCGTGTGCCAGATCGCCGAACGTGGCGGTGCCCAGCTCGGCCATGCCCACAAACTGCAATGGGCCCGTGACGGCGGTGCCGGCGGTGCCGGCGGTGCCGGCGCCGGTGCTGGTCAAGCCGGCAAAGGCCGTGTTGGACAGGCTGCTCATGCCGCTGGACACGTTGAGTTTGTAGGGGTGGATGGTGCTGTTGCTGCTGTTATCGTTGTAGCTGGTATTCCTTGTGTTGGCTGCGAGGGCTGGTGTGACCGCCGTCGACGTCGCCACCGCGTCCAGCTCGTCCACCGCGTCCAGCTCGTCGCCCGTGTGGCTGCCGCCGAGGACGGCGTCGTCCGGCAGGGCCGCGCCGCGCCGCGCCGCCAGGGCCTTGAGCGTGTTGATGGTGCGCGTGGACGCCGTCTGGGCCGCGGCGACAATGACCTGGCGCACGGGCCGGCCCTGCAGCAGCGCGTCGGCCTGGGCCAGGGCGCCGCGGAAGAAGAGGTAGCCCTTGACGTTGGTCTCGCCGGCCTCGAGGCGCGCGTGCGCGAGGTCGATGAGGGCGCGCACGGTGTCGTAGAGCTCGCGCTGCGACAGCGTCAGGTCGGCGGCGGCGCCGGGCCCGTCGTCCTCCTGCTCCTGCAGCTGGTGGATCAGCTCGATGACGGCCGTGGCCGTGATGTCGACCAGCGTGCACTTGAGCATGCCGCGGCCGACGAGCCAGAGCCGGCGGCAGGGGTCGGCGGCGGCGGCGGGCTGCAGCAGCGCCAGGGGGATGCCGCTGGCCGGCTCGGTGGCGCTGGGCCCGTCGCTGGCCAGGGGCGACGTCGGCGCGGGCCCCCGCCGGAAAAAGGACAGCAGCCGCAGCACCGTCTCGATGCGGGCGCGCCGCGAGTAAAAGAACTGCACGTTGTTGCCGGCCTTGCGCGCAAACGGCGAGTGCAGCGCGTGGTGGAAGCGCCGCGTCAGAATCTCGTAAAAGGCGATGCGCAGCCGGGCGAACGCGGCGCGCTCGGCCTCCTCCCGAGTACCGGAGCCGGCTGGTCGTCGCCACATCAAGGGGGCGGCGCGCAAGGCCGTCGCCGCGTAGCGGCACGCCTCCAGCAGATCGGCACTCAGCTGCAGCGCGCGCTCGTACGTCAGCCCCGCGCCCAGGCCGTTGAGGGCCCTGGCGATGCGCAGGCGGACGGGCAGCGAGCGGTACAGCAGGCGCTGCATGCTCGTCTGCGTGAAGACCGTGTCGGGGTGGCCCTGGCCCTGGCCCTGGCCCTGGCCCTGGCGCGGTGCCGGGGCGCATGGCTCGCCACGGTGCAGCAGACCGTCGCGGTCGCGGTCGAGGTGTGCACTCTCCTGTCCATCATTTGTGTCGGCACCCGGTCCGCCCTTGCGCTTCTTGCTCGCCCCGGACCCCGTCGTCCCGTACCCCGGCATGGCCACGCCGTGGATCGGCAGGTCCACCGTGAGGTGGTCGTATGCAGCCGCCGCCGTGTCCACATCCACGCCAAACGCGTCGTCGTCGAGGTTCGCGGGCGGCGCGCAGTCGTAGTCGTCGGCGCCGACGAGGGGCGGCATGCCCTGGTCGAGGCTGGCGTGGACGACGAGCTCCAAGATGGTGGCCCAGAGCCGGCGGCGCATCTCGGCCTGCGCCAGCGACAGCGACCGGAAGTGCGACGGGTCGCGGTTGAGGCCCATGCCAAAGGCGGCGTGCAGCAGGCCGCCCGTCGTGAACCAGGTGAGGTCGTCGCCGAGGTCGAGCGCGGTGGTCTGGCGCGCCAGCGTGACGAGGCAGTAGATCTGCAGCGTGTCCATGGTCAGGCGGTGCTTGTCGAGCGGCGAGCAGTGCGTCGCCTCCATGCGCTGCACGGCGCGCGTGGCGGCCATGCGCAGGCGGCGGTGGACGGCTGCTGCTGCGGCCGCGGCTGTCGTGGCTGTCGTGCCCGCAGGCCGGGTGCTGCCGCTGTCTGGGCTGCCCTCCGCGCCCACCCCGTCGTCCGTGTCGCCGTCGTAGAAGCAGCTGCCCAGGGCCAGCACGAGCAGCAGCTTGACCATAAAGTCGGCCGACGGCTCGTTTTGCTGTCGTTGGTTTCGTTGGTGTCGTTCGTCTCGTCCCTCGTCCCGGTCGCGCGCCGCCAGAAACGCCTCGTACTCCCGCCGGAACGTGGGCATGTGCAGGATGCGGAACTGCGGCTCAAACACGTCAAAGTACAGCGCCACCAGCCGGTCGGCCACCGCGCGCGGCGGCACCGCCAGCCACAGGGCATCCCCCCGCTCGGACGCGGCGGCAATCTGCGCGCGCTCGTCCGCCTTGATGACGCGCGCGATGCGCTTGCACATGCGCAGCGACTGGTAGATGACGGAGCCCGGGACAAAGTGCACGAGGTGCGTGAGGCTGTGCATGTCCTTGAACTCGTCCATGTTGTTCATCCAGTGCGAGCGGCCAAACAGGCGCGTCTTGGCCAGGCGGCCGCCGAACCGAGACGACCGCTCGCCCAGCGAGACCATGGTGTTGGTCAGCTCGGCGCCGGGGGCCACCTCGTCGTCGTCGTCGTCGAGCGGCGAGGTCGTTTTTGGGGGGGTGTCCCCGGAGACGGAGCCTGCTCGGCCAGCTCGGCCAGCGCCTGACTCTGTCCTAGTCCTATTCCCATTCCCTGCAGCAGTCCCTGTCCCTTCCCCCGATCCTCCGCCCCCCGCACCGCCCGCGCCAGGGCTGACGGGCGTGCGCAGCGGCCGGCCGTACGGCGGCGGCACCGACCCCGTGACGTAGACGCACTCGACACGGTGCAGCGCGCACTGGCCGCAGGGCGTCTTGCGGTCGCAGGCAATCTTGCGGCGCCGGCACTCGGCACAGACGACGGCCGGGCGGCGGCGTTTGCGCGCAGGCCGCGGCGGCGTGCTCGTGACGTCGGACATGCGTGTGTGAGAGGGGGCGCGTGGGCGCACGTGGTGAGGGTGTGAAGGTGTATTTTGTATCTTGTGCTGTCGTCGTTTGTCAAGGCAAACGTTCCGGTTGGATCTGTGTCTCGTTCAGTGGCGGGTTGGCAGAGAACAAGAAAAAAAGAGTCAGCGCGGACATGTTCGGCCGACGCGCAAGAATGTCAGAAGAAGGGCGCGCTGCAGTTCCGAGTTGTCGGTTGCTTTCTCTTGTTTCCTGTTTCTTTAGTTACGTTTTTCTGTATCTTCAAGCAGCTTCCTCTTTCTCCTGCTCCTTTCTCTCTTGCCGTTTCGATTCCTTCCTTTTGCTTTCCTTCTTCGCTCCTTCCTTTTCTTGTCGTGAATCGGTAATCCCCGTCTCCGTCGGAGGAAAGAAGTGCCTGAAAACGGTGACGAGTAGATTCCAGGCACCAGCCGCAGCGCCTTACAGGGCCAATGCCGCTATACAAGACGAATTCCAGGCCATTTTCGCCCAGAGAAAAACAACCAGTCGGCGTCGGGTTTAATTACAGCGCTTATCTGATGATCTGATAGCGGATGGTCTCCATCACTGTACGAATCGTACGCTATCGCGCGCTGTCATTGGTGTCGCATATCTGGTCGACCGACGCCGATGACGGACCCCTTCGGTTCTGTTTACCGCTTCTGCCTGTAGTGGTGTGAAGCGGCTTCTGTCGGATGGCATCTACAAAGGCGCAGCTCACTCAGCAGTTGCCGTTGCATTGGCAGCCCTTTGGCAGCCCTTGTTCGGAAACCGAGGGAAAGAGACCTTTGCACGACATGCTTGTTGTCATAAATGCAGACAAACTGCACAATAACGTGGTGTTGCGTATGCTTACGTTTTGCGTCGGAAAGCGGAGGAATCCTGCCCGCCGAACAAGGACCTCCATGGAACGCCGTGGAGGTAACCCCAGAGAAGGCAGGACGAGCCGAAAAGAGCCGAAACGAGTCCCACAGGCAAAGTGAATGGGAATGAGTCAGGGAAGATGGAAAGCGGTGACGGAATGTGGACGATGTGGCGATGTGGACCGAGGGCTTCACGAAGAGGGCGCGAGAGCACGTGGATGGAAGGAGTACTGGGAAGCCAACCGATGTGTGTTGTGCCGTAGTAAATGGACGATTGAGTGATTTATTGCAGTAGTTTAAGAGAATAATTTCGCTGAGTTTATTTTATATGCATTGGTTGTTATGTTTTTTTTTATGTTTTGTTTTATGTTTTATGTTTTTTATGACTCTTTTTCACACGTTTCATATTTCACAGGTCTCGATCATGCACGTTTTCATAACAAAATGAGTTTGAATTCATAATCGATATACTTCATAATTTCAAATTAAAAAGTGGCATGTAAACATGAAAATAAATATATCACATCCAACTCATAGTATAGTTATGTCCTCGTTGAACCACCTCACCACTCCTGACCGCCACAACGGCCCAACTGGAAAGCATGGCGTCACATTGTCGATGTCGGATCTCATGTAAATCGACTTTGACTCGGATAGCATGCTTGGGGCCGTGCCCGCTTCAGTTTTATGTCGTCCTTTATTAATAAGTTCTATTATTGCACGCACTTCCTTTACGCCATTCTCTCTTCCGATTGATGGATAAATAACAGTTTCCACTAGGCGCCAGAATGGAGGTAATTCATATGAGCAGGGATCGTCGACGTTTTGGGCCAGACTACCATGTTTGTGCCGAGACTGCCTTTTGGCTAAATGCAAGTCTACGACATACAAGCGCCTTGCCAATAGTGAGACTATGGGCTGCATTGACACAGTGACAACAAGACACAGACAACTGCAGACGACGGCCATGTTCCTCCGCTGCCAAGCAGTCGTGGGCCGGCATTGTGACGATAATCAACAAAACTACGAACGCCATCCGCGACGATCGTTTCCTCGTTTCCCTCCCACGATGAGACGGTCGCAGTGGCCGTCTTGGCCTCTTGGCCTCTTGGCCTCGTGAGTGCGCGCCGACGTGCCGTTGACCGTGATATTCGTGGCATTCGTGGCATTCGTGGCATTCGTGGCTTTCATGGTGGGCATGCGATGCAGAGGTGAACCGAGCGTCCCCTCCCCGGGACGGGCTGGCCGGGATGGATATTGAGGTACGGAGTACAGATGAAGGGGGAGACAAGCGAGGTGCGTGTATTAATTAATACAACGGGTCGAGCTCTCCTGGTTTTCGTTTTCTTGCTCTATTTGTTTCCGCTCTGCCTCCACCCGAGCACTCAAGGCTGCGTATCTTCTACGTGCGTCTCGCCACGCACCTCGACGCTCCTGTGATCATCACGCCGCCACCTGCTCGGATCGACAGCACCGACCCGACCATGCTTCGTCGACGCATCTGCACGACATTGGCCGTGCTGGCCACCACGGCCGCCCACGTCGCCGCACTCGGCCAGCAGCGCATCATCGCCTTCAACAACTCCGTCGCCGGCAGTCTGCAGCTGGCCGGTGGCGCCGCCGCGGCATCGTCGCCCGGCCGGATCCTGGTCTCGTCCAACGACTACTGGGGCGTCATCCGCGCGGCCGGCGACCTGGCGGTCGACTTTGGCCGCGTCACCGGCACCAACCTGACGCTGTCCAACGGCGCGGCCGGCGCGGCGCCGGCCTCCTACACCTACCACCCCGTCAACAACAAGAACAACACGGTGTACAGCACGACGGGGACGGCCAGCTTCGCGGGCCCCGCGTACGCCGCGCCGGCCAATGCCAGCACCGTGATTGTGGCCGGCACGCTGGGTCACTCGGCCGTGGTGGACGCGCTGGCGGCGGCCGGCCTGCTGGGCGACCTGGCGCCCGTCGCCCGTGGCCAGTGGGAGGCGTTTGTCAGCGTCGTGGCCGACGTGTCGTCGGTGGTGCCGGGAGCCGGCCGCGCGCTCGTGATTGCCGGCAGCGACCCGCGCGGCACCATCTACGGGCTGTACGACGTCAGCGAGCAGATGGGCGTGTCGCCGTGGTACTTTTGGGCGGACGTGGCCGTGGCGCAGGGGCCGGCAACGGGCGGCATCTTTGCGCTGCCCACGCGCAAGGTCCAGGCGTCGCCGTCCGTGCGCTACCGCGGCCTGTTTCTCAACGACGAGCAGCCGGCGCTCACGGACTGGGTGGCCACGCGCTGGGCCGACACGGGCGTCGCTGCGGGCACCGCCGGCTTTGGCGCCGCGTTCTACGCGCTCGTCTTTGAGCTGCTGCTGCGCCTGCGCGCCAACTACCTGTGGCCGGCCGTCTGGGCGACCATGTTCGAGGTCGACGACCCGGCGAGCCAGCCGCTGGCCGACGCCTTTGAGATTGTGCTGGGCAGCTCGCACACGGAGCCGATGATGCGCGCGCAGAACGAGTTTGGCGCCTTCTACACGGCGGCCGGCGCCGGGCCCTGGGCGTACAACCTCAACAACCAGACCATCGACGCCTACTTCCGCTACGGCGTGCAGCGGGCCGCGCCGTACGCGCGCAACGCGCTGTGGACCCTGGGCATGCGCGGCACCGGCGACACGGCCATCGAGGGCCTGGGCACCGCCAGCATCGTGGCCATGCTCAGCACGCTGGTCGCCCACCAGCGGCAGATTCTCGCCGACGGCCTTGACGCCGACGTCCGCGACGTGCCGCAGATGTGGTGCCTCTACAAGGAGGTGCAGTCGTACGTCTTTGCGGGCCTCGCCGTGCCCGACGACGTCACGCTGCTGTGGTCCGACGACAACTGGGGCAACGTGCGCCGGCTGCCGCGCGCGTCCGAGCAGCGCCGCGCGGGCGGCGCCGGCGTCTACTACCACTTCGACTACGTCGGCGACCCGCGCGACTACAAGTGGATCAACACCGTGCAGCTGGCCAAGACGGCCGAGCAGCTCGGGCTGGCCTTTGCGCGCGGCGCCGACCGCATCTGGGTCGCCAACGTCGGCGACCTCAAGGGCCTCGAGCTGCCCGTCAGCCACTTTTTCGACCTCGCGTACGACCAGCCGCGCTGGGGCTATGGGGGCAGCGGGGGTGCCGCCGCACGCCATAGCGCCGTCGGCGAGTGGACCGCGGCGTGGGCGCGGCGCGAGTTTGCGTCCGCCGACCCCGCGGCCGTCGCCAGCATCGTCGCCCGCTACAGCATGTACGCCAGCCGCCGCAAGTTTGAGCTCGTCGAGCCGCAGACGTACTCGGTGCTCCACTACGGCGAGGCCGACGCCGTGCTCGCGCAGTGGGCCGCCCTCGTGGACGACGCCCAGCAGGTGCACGACGGCCTCGCCGCCGCGGACCAGGCGGCCTTTTTCGAGACGGTGCTGCACCCCGTGCTCGCGGGCGCCCTCGTGCACCGCATCCACACGGCCGCCGCCACCAACGCCCTGTACGCCGGCCAGAAGCGCAACGCCGCCAACGCCGCCATCCAGACGCTGCTCGACGCCTCGGCCGCCGACGCCGACCTGACGCGCCGCTGGAACGCGCTGCTGGGCGGCAAGTGGGCGCACATGATGGACCAGACGCACCTCGGCTACGACGGCTACTGGCAGCAGCCCATGCGCAACACCCTGCCCGCCGTCACCTATGTGCAGACCGCCTTTGCCGCCCTCGCCGGCACCCTCGGCGTCGGCGTCGAGGGCGCCAACGCCACCGTCCCCGGCGACGACAAGTTCCACGCCAACTCGGGCAACACCCTCACCACGCCGCCGCTCGACCCCTTTGGCCCGCCCCGCCGCTACTTTGACGTCTTCTCGCGCGGCGTCGAGGCCTGTGCGTGGACCGCCGCCGCCAGCGTGCCGTGGGTGTCGCTGTCGCCGGCCGCCGGCACCGTCGGGGAGAACGGCAGCGACACGCGCGTCCACGTCTCGGTCCACGACTGGTCGCAGGTCGCCGCCTCCACCACCGTCCGCATCAACATCACCAGCGCCTGCCGCGGCCTCGACCGCTACGGCTTCAAGCCCGCCGCCGTCCTCGTGCCCGTCGTCGTCCGCCGCGTGCCCGCCGCCTTTGCGCGCGGCTTTGTCGAGTCCGACGGCACCGTGGCCATCGACGGCGCGCATTACCAGCGCATTGTGCCGGCGCCGGCGGGGCCCAACGTCACCTACCACACCTTCCGCGACTACGGCCGCACCAGCAGCGGCGTCGGCCTCTGGCCCCTGACCACCGAGAAGCTGACCGCCGCCACCGCCCCCGCCCTCGAGTACGCCCTGTACCTCTTTGCCAACACCACCGCCAACGTCACCGTCTACCTCTCGCCGTCGCAAAATTACCTCGGCGACGACATTCCCCTCGAGTACACCATCGCCCTGTACCCGTCGTCGTCATCGCCACCCCCAGCGCCCGTCCATGTCCAGCCCGTCGGCCCCTCCATCGGCGCCGACATGCCCGCCGGCTGGGGCGCCGCCGCCGGCGACAGCGTCTGGGGCCTGACCGGCAACCACACCACCACCTCGTTTGCACTCGCGTCCACGCCCCAGGCGTACACGCTCCGCATCCAGGCCCTGCTGCCCAGCGTCGTCGTCCAGAAGATTGTCGTCGACACCGGCGGCGTCCGGCCGTCCTACCTGGGCCCGCCCGAGAGTTTCTTTGTCGGCCGCGACCACATCGGCACCTACAATGCCACGACGTTTGCCGACACGCCGGGCACGCTGGGCGGCACGGCCACCACGAACTGTGAACAGGTGTATAGGGCGTGAACGAGGGAACGAAGAAAGGGGGAAACACTGTAATGTAAATAGGAATCAAAATGAAGGACAAACAATGAAGTGACACACAGCACATCGATGCGGACGTGTCGTCGGCGTGAGAGTAGCAAGACATCCAATACAAATACTACAACGGCTCCAATGTATGCAGGCCAATCTAAATCAAAAACACTGCACAATACATGCAAGCAGGAAAGGAAAACAAGGCCAACGCCAACGCGCAACTGGCTTTTGAACGTCTCGCGAAATTTGTGACACGTGGTCCGTCTTTGTCTCGTCTTATGTCGTGACGACATCCAACCGCCCAGCGTCTTATGCCTCTATAGAGTCCGCCTCGGTCTCGGCTGCCGCCACAGTGTCCGCCTCCGCTTCGCCCGCCTCCGCTTCGCCCGCCTCCACCAGCACGCTGTCCCGCGGCGGAAAGTGCGAGAACATGAGCACCGCCATGGCCACCACGGCCAGCGCGCCGTTGCAGTAAAACGTCAGCTGCGCCTGCCCCACGTCGGCCAGCGCCGCGAAGACGTAGCCAAACAGGCCCAGCGTCGCCAGCCGCGCCATGTTTTCCACGAGCGTAATGGCGTTGAGCGCGTCCGCCCGCTGCGACGACGGGCACATGGTCGTGATGACGCCCTTGGCCGCCGGCGCCGAGCCGGACCCAAACGGCAGCAGCACCGTGATCAGGTACATGTGCCACGGCTGCGTGCCCAGCGCGGCGCCCGCCGTGATGATGCCGTCCACCAGCAGGCTCCACCGCAGAAAGAAGAGGTCAAACGCGTACGCGGCCTTTTCGTCGTCGGCGGCGGCCGTCGCGGCGTCCTCGGCGTCGTCGCCGTCGTCGCCGTGGGCCAGAGGACTGGACTCGCCCGTGGGCACCGTCACCAAGATCGGCTCTTCCTCGACGAGCGTGGCGTTGGGGGCGTCAAACTGCTCGGGTTGCGTGGGGATGTCGGGGATGACGGGGGTGGCGACGGCTGTGGCGGCCGCGCTGTTGCTGCTGCTGCTGCTGCTGCTGCTCGACGGGGACGTGGCTGTCGCGCCATAGGATTTGACGGTTGCTTTGGGCGTCTTGGCGGTTGTGGACACGGTCGCAGACGATGATGACGACGACGACGACAGCCGGCGGTTCGTCCGCTTGGCCCTGCGCTCCTCACGGGCCCGACGTGCAAACCAGGCGCGGCCGGCATCGATGATGCGCGGGAAGATCAAGACGAGGAAAAAGGCACGCATAAAGGCGTTGCCCGACATGAGCCAGCCGTTGTTGGTCTGGTCAAAGTCGAACGTGGCCGTCGCGTACATCTGCAGGAGCATCGGCGCGTATCCGGTGGCGAGCTGGGCACGTTAGTAACAGTGGTTTGTCGGACGGGACAAGAGACGAGGAACGGAGAGACGAGGAGAGAAGGACGTACGACACCCAGGAATTCACCGCAGCAGAGAAAGAAGATGCCGTAGTGGCTGGCCACGCGGCCCGCGCGGAGACGGATTTTTTGCGGCAGCATGACCTTGAGCGGCTCCAGGAACCCGGCCAGGCCGCCGGGCCGGTTCGTCTTGGCGCCGGGTCCGCTCAGCGACTCGGGCGAGATGTACGGCATGGCGTAGTGCGCAAAGGCGCTCGCAAACAGAAACAGGAAAAAGGCCGTCTGGAAGGGCCGCACGATGCCAAACGTGTCGCCCACCACGCCGCCCAGCAGCAGCCCGATGGCCATGCCCAGCATGATGACGCCCTGCAGCTTGCCAAACAGCGCCGTCCGCTCAATGGGCGCGACGACCTCGCCGGCAATGGTGTTGACCACCAGGATGTAGCCCGCGGGCCCGCCCAGCACCGTGATGATCTGCGTCACCTGGAAGATCCAGATGCCGGCCTGCCCGCCCGCGTAGACGCCGACGACCTGCGTCGCCACGCGCAGGGCCGGGATCGACGTCTGCAGGACCAGGGCGGCGCGCGGGCCCAGGCGCTTGACCTGCCGGCCCGAGATGAAGAGGTTCCACGTGCCACAAAAGGTGGTGCTGATGCCCAGCAGGCTGACCTGCCGCGCCGTGCCCGCGGTGATCTCGTTGCGGCTGCAGCGGTCGCCGGGGCCCGTGAATGGCGGGTGGTTGCTGTAGAACACGTCGCACTCCATGAGGCGGAACGCATAGAAGATGGTCACCTGCGTGAAGCTGAAGCTCAGCGAGATGATGAAGCCGACGAGCAGCACGCGGTTGGCCGGGCTCCAGAGCGACGCCAGCCAGCTCGTTTTCGGGGTGGCCGTGACGGCGTCGACGCCATCTTTGGAGAGCGGCCGGGAGAGCGTGGCGTCGGCGTCGACGGGCGTTGCTGCGGCCGAGGTGTTGGCGGTGACGGTGGTCGCCGTCGATGCTGTCGAGAGCAGCGGTGTCCGTTCACTGGCGGCCATGGCGCGGAAAGTGCGGATAGATGAATCCTGTCTTCTGGGTTGACCTGTGAGGAAGGAACCATCCAGTGCGGGACGTCCCAAAAGCGAAGGTGGGATACGACGTGCGTAGCCGGGAAGGAGCGAGCGGATGCCGGCCAAAGTGGACAAACGAGGAAAGAGGAAGGTGCAGCGACGAACGACGAAGTAGATGAGGCAGGCGCGAAGGGAAACAAAAAAGAGCAGGTAGAAACAACGGTAGAAACAATGGTAAAACAATGGTAAAAACAAATCGTCACTTGGCCTCGTGCTGCCGTTCAGGAAGAAGAGTTTCCCTGGGTCAAACTTTCACAACGGCCTGCCGTGCCAGATAGGAAATAGTGAGGTCTGTACGAGGAAAGCGAGACGTTGGGCCAAATGCTGCACCGCAAAATACGACAGAAAAATCAGCAGACTAAGGGGAGACGTGACGAAAGAGGAAAGTGTTTTAATGAGGCTGACGAAGTCAGACCGTTCCCTTCCCCACGGCACTAAATGCTAGTTTTGTTTGGCTGTTGAGCCTCTTCGTTCGGCGTGGTGATGTGCCTCCGGCGCTGCAGTGGCGAGATGCTGACCGCAAGAAACAGGAGGAGAGATGGGAGGAGGAGAGATGTTGGGGAACAGAATGACGGGAAAACAATTGACAGGGACCTACTACCCTTCTTCTATGTCGTACTTGTTCACGGCGAGCTACAGTCCCTTAGTAATTGGGACGAACGGCTCTCTCACCGTTCGCGGAGGCTCGTACTATGCACAATCCTCTCGGAAAGGCGCAATCGGCAGCGGGAAGCCAAGGCGAGAAGGGAGACAAGCGACAGCCGTGTGTGGAAAAGCTAATCAGATTGCACGTTTGCAGAGTTGGCTGCTTTGCTTTGTCAACCGCTGGGAGGATGGGGGTGGCAGCTGCGGGGGCCACCCGTCGTCCCTCCGCGGACTTTTACTGTATCTCCACTCCCCGGCCGCCATCGGCGCGATGCAGCAAAGCAAGGAGTAGCCCTGGCGTATGATTTGGTGCATGGAGCCCGAGCCGATGCCCTGTATTAATGCTCCGTAGTGGTTGGCTGTATTAGACGACGGCAGGCTATCGCGCCAGCGACATTAATCATCAACAGGCGTAAATGCAGTGCAGCGCGCAGCCATTGTGCCAAAAGAAGATACAGCATACGTAGACTCTGAGGACCGTCGTCTTGTCCAGATCCCTGCGTGGCTAGGCGGTCCCTCTGCAGATGACGAAATGCGTGGTGCACAATTTGGAGCTGCAATGCCGCCATCCGATGCACTGTGGCTATCGAAGCTGTTTGATCAGGGCAGAGCAGGTCCGGACGGACGAGTCTTATTCTGTTGGTCAATTCCGAACCGGAAAGAAAACATAACGAAAGTCTCCCATTCGTCGTCGCTGCTCATTGTGTCCTCTGCTCGAGAGGCCCATTACGCCCTTATTCGTTTTCACGTAAGCCGGACAACAGTTGTCCCCGTCGAGCCGCCTTGCTCTCTTTGTTCTGCCAAGTCCAAAATAAGGTGCCGCTCGGACGCCGGCAATCGGGACTCCTCCGTGCCGATGGCAGATCTCGCGAATCATGGTTGCGGCGTACATGTAATTACTCTGTGCATGAGTCCCTGTGCGATGTAAGGGCCATGAAGAGGCACACGACCTCGGCCAGAGAGGAGAGCATGAGCACAGGAGGCATCGTCTACTGGTTGGCTCGGTGCTATTAATAAATGCGTAGGGCGACCGCGCAGGGTTTAATTAAACCGCAATTTAAATCTGCCGGACAATGGTACCTGGTCCATTCAGCAGCTGCCGCATCAAGCAGGTGCCTGAACCGGAAAGTGGCAAACAAGACTGCAACCAGCAATGCGGCGTCAAGTGCTACAGCGTACGCCGCGTGAATACCGTTGTGACAATCCAGAATCAAAGCAACTCAAGGCGAGAGACACCCTCGAGGCTGCGTGTCTGAACGTGTCTCGTGTAGGCTGTACAAATGTCATTCTCGAACACCCTCACATTCCCATCCTCTGCGAGCAGTTTTCCCTCGAGGCATTTATCAAGACCCTGACGCACAAACGCACAACTACGTATGGGAAAGAAAGAAGAAAGGCAGGTCCACATTCGTCTAAAACAGCGACCGTTCGCACTCTGTAGGGCACAACATACCCGCCGTTTTCTTTCCCGTTTTTACATTTGGACAGTTGTGAAACAACGACGGGAAAGGAGCCTCTCTCCGCAGCTCCCAAAACAACAGTATTGATCCGACATGTGATGTCCACCACTGTCGTTGACGGCCTTGTCTTGCTTGATCCCTGTTGACCGCCAACCAGACTTGGTGGTCCGCCCTATCAACGTCCAACTACTCACAGACATCCAACAGTATCTCATTTCTCGTCCCCGGCGATCTGCTCTTGGAGGGGAAGGTGACTAAACCAGCGCGTGGTCTGCCGTGCGCCTCAGTGTAAAGGCCGATCCCTGCCCTATAAATCTTGCTAGTACATTCTCTTCAGAGAAAGAGAAAGATTGCAGGGAGAAGCATCGTGTCGTTGTACAACGCAGGACATCCTCTCTCGCACAACTGTCTCCCATCTCCATGTTTTGCGATGACGGCGGATACATCGTACACTGAAGTACTCAGACAGACCTTGCCGGCCAGATGTTCTTCGTAGTCTGCCGTCCACCGCATGTGGGCTGGACCGAGACCTGTGTTTGACTGTGACGGCAAATCTCAAACAGCCCTGCCATTTCGTGCTAGTCCACCCACAGCTGGCCAATTGCGTGTTATCTTTGGATGCGCTACCACGGGACGCCACGCACATCGTAGATGGAAGGTGCGCACAAGGCAAGACACGCAAGAGGGAAAACGACTGAACGGGCACAAGAGGAAAGAGGAAAGAGGAAAGGAAGGACATGGATGGACCCTGGGGAAGCGACGATCCACGGCCACCTGCCCTTTTTTGTCCCCGGCTGTCGTTGGCACAACGTCCCATCTGCGACGCCGGTCACAACCAACACCAACCGTACTGGCCATCGTGCGGGTCTCGTCCATCGACTTCTTCTGTACGGGCCACTCGTTCAGTTTCTTCTCGGCCTGCGCGGCCTGTTTCTTATAATACAAGATGCGAGTCCTCTTTCTGGTTACTCGACATCGTTCTTTCCCATTTTGTTGACTCGAGTCGCTCTTTCCGTCGTTGGTCCGTTGCTCCTTCCGTCTCGCAAACTTGTCCAGGCACAAACATTTGTTGTGATCGTACCTTCCTAGTTTTGCGATTGTTCGATTCGAGCCTGTGTTTACCACTCTGTTTGCATCTATTCTCAGGGCATCTATTCTCAGGGGATTTTTGGTCGTCTTTCCCCCTTTATCTCTCATCTTCCATCCAAACGCATCTTCCACCGAAACAATATTTTGTGTTCACACTTTTTGGAACTTAGAATACAGATCCACATCAACACTCGCACATACACTCCCACTCTCTATACCACCCGTTGTCACGATGAAGTTGGCCTCCTCCGCGGCAGCCCTCGTGCTCGCCAGCGCCTCTTCCGTCGCCGGCATCCGTCACCATGGCCACTTGAAGCCGCCACCGCTGCCTCTCGACAACCTCACTACCAGAGACACCAACACGGACCATGTGATGCCCGCCCGCAAGATCCGCGGCACCAACAACTTCTGGCAGTCTTCGTCCTCGGCCTCGCCGCCTGCCCTGAAGAACTCCCCGGTCTCCTTTGCCGCGAACGCCAACATTGGTGTGAGCTTCTTCCAACAGCAGGTGGACCACAACGACCCAGCCCTGGGCACCTTTGGCCAGCGCTTCTGGTACAGCACCGAGTTCTGGACCGGCCCCGGCGCCCCCGTCGTTCTCTTCACGCCTGGCGAGTCGGCTGCCGAGGATTATACGGGATATCTGACGAACCGCACTCTCACGGGCCAGTTTGCCCAGGCCATTGGCGGCGCTGTCGTCATGTTCGAGCATCGGTATTGGGGCGAGAGCTCGCCGTTCGACAACCTGACCACCAGGAACCTGCAGTACCTCACCCTGGCCAACAGCATTGCCGACGCGACCAACTTTGCGCGCAACGTGAAGCTTCCCTTTGACAATTCCACCCGCAGCAACGCCCTCCACGCTCCTTGGGTCCTGTCCGGCGGCAGCTACTCGGGCGCCCTGACCGCCTGGGTCGAGCACGTCGATCCCGGCACCTTTTGGGCCTACCACGCGAGCAGTGCCGTTGTCGAGTCTATCGGCAACTTCTGGCAGTACTTTGAGCCGGTCCGCGAGGGCCTGCCCAAGAACTGCAGCGCCGATGTCGAGCTCGTCATTGATCACATTGACTCGGTGCTGACCGGCGGGTCAGCCGCCGACGTGAAGGCGCTCAAGGACAAATTCGGTCTGGGCGGCGTTGCGCACAATGATGACTTTGCCAGGTGGGTAACATTCAGAAATCGCAACTTACAATCTACAGCTCGCAATCCACTACCACCACGTAACTAACATACGCAGTGTCCTTACTGGCGGCCCAGGGGCGTGGCAAAACCATGACTTTGACTCGGGCTACTCGACTGTTTACCAATTCTGCGACTACGTTGAGGTACGTCTCGCCGTCCTTTGCAATCTGCCATCTCCCTCACGCGTACCACTAACAACGTCTCAGAATGCGGTTCCCGGCGTGTTCAACTCATCACGCAAGCCCGACGCCTTTCCCAGCGCATCTGGCGTGGGTCTGAAGAAGGCGCTCAATGGCTATGCCAAGTTTGTCAAAGACCAGCTGCTTCCCGGCTACTGCGAGAGCTTTGGTCCTGCATTCCAGGGCAAGCTGAACTTGGACTGTATGGACAGCCACAACGCCTCGAACCCAATCTACCTGGACACGAGCGTCGACAATGCGATTGACCGCCAGTGGACGTGGCTGCTTTGCAACGAGCCGTTTATGTACTGGCAGACCGGCGCCCCCAAGGGCACACCGACGCTGGTCTCTCGCCTTGTCGATTTTGATTACATGCAGGCCCAATGTGCCCTCTACTTCCCCGATGACGACGGCTACACCTTTGGCTCCAGCTCGCGTATTGGCAAAACCCCCGACGATGTCAACGAGTACGACGGGGGCTGGTCGGTCACCAACACAACCCGCCTCATCTGGGCCAACGGCGAGTTCGACCCTTGGCGGGACGCCACAGTGTCGTCGGACTTCCGCCCTGGTGGACCTCTGGTGTCGACACCCGAAGCGCCCGTGAATGTCATCCCCGGTGGCATCCACTGCAGCGATCTGATCTATGCCAATGCGTTGGTCAACGAGGGCGTCATGGCCGTTGTGAAGGACGAGATTGCCACGATCAAGGGCTGGGTCGACGAGTTTTACAAGAGCAACCGCAAGCGTGGCAGCCAGTAAGGGACAAAGAGGCCGACGACTTGCTTTCAAATGAGCATTTACTTCGTTTTTTTTCATGTTTCTTTTCGCCTGTCATGTCTTATTTCCATTTCTTCGCCTCTTCTTGCACATATATTTTGGCGCCACTTGGACGGCTCGTCATGGATAAAATAAACGTTCATTCTGTACATAGTTTTTGGGCTTCTTTTGGATTATACAATCACCAACTTTTCAGTTCGTTTGTCCCACATTGGGCCCATTTGCTACTCTCCCTGGCTCGGTATCACATAGCGGCGTGATCTTGCCTCTGCGCAGCTCCTCGGCTGCTTGTGCCGAGACCTCTGCCCATCTTTCCCGAGTATCGGCCTCGGCGTCAAAGGCATACAGCCACCGGTTGCGGATCTTGATGGACTCCGGGTCGATTTCCACACCTTCGTCGATGTTCTTGAGCGCATTGTGCCATCGGTCACGAAGGTCCTCGCCATTGGTCTGGCTCTGGCGCACGCGATCGAACCGCAGCTTCTCGTACGTTCGCGTGGCCAGCGCGACGTCGCCTTGGGCCAGCGACAGGCACACCGCCAGCACGCCCGCGCTCTCCGTGGCCTGGCTGGCCCCCTGGGCACTCGTCGGAAGATGCGCGTGGCAGCTGTCGCCCAGCAACGCGATCTGGTGCGACTGCGCAGACACCCACGTCGGCAGCGGGTCGCGATAGCAGATGATCCAATCCAGACACGCGTCTGTGGCCTCGACGGCCGCCCGGATTCGGGGGTCCAGGTCCGCCACGCACCGCCGCACCTCGTCCATATTGCCCGGCTGGAACCACGACTCGCCCGCCAGCATCTCTGCCTCTCTCTGTCTCGTCGGGATCTTGCGCGTCACGATCCAGTTGAACTCGGCGCCGTCCCGCAGCGTGTTCTGCACCAGATGCGTGTCCGGCCCGATCCAAATGTTGACGCAGTCGTGGTCCACAAACTGGCGGCATCCTTCGTCGTCGATGGATGCCAAGAGATCGCCTGGAATGTAGGCCCGGAAGCATGCGTACCCGCTGCTGCGAGGCGCGTCCGCAAACCCCAGCACCAGCTCCCGCGCCCGCGACTTGATGCCGTCGGCGCCCACCACGAGATCGGCGTCGTCCGTTGTGCCGTTGGCGAAATGGACAACCACTCGTTTTCTGGTCCTCCCGTCGGTCGCATCAGTCGCATCAGTCGCGTTGGTCGCGCCGGGTCTCGAGGCTGGCTCTGGCTCCTCGTACGCCACCACTTCCCTCCCCATCGTCAACGGGATGCCCGCCGCCCGCACGCCCGCCAGAAACGCCTCGTGGTAGTCGCCCCGGTGCCCAATGCGCCCGGCCATGTCCATCAGCGGCTGCGTCGCCAGCACCTGTCCGTCCTGCCACCGCCGGATCTGCATCGTCTCTGAGCTGTTGCCAATCGACGTCAACGTGTCGTGGAGATCGTCCGTCGCCTGCCACCGCTTCAAGAGCTTGAGTGCGTTCTCGCCAAGGCCCAGCGAATCGCCTAGCCGCCGGAACGCGCGAATCTTTTCGTAGACGACAACGTCGTGGCCATGCTGGCGCATCGCGAGGGCGGCCGCACAGCCGCCCAGGCCAGCGCCGACAACAATGACTGTTCAAGACGGGGCTGTCAGTAGAGAAGAGAAGGAGGGAGAGGTGGCGAGCGGTACCTTTCATTTTATCCGAGGACATGGTAAGTTCCGAGCGTTGCGTTGTGAGCTTGATGCGGTGCTTTTCTGCCAAGCTTCCGTTGAGCAACCGCTATCCCAAGATTGCAACCTTGTCGCAGTTACTTATGTGATCTTGCTGTGGTGAATTCGTTGATATTTCTGTGTTCTCTGCACACATCACTTTAGGCAATGTCCAGCAATACCCGGGTCACCATTTCCTGTCCTTTTTCGCCTTTTACATATGTCCTCTACTAGATTCGTGGTTTCGTCTCCCGCTTCCATTCTTTTCCCCTGCTTCGCGAGGTGGCACAGCTGCACGACTTAACAATCGCAGCCGTCGGAACTTACCTCATTTGCCGAGCCATGGCACGACAGACATTCTCCACATCTCCCGTCTTTCCTTTCCCCTCTTACAGAAGGCCATTGGTGCCATTGCCTCTTCTGGCCATGTTTGACGTTTCTCATCGGGAGCGTCCCGCCGAATTCGAACTAACACAACCGGTTGCCCGTGGTCGACCGCATCCCCGAGTTTACCCCAAGATGCGGGGAAAACAAGGCACAGTCAAGGCGAACGCTCAGAAGCTCCACGCGCGTCAACATCCCGCCCATCTCCGGCTCGTTACAAAGAAAATGGTAATAAAGATGGCGCGCAGCGGCCAAGGCGCCGTCGAATTGCTCAAGTATATTTCCGTGAACTGCTCAAGGGGCCCGAAATGTGTCTATCCGCGACACGGACTTATATGATGAGAACGTTGCGAGATTCACAAAACTGTAGCTTGACAACTTGACAACCGACGACAGGGGCGCAGCCGAGTTAACCACAGCCAACCGTCAACAGCCGTATTCACATTCAGCATGTCTTCCGCAACCGCCAAGGTTGCCACCCTCGAGGAGGCGTACAGTGGCCCGCCGCCACGTCTGCAAGACGAAGCGACGGCCAAACGAGACCGCATCGCTGCGAGCCGAACGCTACCGGCGCGGTTCACACGGCGACGTGGTCTTCAACCACCACCCGGCATGTCGATCGACGCGTTTCTGGCAGCCGTTGCGGAACTGCGTGCCGAGCTCAAAGGCGGCGACGACCTCATCCAGGTCAACGACGAGGGCGTCGATCTCGTCGATGGCTGGTACCTCGACAAGCCGGCGTCGACACACGATGCGTTCCATGTGGCGGACCCAGAGGCGCTGGCCAGCAGCGCCGTCATCTTCCCGCGGACCACGGCCGACGTCCAGGCGATTGTGCGCTGGGCCAACCGGCACACGTCGACGTCCAAGGACGGGAAAGCCAGAGGCATCCCGCTGTATCCCATCTCCATGGGCCGCAACCTGGGCTACGGCGGCGCGGCACCGCGCATCCCCGGCGGCGTCGTCCTCGACCTCGGCCGCAACATGCACCAGATCTTGGACCTCGACGGCGGCAATGCTAGCTGCATCGTCGAGCCCGGCGTCTCGTACTTTGCGCTGTACGAGGCCGTCCAGCAGCTCAACGAGGCGAACAAGGGCACGCAGACACCACTGTGGATCGACTGCCCCGACCTCGGCGGCGGCTCTGTGCTCGGCAACGCCGTGGACCGCGGCGTCGGCTACACGCCCTACGGCGACCACTTTGGCAACCACTGCGGCATGGAGGTTGTGCTGCCCGACGGATCCCTGCTGCGCACGGGCATGGGCGCCCTGCCGGGTGCGTCGGATGCCGACGGCCAGGAGACGGACAACACGGCGTGGCAGTCGTTCCAGCACTCGTTTGGCCCGGCCGTCCACGGCCTGTTTTCGCAGAGCAGCCTGGGGATCGTCGTCAAGATGGGCTTCCACCTGATGCCCGCGCCGCCGGCTCACCAGTCGTACTGCCTGACGTTCCCGCGCGAAGTCGACTTTGCCGCGATTGTCGAGGTCATCCGCCCGCTCGCCCAGCAGGGCGTGCTCGGCAACATCCCGCAGCTGCGCCACGTCGTGCAAGAACTCAATGTGACCGGCCAGCCGCGCGCCACGTTCCGCCAGGGCACCACAGAAGCCGATGGGCCGCTGACGGCCGACGAGGTGCACGCTGCCGCCGCCAAGCTGCCACTCGGCGACTGCGCCTGGGTCTTTTACGGCACGCAGTACGGCGCGTCCGCCGACGCCCTGCAGGACCAGATTGCCGGCCTCCACCGGCGCTTCTTGGCCGCCATTCCGGGCACCCGCCTCGTGCTGCCCGACGAGGTGCCCGGCGACCACTACCTGCACGCGCGCGCCCTCGTGTGTGCCGGCGTCCCGGTCCTGCGCGAGCTCGACTGGCTCCACTGGGTGCCCAACGGCGCGCACTTGTTCTTCTCGCCGATTGCGCCGACGCGCGCCGCGGACGCCCGCGCGCTGCACGCGCTGATTTCGGAGCTGCACGCCGCGCACGGCTTCGACCTGTTCCCGACGCTCTGCGTGGCCGGCCGCGAGATGCACTACATTTCCAACATTGTGTACGACCGGGCGGACGCGGACGCCAAGCGGCGGGCGGTGCGGCTGATGCGGGCGATGATTGCGGCGTGCGCGGCGCGGGGTTTCGGCGAGTACCGGACGCATCTGCTGTTTGCCGACCAGGTGGCGCGGACGTACAGCTGGGGCGGGCAGGCGCTGCTGCGGCTGCACGAGACGATCAAGGACGCGCTGGACCCGCAGGGAGTGCTGGCGCCAGGACGCAACGGGATCTGGCCGGCGGCGTACCGGGGCGAAGGGTGGGAGCTGGGCGTCGACGACGTCGACCTGGACGTCATTCAGCCGAAGAACAAGCAGGCGTGACACTACATAACGTACAGTTCTGCCGAGTTTCTTTCGTCAAATGATATTAAAATGTAAGCTGAAAATGGCAGCAAAATGCTAGAGACGCCGTGGCGCTGTGCGCCAGATCTCGGAAATTAAGAACGATGAAAATAACCTGCGAAAAGATTGGCAAATGCCTCTTTAACAAACCAAACCAAACCCAAAACGCCGGCCAATGCATCCTGTACAAATACAAAATCAAAATGAGGAAGCAAAACAAACGACCGACTGGACACTGCCACATCAAACGCCACCCTCCTCAAGCGGTCAGATGGCCATCGCAAGCAGCCCCTCGTAGGCCCGCTCGACCGTCTCGGCGCCGACGCCCGGCACGTTGCGCAGCTGGGCCAGCGACGCAATGTGGTGGACCGGCGTGGCGGACCGGCTCATTGTCTCGGCGTCGGCCACGCCATCGTCCTCGTCGTTGTTGTTGTCATTGTCCTCGTTGCTGCCCTCGCTGTCGTCGTCCTCGCTGGTCAGCTCGGCGCCCGCCAGCCCGCCGCCGCGCTCCAAGTAGGCCACGAGGCCGCGAGCCGTGCGCGCGCTCATGCCCTGCAGCCCGCGGATGCGCGCGACGTCGCGCGAGTTGACAATGTCGAGCAGCTTCTTCTTGCGCGGGGTCATGGCGGCCATGGCCATGGCGCGGCTGCGGGACTCGTCGTCGGCGTCGGCGCCGTCGCCGTGGGGGCTGGAGGAGCCGGGGCCGCTGGACAGGGAGGTCTTGGCCGCCTTCCGGCCGGATAGACCGCGGCTCGAGAGGCTGCCAGAGCGGCTGCCTGTCAGGCCCCCACGGCGGCGGGGTGAGGGCGAGTAGTAGTAGACGGACTTTTCGGGGGCGCTGGCGTAGTTGAGGGCCGGGACCGGGGTCGGCAGGTCTTCGTCGTCCTCTTCCGCGTCGGCGTCAGCGTCGGCCTCGTGGTCCACGTCGCTTTCGCCCGCAACATCGATATCGACCGTGGCAGGAACATCGCCTGCGGATGCCGTGCGGGCGCCCATGCGGCCGATGCGCCGGAACGTGGGCGTCGTCGGGGTCGTGAGGGCTGTCGAGGCAGCCGTCACGGCCCGCTTGCGCTTGTGCGGTTGTTGTTGGTCAAATTGCTGCTGCTGCTGCTGCCGAGCCGTCTTGCGCGGCGAGCTCGACTCCCGGCGGGCCATCTTGGTCTGGAGCTTGGCAATCTTGGACAGCAGCTTGGCCTGGCCCGGGAAGTAGGGCAGGGCCTGCTTGTAGTAGTGCAGCGCGACGGCGTCGTCGCCGACCTCCTTGTGCTGGCGGGCGAGCAGCAGGAAACGAAGCCCCTCGGTGCGGGGGTCGTCTTCGCTGCGCGCCGCAGCCGCATTGCTGTCCTCGATGCGGCGCTCCAGAGCCTCGAGGCGCTTCTGGACCGCCTCGCTGCTCAGCAGGTCGCCGCTCTGCGTGCTGCCGGTCGTGGCGGCCAACATGCCGGCAGCCAAGGTCATCGTGATGGTGTTGTTGGTGGTGTTGTTGTTGTTGGCCATCTCCTGTTGCTGTCGTAGCTGCTGCTGCTGCTGTTCTTCTTGGTCACGCGCCGCCAAGGCCTCGGCCACCTTGCGCTCGATAATGGCCTCGATCTGCTCGGCCGAAAACATGGGCGTCGATGCCGAAACGGCGGCCGGTGGCGGTGCGGGTCGCGATAGGTTGGATGCCGAGTAGGGGTGGATCGACGGCCGTGCCAGCTTCGAGGTGCGGGTGTCTGCCGTTCTGGACTCGGCGGCCTCTGACGGCCGCGCCTTGGCGGCACCAATCTTGGACGTTGCGAGAGACGGGCGCCCGCTCGACAGGCTGGAGAGAGGCCCCATGCGGGACGACACAGAGGAGAGGGACGACGCCGTGGTGGATGTGGGCAGACTGGGCCGTGTTGCGGATGGTGTGGCTGTCGACGACGGTGGAGGCGGCGGTTTTGCTACAGCGTGGTCAGTATATACCATAAACGCTTTCGCAGGCTTGTCGGCCGCGGCCCGGGCGGCCGCATTGCCCGTCTGGATGTTGTGCGTGTTGCTCGTCAACGCGCGCAGCGGTTGACGGGCCAGGCCAGACCCACTTGTTGAAGACGAAACAGAGGACGCCGCCGTGGACGCCGCCGAGGAGACAAGCGACATGGTGGAGCTGGCGGCGCTGGCGGCGAGGGACGACGTAGTGGTAGAGGACGACGCGGCCAGGGAGCGCGGCAGCTGCTTGAAGACGACCTCGTTTTCAATCTCGCGCACCTCGATGCGCTTGGCGCGCGAGCTGACGGTCAGGCTGCTCAGGGTGTCGAGGTGGTAGCTGCGGACGGGGGCCAGGTTCAGGATCATGACGGTGATGCCGCTATTCTGGCCCAGCGACAGGATGCGCGTCATCTTGGACTCGCGGTAGGGGATGCGCTTCTCGCCGCGCGCAATGGCGTCGACGCACTGGCTCAGCACAAACAGGCTCTTGTTGATGGCGGCCGACTCGACCAGGCGCTCGCGGCCGTTGTCGGTGCGGCGGTTGTCCTCGGAGCCGGCCAGGTCAATGGCGGACGCGGTGCTCTCGCGGACGGCCACGACGGCGCCGGAGCCGTCGTCGGAGCGCGTCGTCTGGGTCAGCTTGACGCGCAGGATGGCGTGGCTGCGCGAGCTGTGGGCGTTGAGCTTGGTCGCGGCGGTGACGCGGTTCTGGTTGGCGGCAATGTAGAGGCGCTCAAAGTCGCGCAGGTCGCCGCAGCGCTGCTCGGACAGGCCGACGACGTACGTCTTGTTGTCCTTTTCGCGCAGCGGCAGCCCCGTCGGCGTGCGCTTCTCGGGCGGCTCCAGCAGGTCGTAGACCTTGTCGTTGTAGATTTCGTAGTACGACAGCGCCACGTCGACGTCGACCAGCCCGTCCGAGTCCTTGGCAAGCTTCTTGCCGCGGCGGAAGACGTGGCTCAGAATGCGCGGGATGACGCCGCGGTCGGCCAGCTTCATGCCGCCGCGCATGGTGTGCGTCTTGCCGGTGCCGGTGACGCCGTATGCGAAGAGGGTGATGTCGAGGCCCTGGAAGAGCGACTTGATGTGAGGAGCGACTGGTGGTGAGGTCAGTGGATGGGCGGAGGAGATTATGAAAAAGAAAACCCCCAAAAAGGAGTTACACCAAAAAAAACACACCCTCTTCGTTAAACAGCTCTTCTTGCGTGGTGGCCTGGTCGTAGACGCCGTTAAAGGTAAAGGCAAACTCCTCGGCCTCGTTCTTGGGGCTCGGGATCTTGACGACATTGGGCGGGCGGCCGTCTTCGGTGCTGTCGACGCGGACAATGACGTCCTTGTCCAGCTCCTTGGGCAGCAACGGCCGCACCCGTGCAACCACGCGGACCGACATGTGTAGATGGAGGAAGCTAAAGACAAGTCGAAAGGGGGAGGTCGGGTCGTAGGTCGAACGAGGTCGAAAAAGAATCGAAAGTAGAACAATCAACGTCGCGATGCATCCAATGCACGCTCGATTCCAGGGTATATCGCTAAACGACAAGACACAAACAGAACAGAAAATACATGAAAGAAAAGAAACCAAACGTCAATGGCTGCCGCGGCCCGTGCTCCGGTCTTGTCGAGTCGTTCTGCCGAGTGCAGGTCTGAATCATGAAGATGCGGGAAGTGTTTTTTGGGTGTGCTATTTCTCGCCATCCAAATACGGTCCGTACTTTCTCAGTGCCTCCTTTGCTCCTTCCTCCGGCACTGTGCGTGGTGAGCGTGTAAAACCACCCCCTGGGAAGGGACGATGGCGCGTCGACCGTGTTTGGGCGGGTCTGGTTGCCAGCAGCAACGGCAGGTGCGATGGAGCGAAACGCAATTGAAAGTGGGCCAGTGCAGCTCGACATCCCAACACGGTTTAGCGCATAATGCTCGACGGGAAGCTTGGAAGGACGGCGATTGAGCAAAAAAAGAACATTTGACATTTTCTCTGACAACCGACAACGACGACAACGACGACACCGCCCGTTGGCCATCAACAAATTTCGCGACAGTCCCTCTCTGTGTCGCTCACACTCGTTTACATCGTGTACACAATGCGCGGCGCTTCGCTGCGGCCGCCAATGGGCGTCCTGCGGTCACGGGCAGCAGCGACGTCTCCTGCATCACACTCCATCTGCCGGCAATGCATCGTCGGCATCGTCGGCACCGTCGCCCGCCGGCGGACCATCCAGATCAGCTCGACACCGGCGACCGAGTTCCCGCGGCCGACGAGCGGCGATGCGTTTTCTGGTAGCGACAATGACGGCCACGGCGGACCGGGCGGCCGGGACGCGGCGGACGCGCGCTTCGAGGTGCTGGGGTCGCCGTACTCGCTGCTGTCGGTGTCGCTGTCGGCGTCGCAGAACCTGTACACGCGGCGCGGCACGCTGGTGTCGGTCGCCGGCAAGCTGGACAATGCGCAGTCGACGCTGTCGGTGCTGGCGCCCGTCCGGCGCGCGCTGCTCGGCATCCCCTTCCTCTACCAGCGCGTCTCGTCGACGACGCCGCTGACGCTGCTGATTGGCACCAAGGCGGCCACCACGACGCTCTTCACGCTGCACCTCGACGGCACGACCGACTGGGTCGTCGCGCAGCGCAATGCGCTGCTGGCGTGGACGGGCCACACGCTGCAGGTGACGCCGCAGCGCGGCGCGGGCACGGCGCGCCTCGGCCTCGCGCACTGGGGCACGTCCTTTGTGACGGGCCGCGGCCTCGTGGCGCTGTCGGCGCCGGGCTACATCTACCCGGTGACGCTGGGCGCGGGCGAGGAGCTGGCGGTGCACCCGAGCCACGTGGTGGCGTACGCGGTCGGCAAGCAGGGCGCGCCCCAGCCCTTCAGGCTGCGGTCGGCGCAGGGCGTGCTGGCGGGCGCGGCCGCGTCGGCCGCGTCGGCGGTGTCGTCGGCGGCGGCCTCGACGGCCCAGATCACCTCGAGGGCCGTGCGCGGCCTGCGGTTCCAGGTGCCCCAGGCGACGTCGCCCCCAGGGAGAGCGACCGATGTCGCCACCGCGACGGACAACGGCATTGCGGCGCGTCTCGGCCGCTTCTGGTCGGTCATGCAGACGACGGCGACGTACCGGCTCGTGGCGCGCGCCCTCTTTGACGCGCGCACGGTGCTGCGCCGCGCGATCTGGGGCGACCGGCTGTTTGTGCACGTCCGCGGGCCGGCCACGCTGCTGCTGTCGAGCCGCGGCGTGCGCGTGGGCGAGGTGCTGACGCGCGACAACGTCAACGAGATTGCCGACGCGGACGCCGGGGCGGTGGCCGAGGCCGTCGACAAGGCGACGAAGCCGGCGGGCGAGCGTGAGCGTGCGGAGGCGGGCACGGCCACGTCCACAGACGCGTCGACGACGGCCATCCACGTGGCCGAGGTCACGGCCAGCGGCAAGGTGGCGTTTACCGACGCCAAGGACTTGAAGGAGTTTGTCCGTTGACGTGGGAGGCAGGCAGGCGTGAGCAACTGACGAGTTACGACCACTAGACGGCGACGAACGCTACACTGTACATTATACTAGGCAGATGGGGGGCGTGGACTGGGGGAGACCTGCGGTGAGACCGCTGGACAGCAAGACAGCATGTCAGTGGCATCGTTCCTATGTGACCATTACCATACTATTTCATTTTGTGAGAACCGTCTCAACATACACGCATCAATGCAAACCACGTGCGTTTGGGCCATCTGAGAGTACGACAGTGGAGCACGGAGTCAAATCTGCTCTCCAGCCAGGAACGCTTCAGCCCAGCCACGAACAAAAGGTGCTGACAAGCACGGCATACGATGTGCCATATACGAATTACGATGTGTACGATGTGGGCTGAACCAGTTGCAGAAGACTGGTTCGACACACCCAGATGTGCCTGCGTCCCGCAATGTCATCCCTTCTCCCCTACTTCCCTAATCCCTAATTCAATCCCTAATCCCCGTCAGCACCCCCACACCTCGGCCCTTCGCGCTTTCAACTCGACATTGGGCTGGCGGCAGGCACAGGCTCGCCTCTCGGAGACGGACTTGCCTGGCATTCCCTTTTCACTTCTGACGACGGCCTGTCGCTTAAAGAGAGTCGTCCGCGCGCACGGCGGACGAGTTGACTGACGCCTGTAGAGGAACAGGTCTGGCGTGGCATGTGCCTTTTTTTTCTTTTTTTTTTCTTTTTTTAATGAAAGCTTATTTTCTACTTCCTTATGTCTCCCCATTATTGGATCGCAATCTACAATAGCCACGCCTCATACATTCGTACTGTCTGCTTTGTCATAATCGGGGGTGATTGTTTCTCCTCGCTTTCACGAGCCAATCCCCGTTCTCCATTCTCCCTTCAGTACGTCCCCCGACACACGATGCGTAATGTCCGTCTTAGGTCGCCAGCCTCGTGCTGGTCATTCTTTCAACGTACTGGTCAACGTGCTGGTCAACGTGCTGGTCAATGTGCATGTCTGACTCATGGGGTGAGCTGGCCGGTATGCATCTTACTTCTTACGCTGCAGATCCTACGGAGTCGTCTCGCTCGTAATTCGTACATCGCAGCGTTCCCCAGCAGCCCAGGTCAGCATGCTTCGCGCCCCGTCGTGCCCGGGGCGCGAGATGTTGTTTATTCGACTCGACAAGAGATACTGTGCAATGTCTCGTGCAATGTCTCGTCGCCCGCATGTATGATGCCATACGCCGTCGCTGTCCCTGCCCGCGGACCCTGGGCCTGGATCGAGACAATCTCGGACGAAGCCCGTCCCTCGTCGGCCCTTTTGTTTGTCTTGTTCCGGTACACAATATTGTGCCACATCTGCCCGTCATCATATCTGTTTCCGTCGTATTCCGTCGTTCATCTCAGTCGTCGTCTCCTCCGAGCCTCGATCTCGATGCCCGGAGAATTCTTGGTCTGGTCTGGAGCATGGGCGATTTGCTCTCTCCTGACAAATGTTTGCACGATCTCTCTGAGCTGAGATCAACACACTCCCTCACGCCCCGGCAAGCCTTGCCAAGGCTAAGCCCAGCACGGCATGGCGTGCTATGGCCTCGAGGGGGTAAGCCAGTCGCTGCGTTCGCGTCTTTCGTTCTTGTTCCGTTCTCGTTTCCGAGTCTGTTTCTGCCATGCACCGTTTCTTATTTGACTAATTTCCCCTTTTTTTTTTTTTTTTTTTTTTGTTATTCTTCTCCACCTGGTATTCCTGCTAACGTTTTTTTGCTACATGCTGACCCGTGTTTAAGCTGGTCATTTCCTATTTCATGTATATATCATTGTCCTCCTGCTGCCCCCCGGCCGTTGGCATGATGACGTTTGTGTCTCATCATCCGTACATTCACACAGAATAACACGGTCCGTTGTCTTTTCTTTTTCTTTTCTTTTTTTTCTCTTTTTCTTTTTTGTATTTGTTTTCGTTTACAGTCTCCGCTCTCCCCAGCTCCAACAAGCGAGTTGTCCCCCCTCCCCCCCCAAAATTGCGGCAACATTGGCCCGAGTAAATAAAGACACGCTCCACGCTCCGACCTCAACGTAGTCCAGTCGGTCGCCGTCGCCATCTGAAATTTGACTGGGATTTTATCTTCTACCGCAGCTGCACTGCCCAGACATGACCGCGCAGCTCGACAAGAACTCCACCAACATGTCCGCAACCCCGGCGCACGGCCAGACGGCCAACGCCGCACCCTACACCGACGCTTCGCGCCATTCCCTCGACCACTCCCTTGACCGCTCCCTCGACCGCATCCCCTCCCTGAACAAGGAGACCGACGCCAACCTCTACCCCGAGCCCGCAAACGCCGTCGAGGCCGACCTGGAAAAGGCCGGCTACGGCCCCGACGAGTCGGACGGGTCGAGCAAGGAGCAGAAGGAGGCCGGCGCCGCACCCACGGATGGCACACCGGCAGACGCCGCCGCTGCGCCGCCCGCACCGCCTGCTGCGCCGCCCGGCATGAGCCCGGCCGACTTCCCCGACGGCGGCCTGCAGGCCTGGAGCGTCGTCTTCGGCGGCTGGTGCGGCCTCTTCTGCACCTTCGGCCTCATCAACTGCATCGGCGTCTTCGAGACCTACTACGTCAACGGGCCGCTGTCCCACTACTCCCAGGGCACCATCAGCTGGATCCTGTCGCTCGAGACCTTCGTCATGACCTTTGGCGGCCTCGTCTTCGGCCGCCTCTTTGACAGCTACGGCCCGCGCTGGCTCCTGGTCCTCGGCACCGTCGTCTACGTCTTCGGCCTCATGATGACCAGCCTGTCCACCAAGTACTACCAGTTCCTGCTCGCCCAGGGCGTCTGCGCCTCCATCGGCTCGTCCGCCGTCTTCAACGCCTGCATGGCCTCGGTCGTCTCCTGGTTCTTCCGCCGCCGCGCCGCCGCGTTCGGCATCATGGTCTCCGGCTCGTCGCTCGGCGGCGTCGTCCTGCCCATCATGCTCGACAAGCTCATCGCCCGCGTCGGCTTCCCCTGGGCCGTGCGCGCCGTCGCCTTCTTGTTCCTGGGCCTGCTGGCCATCGCCTGCCTCACCGTGCGCTCGCGCCTGCCGCCGCGGCCCAAGCCCCTCGTCGTCCGCGAGTACCTCGGTGGCTTCCGCGAGCCCGTCTATGTCCTCACCATCGTCGCCTGCTTCCTCTTCTTCTGGGGCATGTTCTTGCCCTTCAACTACATTGAGCTGCAGGCCAAGGCCTCCGGCATGAGCCCCGCCCTGCTGCCCTACCTGCTGTCCATCATCAACGCCGTCAGCATCGTCGGCCGCATCGCCCCCGGCATCGTCGCCGACCGCCTCGGCCGCTACAACGTCATGATTGCCATCACCGCCCTCTCGGCCGTCATCTCCCTCGCCCTCTGGATCCCCGGCAGCAAATCCACCGGCGCCATCGTCGCCTACGCCGTCCTCTTTGGCTTTTCGTCCGGCGGCTTCGTCTCGCTCGGCCCCACCCTCATCGCCCAGATCTCCGACATCCGCCAGATTGGCATCCGCACCGGCACCGCCTTTGCCGTCCAGAGCTTCGGCGCCCTCACCGGCTCGCCCATTGCCGGCGCCATCACCACCCGCCAGAACGGCAGCTTCACCGGCCTGCAGTACTTTTGCGGCTTCACCATGCTGGCCAGCGTCGTCGTCTTTGTCGCCGCCCGCGTCACCCTGGCCGGGCCCAGCCTCATGAAGAAGGTGTAGACCGTGGCCTCTTTTGGTCGTCTGTCTTTTCCTCCTTTTTTGGTGTCATGGAAATGGCGGTTCCCGGCATCTGCGCTGTATTTTTGTCATTGGCTTGCCGTACTGTCTCATCGAGACGCGGACGTCTGCTCTTTTCTATCTACTGTTGCTCAAACTCTTTAGAATACCCCCTTTCATATTGTGTAATATAAAATCTCTCCATTCAGTTGACCTCATTGACCTCCTCGCGTGACTCGTTCTTCCATCATGTTGGAGAGTGGTCTTGAGTGTAAACCCCGGCAGTTCGTGTGTCGCTTCTAGCTTGATACCTGGTCTAACGAAGCCGTTGGAACTTTTATTAGACGTGGTGTTATTATTTATTACGTATTTATTTATTTTATTTTGGTCGTAGCTTGGGTTTTTATTTTTATTTTTTATTGACTTTTTGGTTTTAAAAACCTTTAAAAAGCATTCTAAATCAAACGAAGAGCACTATGAAAATTTGCCAAAAATACTTGCATCTTCACACACAATTTTGCCTGTTTCAGAAGCTTTCAATCAAAGAAGGCCTGTCTTTTACACACAGAAACGTTCTTAAAATACACAGGCCAGTCACAGAATAAAGGATTCCCTAGTCCTAAAAGGTCACACGATTGCTCAAGGTTGTGGCCATGCGTCCTGCTTTATGTACGACATATTTCTGCCCAGCCTTTGATCAACGTTATTTGAAGTCATAACAACATTTACTTTTGCCCTTCCTGTCCATAACACTCGAGCTTTGATGCGGAAGAGCGTAGAAGAGAAGGGTGAAAAGAACCACCCTACAAAGACGCCCAGAAATCGTTTCAAAGTAGAGGTGTCAGCTCGAATTATAATTATACTTTGTAAAGAGAAATGAGAAAAAAAAAGGAAAAAAGGGAGGACGGACAAAACCACTCCACTGAACAAGCCAATCAACGGCAGTACAAAAAGCCCTTGGCAGGACAAGCCCTGTCGCCCCCATGGTTCTTCAACGCCTCAAAGAGTTTCTATTCGCAGACACAGGCTGGCCAAAGCTGGAGCTTCCGTCCATAGCTCTCAACCTTGCATTCTTAGTGGACGAGGCGCCAGGCCAGGTCTGTAAAAAGTACAATGGTACGCACTCGAGGCACCCTGGAGCCTTGATGGAAAAGGAGGCTCGGAGGATAAGACATAAAAATTTTGTTATCCACATTTATTGTTTACGGTGCGAGTGGTTTTTTTTCTCTTTCTTTTTTTCTTTCTTTGGTCGTTCGTCTTCAACTCGCCATCTTCTTTGGCCAGCCGAATGTTTCTTTGTGGGTATTTCCCC